TTTCTTTGTTGAGGAGTTCCCCGAAGTACAAATTCCATCGATGCAGGATAGCATTCTTTTGCAAATGGCATCGGTGCAGGATAGCATTCTTTTCAATCTAGAGCATACCATCTTCTCCTTTACACGATTTTATTCTCGGTTTAAAGGCTCTTCTGCTTTCATTTACTCGCTGAAAGAACAAGCATGTGTCATTAGTTGCTCTAAGATATTCTATTTCTTCCAGCTTCTTGATTTCCCAGACTCCCATCTCAATTCTTCTGCACTCTCTGTATGATTTGCAAAATTGTTTGGTGCGTCTCATTGTTTGGATCATCTTTCCATAGGCTTTATTATTTTTAGCTGTTGCTTCTATATGCTCATATAATGGTCAGAATCAGCATTCGCTCCTCTGCACGTCCTCAACTCAATCAAGTCTGTCTTATAGTTTGCGCTTACTAGTATGTGATCAATTTGATTCGTGGTCCTTCCACTGGATAATTTCCACGTAACTTGATGGGTCTTCTTCTTCTTGAAAAATGTGCCACCAATCCTTTAGATGCAGCAAAATTAACCAATCTATGACCATTATCATTGGACAAATCGTGCATACTGAAGAGTTCTATGGTTGGTCTATATGCTGGTTTCTGTCCTGCTTGTACATTCAAGTCATCAAGGAGAAATTTTTGGACATTATCCCGTAGTTTTAGCCAGGTCATTGTACAGCAAATTCTTAACTTCTTCGATTGACACCTCCGTTGAGGCATGACAACTAATTAGGCTATAAATGAAGAACTTGCCCTTGATTCTTATCTTGCATATACCCTTTGGTTAAAGGGGGTGCAATTGATAACAAGTTTTCATGCAGATCTGCATACTATAAAACCCGTCCCAAAGAAACAATGGGAGTCATTACAGCTGTAGTACAATGTATGGTTCTTCTTTTCTATAATTCCCTTTCCCGGCCACCTGATTTCCTGTATTGCTGCTATATCAACCTGGTAATCATCAAACTGTGAGAAGAGGGCCCGAAGAGGTTCCAATCTGTTCGAGGATAGTATGTTCCAAAAAGCTAGCTTTAGGTCATAGTGACGGTTCATAGGTCGTTTCCAAATAGTCAGCCCAGCTTCAATACTTTTTGAGATTTTTTTATAAACTGGATTTGGAGAGAGTGGGTTATCAGGCCACTGCCCCCTAGTCAGGTGGAGGGGCTGCCTCCTCTAAGCCTCCGGAGGTGCTCCCCCATCCGGAGCGGTTACCTAGAACAGATGGCCCCTGTGGTATGTAGTGAATGTGATCTTTGTCTGTATTGTGGGGGTGTATTTAGCGTACTATGTGTGAATGTCAGTATACTATTCCACCAACCTGGAGGGCCAGTGGCTGTTTGCTGTCTGTCAACTGGGCTATTGGGCCTCAAACTCCCTACGCCAACGAAACAATAAACAAAGCTTATAAAAACATGACCCAGAAGCGGTGTACAGAGAGGAGAGAATCTGAAGAGTATTTGAACAAGAAAAAGAGGCTTCACATTTTATGGTGATAAAAGGAAGAACGAACGAGCGGAAGCAGCTTGAGAAAATGGAGTAATACAGCAATCAAAGAATCATTTATCAGAGGATCAAGAAGAGTAGGGCCAGCTTCAAATCACATAGAAAGGACACATAGAATGGACGATGGATCCATGTCCACGGAAAAGGATGAAATATTGGTGCAATGCTCCTATCACTTCGACAGTGATACCACAGTCTCATATCTCATGACCTCAGCATTGGTTCATGAAGTATATAGAAAAAAAAAGAGTTGGCAGGCCTGATTCATAGCACTCCACTACAAAGAATCTATATAGCCCCTCCTTTCGCCCCTCCCCTCTCCAAAAAAAATATTGATTAATGCTTATGGTTACTGCTCCCTTCCTATTAGTCCATGGTACAGACCCCTTTTTATCAAATTGTTATTATTTGCCTGAAACTTCTTAAATAGCTTCATCTCATCATAACCTAAAACTATTTTATTTACAAAAATTCTTTGAATTGGGCGTTTTCAGTCTGGAGGGGGACAAAATTTGTCTATTTCATTAGGTACTAAAAACTCGTAAATACCTATTTGCTTGCCACTTGGATCGTAAGATAATTTGATTATATCTCAAAATTGATAAAAAAAATTGCCTACAAAAATATTGGACAGTTTGTCCTATATAACTTCATTATTTTAAGAATTTGGGGATGTAGGTCACGCCAAATGGCTCAATATTTTTGAAGGCTATCTTTTTTCCCGATTTTGTGCTCAACTTATCTTACAATTCAGGTGGAAAGAAAATGCATATTTTCTAGTTTTTAATGCTTAAATAAATAGACAAAGTTTGCCCCCCTATAGATTAAAAATGCCCTAATTCCGATAATTTTCGTAAGTAAAGTATTTGTAGGTTACGATGAGATGAAGCTATTTAGGAAGTTTCAGGCGGATGTCAATAATTTGATAAAAAGTGATCTGTACCAGGGACTATATGGGTCATAGCTTGATATTATAAAGCTTTACAACAGTCTATCCAATGCAGAAAGAATTTTTTGAATCAGACTGGTAGTTCTTTGGTGCCTTCAATACACATATTCTTCAGCATTTTATGTTAATACAGAGATCATATTTTTCAAACATTTATATATGGTGCTCACTCTAATTCTTATTATTATTTACTTACTGTAAAACTTCTCTTTTTGAACAATATTTAAATGCCCTGGCATGATACTGAATCTTAGACACCTTTGCTACCAAACCCTCTGATTGATGAGGACAGCTAAATCTTTTTTGAGAGATAAATTTATCTTACAAATAGTTGAAAATTAAAAACATACAGTGTGTCCCTTAAGTAGAGGGAAATGTTTAAAAGTTTGATAGTAGACATCAAGATATACAAAAAAGTTCATATAAACAATTGCCCAATTTCCAGTAGAAAAGTAGAATATTTAAGATTTGTGTTTTTATAGGCAAGTCACATTTTTTGTTGAATAGGAAGCGATAATAAAAAATATTTGATTTAAGTAGCTAAACATTGCTTCATAGTAAACTAGACAAAATTTACTTTAAACAAAAGTAGAGTTTGCCATTGTTAAAATATTTAAAGAGGACTATTGAGCGGACCAAAACAGCCAAGTTTCGTTTAAAAAAAAGTCATAAATTATTTATGATTATTTTTATCAATCTTCAGCTGTATTTACCCCACTTTTACAAAAACTTCCTCGTTTAAAAAGGCTTAAGTTATATTAATCAAGTTGAAGTTTATTTGGAAAAATTTTAAGATTCACCTCAAGTCGTGTAAAGAAATGATGTGATTTTCCATTCAGTCACCTTAAAGTACTCGTGTTTTCAGCAAATATGTCTACAATTAACTGTTGCAAAGCTTTTATTTCTTGCTTTTCCGTGATATGGGATGTATTTTAATAAACATAATTGCCTAAAAACACATTCTTTTTATAAAAATAAAAAAATATTATTTTTCATGTAAGGTGGTTGTGAAATTGTGTTTTTCTGCCAGATTTCTGTCATAGGAATTGATGTGTATTTATAAGTGACAACTTAATGTTTCTAGCCCTAATATTTGCGTTTTCATGAAAATAATTGAAGCAATCAGTAGCTTTCTTTATTTAAACGTAAATTTTAGTGAGAAACATTAAATTTGTAACTGATAAATACATATCAATTCCTATGAAGGAGATCTGATAGAAATGTTTTTATGTGAAAAATATTTAAAAAATCATTATTTTTAAATTCTTTATATTTATAAATAAAATGTGTTTTTGGGCAATTATGTTTATTATAATACATCCCACATAACGGAAAAACAGAAATAAAAGCTTTACAATAATTAATTGTAGTCATTTTTGCAGAAAACAGGGGTACTTTAAGGTGACTGGAAAGGAATTCACATCGTTTCTTTACACGCCTTGAGGTGAATCTCAAAATTTTTCCAAATAAACCTCAACTTAATTAATATGGACTTAAAGCTTATTAAACGAGAAAGTTTTTGTAAAAGTGAGGTAAATGTAGTACAGTTAAAGGGTGATAAAAAAAAATTACAAATAATTTTTGACTTTTTTTAAAATGAAACTTAGCTGTTTTAGTCCGCCCGCCCGGCAGTCCTCCTTAAATATTTTTAAAAATGACGAATTCTACTTTTGTTTGAAGTAAATTTTGTCTAGCTTACTATGGAGCTATGTATGTTTAGTTACTTAAATCAAATATTTTTTATTATCGCTTCTTATTCAACAAAAAATGTGATATATATTTATATATATATCTTGAAGTTGTAACAATGTAGAAAGTGCAATTTCATCCACAAAGTGATGGTTTGTTAAGAAAACAAATATTAATTTAAAGAAAAAACAACTTTTTAGTCTGATTCATCAATTTTTATTATTAGTCCTGTAAATAACTAAAGGTAATTTTTTCACCAATGTATAAACACTGCATTGGTCTCTCTAATTGACTCAGATTAAAACTTAACTAACTAGTCTATGAAAACCTCTTCCTTATGTTGAGTTGTGGATCGTTATAGAACCCTTTAATTCAGTGCTGTCTTGATCTTTATAATAAAAAACCATCATAATATTAAATTTAATGCTGTAAAAATTATAAGGGTGGAAAATAATCAGGATATGCAGACTTTAAATGATTTATTATTTCAACCAAAGTAAATGGGTCATGGTTATTGGCTGGACTAACAACAAAAGCTGAATAATTTTAATAATATTCAACAATATATAATTTTAATGGTCAACTATATATCCACTTCTAAGTTATATAGTTGTAATTTAATGATATAAAAATTATATAATTGCTAATTTATTGTTATAAAAATTACTTAATCGCTAATTTAATGATATCAGAATTGTAATTTTAAAATGTTGGTTAATTATTATTATTACTTAGAAATAAATGTTTCACATTCATACTTTTCAGTAAATATATGTAAAATCATTACAGAATATTTGTATTTATTTATTTTTTCGTTTGTTGTATTCTATTTTCAGTTACTTCCTAGTCCATATGTGGAGGCAGAACTCCCACCAGAGCTAATTCAAGAAGGTTGGCGGAAATTTTGGAGTAAACGTGAAGGTAGACCGTATTATTGGAACAAGCTTAGTGGAGAATCTCTGTGGGAAATGCCTAAAACTCAGGTAATCATTTCTTATTTTTATTTGATCTAGCTTGGCTGTGGAATCCTTTGCCGGATCCAGGAGCCTTGGCTTTATGCACACACCATCCAGTGCTAAATCCCAATTATTTTTAATGGGTTGGCAAATAAGTTCTTTTTCAGGTTTTGTGTTTACTTTTGTCACTACCATGCACTTCTTACAAATTAATCTTTAAGGTAGATTGTTTATCCTATTTGTAATACGTCAACAACCATTTATGTAATTTCTTATTAAAATTAGATGAGTATTGTGTTTGTTACAAATATTGATGAAAACATTCGTTACCGCCATATTTTACTGTGTCATTTTAAAAAATATAAGCTTGCAGCAGAACCTCTTAAAATTGTTTGCAGTGTTTATGAGAATGTCTTAACCGAATACATCAAAATTGGTTTGCCAAATTTTGACATCATTGAAGCTCTACGGTCTGGTCTTCCACAAGAGATTGAAACGAATAATGTTAAGGCCATTGTTGATAAAAATCCTGCCCATTCAAGGCAAGCCCATTCCAGAACATCGGCTAAGTTTCTAAACTTGATTTTTGGGTCCTCCGCTCTCTAACTGAAGTTAACTTGGAATTAACAAATTATTAAGCTTTGGATGAGACCTTTTGCCTCACCCTCCCTACCTCCTGCTTGGTAGTAGCTTCAAGCGACTGCCACTTATTCTGTTTTCGGCAGAACTCCTTAAGTCAAAAGCAATTCCAAAACGAAAAGGACATCAAAAACCACTTAGATCAGTTAGTTTACAATAAACCTCCGATCTTCTATGACATATTGCAGTTAGTGGAAAAATGTAGACAGATCATACATACTATATAATGGCCAATACCTTATATATTAAAATAAATTTTATGGCTATAATACACCAATTTTATTTCACCCAAAAAAAACGAAAGAACTTATTTGCCAACCCAATTCACCATTTTCCATAAAGTCCTCAAGCTTTATATTTTAATGATTTTGATTACAATGTTTTATTAATCATATATATTCCCTTAAAAGATTGAATATCTCTTAATTTGTCCACCATTTCCATTCACTATTTATGAAAGCTATTCATGAAGATATTAGAAAGTTCCTTTCTTTATTTTACCTTTGTTATGGACCATAGTTTCTTAAATTGTTGTTGAACTCCAGGAGTTTTAAGTTGATTTTAGACTTTTGTATTCATTGCTAATTAAGTAGTTATTACCATAAATATTTATTAAGATAACGATGTAAAATGTTTGGTATGGGGATGGCTTCTGCAGAAATAAAACATTTTACAGAGCTGCACGAACTATAATCTAGTTATGGACTGTATTTCTTATCTTATAACCTTCCTGCACAGCTTGCAGTAGTCTTGAAAAATTCCAAAGTAGCATTTATTTGCATGTAGAAGCCTTCTTATCTCTACACTAAGATGGCTTTATGTAGAACTGAGAACCTGAGTTATACAAAGTCAGAGAACCTGATTTTAATTTATTTTAGCCATAAATTGGGTAATGCTAAACACAGGTCAGGTTGAAATCATTCATCTTAGATTCAATTCACAACTAAGGGATTATAAGTTTATTTCCAAGTAATTCTATATTATCAATCTCAAGTGATTCACTCTAATCACTAATGGATCTATGGAGGGAGGAGAGTGATAGATTTTGGGCTGAAGCCCCTAAAATGGAATTTTTTTTTTATCTTTGGTGTATATTCGTTACTGTTTATTTGTTTGTTGTTTGTGATTTAGGCTAAATACTTAAAACAATTACAAAATGTCAATAAAATGTTCTACTTTTTGAAATTATAATGCATATACAGTTACTAAGTATAACCATATCTTAAGATCAATAGATTAAAAAAACGTCTATAATAGTATTCTTTTCTCGTTTTTAAAAGCACCTCTTTTCAATAATCACATAACACCATTTCATACAGATAGTTTCTTTATCTTCCAAAGTAATCATTGTTTTATTTATTTATTTTTATATATATAAAGATTTCGGACTGAAGCTCCCAAAATTATATCCTGGATCCGCTACTAACTCTAATGGCAAGAAGGGTGCCAACTAGTAAGTAATAGAAATTCAGTGACACCTACTTAAAGACTAAATATCATTAGAAGAATTGTTTAAGAATATTGATTCTTCATAATTTCTATTAAAAACCATTGTTTGAATTGGTTGGTAAAGTCTTTCAGAGCCGTTCCACAACTTGCACCTTTTTTACATCTCTGCAAGTTAATTTTGTGATTTCACCGAGGGAAAATTCATCAAGTTATATCTAATTTAATTTTTTTAAATGTTGCTTAATGTTTTTTCGGAATTAACCGACTACATCTCTCTAATTATTTAAATATATATTGGATTTAAAGTTATTAAACTACTGTAAATGTATGTAATATAACTACAATAAAATAGTTTTTTTAACAGTTTCATTGCCTCGATTCGGGTGATTATATATAATTTTTATTCAAGCTTGAAAATAATTTTTAAAATTTGAATTTAGTTTTCATAGAAACATATGGTTTCTGTTAAATAATATTAGTATGTTTTCCCTCATTTTTTTTTTTTAAATAGATGTTTCATTAATTCTTACGTGAGAAAATTAAATAAAATTTTCTAATTCATTTTAGCTGCTGAATTTCTTTTTTCATGTTTCATTTTTCAATATTTTATAATTAGTTTCCGAATTAAATTTATCAAAACAGCAAGAGTGGAGAAAAACATTGAGAGCTTATATGGAATTTTTCTTACACTAACTCAATTCACTAATTTCTGACCCTATGAATTAATTTGTAGGAGCCTTTGAGGTGTTTTCAAGCACCAAAAACTGTATAAAAAGTGCAAAACTGGTTAGTCCCAAATTCTCACTTGAATTTAATTTCACTGAGCTCTGATTCGAATTTTATTTTTATTAATTTATTTTTCTGCCCAAATATTTTATCTTCTGAGTCTTTTATATTTTTAATTTATTTATATACTCTTATTAAGTGTCATAAAATTAATAAATTTGATATTTTCAGTATGATCCAATTACTGATCCGCTTGGTATTGGTGGTCCTGGGCAAGTTCCACCAAGTCCGATGCAGCACCCCATAAAACGGAGGTCAACAGAGGAGTCAGTTGGACCTCCACCCCCCAAAAAAATAGCTCTTTCGTGAGTATTTTAAAGTAATTTGAGAAATATGCAAAATTATTTACTTTTATATACATCTATATTTTTTCTTAACCATATTTATTTATTTATTGAACATAATCCAACAGTATTTGATGATATTTGATAATTAGGGTTTACATTCAAAGAGGAAAATGTATATTAAAATAATTATCAAGATTCTTGTAGTAAAATAATGTTTTCCAGGACAAATGTTTTAACTTATCTAATTTTTGTTTCAGTGGCCCATGGGATCTGGATGTTCCTACAAATGTAATAGTTCTAGAAAGGCTTCCCTTGAACATGCCTCATCCGCATCCAGTTACAGAAGCTATGCGCTATGCTCTTGCTTCTAAGCTGAGATTAACTTATCGAGAGCTTTGCCAATCAAGAGAAGGTAAATTAAAATTGTCTTTTATATTCTTTAGATTTTTTTTAAAGTCAAGTTTCTCAAACAAAGCTTTGTCCTAGAAATTATAGTCAAGTACTTTGGTTTTCAAACACTAGAGGAGATCACTGCAGACTTTATAGGCCATAGTACACAGTTAAGTTTCCTGAACAAAGTTGGGATTTTAGTTATCATATTTTTCCCTAGGGGCCATGAACTTCCAACTTTACCTCAAGTGTTGATGTGTTTAGTCTTGTTATTCGTGTTAAAATATCAGCGAATGAATTACTATTTCCATTAATTCAACTCCCATAAATGATGGCAATATTTAAAGAAGTGATAGTAAGCTCAAAAACAACAAAACATTTTATATAAGTAGTGTAATGTTAGGATAGAGATGGAAAATGAAGGATTTTGCAATGATGTACAACATACCCTATAAAGTTCAAGAAAATTTAAATACTCCATCATAGTAATCGGAGACTGGAATGGAAGGGCTGGAAAATGTGTTAATGGAAAAGAATCTATCATGGGAAACTCCTAGTATGGAACGAGAAACATGGGAGGGGAGTTACTTGTAGATTTTGCCATGACCAACAGACTGCAAATAGCGAATACCTACTTTAAGAAAAAAAGTGGATGTGGATGTTTTTCCCTGATGATAAAAAAAATGAAATAGACTACATGCTGGTGGACAATACATAAGACATAAAGAATATCAAGAATTGTGAAGTGATCACAGGGTTCAATTTTGATTCTGACCACCGCCTAATCAGAGCCACCTTACGCTATGAATATTAAAAAGAAGAAAAAGACCTTAGAAGCACCAGATAGCTAAGAAAATAAATGAAGAAATTTTTCAAGAGGGAATAAAGAAATTGCATAACCTAATGAATAATAAATGGCAATGGGCTAGACATCTAATAAGGAAGAACGACGAAAATTAGGCCAAGAAACTAACAGAGTGGATCCCCTTGGATATGAAAAGGAACCTAGGCAGACAAAGAAGAAGATGAGTTGACGAGATAAAGAAGGTAGAAGGAATGCTGTAGTCACGAAAAGCAAAGGACAGAAAATACTGGAAGATGAAGATGAGTCAACTCTCAGCAAAGCAAAGTACGGATAGTCTCCGTTAAAGACTTTAATACTCCTTAAAGGAAGGTCTATATACATGTATATAAAGAAAAAGTAGATGTAAATGGAAATGGAAATACTGCTATTACAAATGTATATATGTATATTAGTAAAGACTATTATTATTATTATTATTTCTATTGAAAGTGGGGTGATAAGTGAAAGTTATGTGATGCATCTCATTAGATATTTTTTATAATTATAAACTAAAAGATGTTTGATATTTTTTTTTTAAAATAGGAATTGACGCTCCCAGAGAATCGTTCAACAGGTGGTTGATGGAACGAAAAACTGTTGATATGGGATCAGATCCTCTTCTGCCTTCACATTGTGTTCCTGAGATTTCAATGTCTATGTATAAAGAAATTATAAATGATATCCCTATAAAATTAATTAAACCTAAATTTACTGGGGATGCAAGAAAACAGTTGTCCCGATATGCAGAAGCTGCCAAGAATCTCATTGAATCGAGGTCAGTACTACTTTACTTTTGTTTACCTTTTTACTAAAATAATATATGAAACTTTCTTAGAAAGTATTTTCGTATTAATTTTGTTACTTTCACTTACCTCCTATGTATGAAATATATAGTAAGGGAAAGTATTGCGATCATGAAAATTTTCGAATCTCAGTTTTCAACCGAGATACATGTTTTGAGGTGTGTGTGTGTTAGCAGTCTAGCTCAAAAACTAAAAGTCGTTCGAAACTGATATTATGTATTTAAGATAGATATATGCCTTAGATGTGACAGCAACTTTTTCATTAAAATCAGCTAACCGGAAGTGCCACTTTATATCTACACTGAAACACATTTTTACAATTTTCTCAAAAACAGCTCTAACGATTATGATTAAATTTGGTGTATCATTGTATAATTAAGTGGTCTTTAATATCAATTAGCTCTTATTCCCATTGATGTCACTTTACAGAGCTTAAATGACCCAATGTTCATATGCGTCTTCCTCTAAAGTACCTTTAATATGGTTCATTTCAAATAATTAACTATCTTTCATTATTAAAAGTTACGAAAAAATGCTAAATATAACTTTTGAAAGAATTTGATAATTTAATAAAGGAGAAAAAAAAATAAAAATGCTCCAGGTCAAAAATGAATCTCCGAATATATTAGTCAGAAGGTATATGTTTAATATATTGTTGGAAAGTGGAGAATTTTAGCAAAAACAATATCTAATCCAGAAAGTTGTTGAAGGTAACGGAGAGTGGCAAAAAAAAAATTATAAATAATAATTTTTGAAAACTAATATTATTTAATGTAAATCACGTGTTTTCAAAGAAATTAAATGAAATTTACTAACTAAATGTAAACTTTTAAAATATTTTTAAGTTTGAAAAAAGTATTTAAAATCCACCTAATCAAGGCAATGTCATTGTTTAAACAACCATTACATTGTATTTGTGCGAAAGAAGTGAAATATCAAATCTTTTCATGGATGTATAAAGCATATGTTTGTAATCTTAAATACATTTACAGTAGTTTAATAATTCTAGATCTGATATTATATTTAAATAATTAGGTATCAACGTCTGTTAATTTCGAACTTTTAACATGTAACTAATTAAATTAGTGAATAATTTGATGAATTTTTTCTTTGTGAAATCACAAAATTATCGTGTCTTCCTCTAAAGTACCTTTAATTTTAATCGAAGATGCGAAACGAAAAAGTTTTCGAGCATCAAAGTATCGAAAATATTTTTTTCCAAATGAGATGCTTTTATCTCATTTTTTTGGTCAACTTTAGGGCAAACATTCATAATATTAATTTTTAGAACTCTTAGTGATTTATTATATGTAATAGCTATTTCTCATTGTTAGGAGTTATGAAAAAAATGCTAAATATAACTTTTGAAAGAATTTGATAATTGAATATAAGAGAAAAGAAAAATACATATCTAAGCCGGAAATATTAGCCAGGAGGTATACGTGTAATATATCATTGGAAAGCGGAGAATTGAATACTGTAAATACTACAAGATATTATAAAAAATAAATAAATATTTGTATCATCTTAATCTAGTACTAGTATCTTGATAATTGTTTAATTTTTTTACAGAAATACTTCTCCTGAAAGCCGTAAAGTTGTTATGTGGAATGTAGACGATACATTTCATTGGTTGCGAAGAACTGTTGGTTCAAGTTTTGACGACTATCAAGATCGATTAGCACATCTGAGGGTAAATATTTTTTTATTTTGATAAACTATTTTCTGTTGAAAATTAATATTTTGGTTTTTATTTTCAATAATGAACCTTTTTAATTGACTAAGAAAAAAATATTTCTTTTTTTTTTTTTTTTTTTACATAAAAACTATACATCTCCCTGAACATTCTGCGTAATTTAATTGTCTAAAAAGCTAAACATAAAAACAAAAGTATTGATTGGACCAATATCAGCCAGCACCTTTTATATTTCACCTACCCCCAAAGCTGTAAGGAAACTAATTTTTGGTGTCATACCAGAATTGTTGATTTATAACTACTTTGAAATAATAAAACCATTGTGTAATGATTTGCACTATTTATAATTTTATTAGCAGATGATCATAAAATTTATGTTGAAATTATACTTTACTCCATCTGAAAATAAAGTCTACTTCAGTATAGTATGTGAGATTGGAGGTAGGTAGTATGTAGGAGTAATTTTTTAGTATCTTGTATTATACAGGATATAAACAAACATACTTGATTTCATTCAACATTAATTAGAAACTGAAATAAATTTTGGAAATCATATCCCTTTTTTCTTCTGTTCTATGTCTAATATATATTCCTTGATGTGGCAATGTATGTATATAGAAATAAAAAGAAAATATTAAAAAATTTAAGTGTTACACATTTTTTTATTACACATTTAGTTTTCAAATCTGCATAGCAAATTACCTCAGTAGGTATATAGATTTCATCTTTGCTAACCTTGTGAATCACAATTACTGTTATAGATTGAATCAACAGATTTTTGTAAGGCTGAATTTACTTCTGGTTCCTTATTTATAGAAAATATTTATTTTTTATGAGGTGTCAAAAGTGGAGGATTAAAATAAATCCCATCAAATCACCTTTACCCTTTGTCATAAACCTATGACTTCCTGTGCTACAGTATCCACTAATAATACTCCACTTATCCCCTTTGAATAAATCTGATACCTAGGATTCCACATGGACAAACGTCTTACTTGGAACCCTCATACCAGACTGAAACAGCAATAAACCGCTTGACAGGTTTATTACTTTAGCACTTGCTAGACAAATACTCTGAGCTATCAATTAATTAAAAAAGAGTCATATACATGACTATAATAAAACCTATTTGGTTTGGTAGTTGAGCTTTGGTGCCATACTAAACAATAGAATTCCTCTTGTATCAAATCTTTACAATCCAAAATCCTCAATGCTCATTACTTTGTTACAAATAAAATCATCCATAACGACTTCATGCAAAAAGAAGATCTTCTACTTTATAAATTTTATTAGAGTGTTACCAATGGGTAGTTTATATACATGTCTTTTCATGCTATTGTATTTCTCTGTGTCACATTTACTAAATGTATTATTACTTTTATACAGTTATAAATCTCATGAATAAAAAAAAATATATGTGTTCAAAATTTAAATACTTATAAATGGTATTTTTCATTGATAGGAGCAGTGTCAGCCACATTTAACAGAAACTGTGAAAGAATCTGTTGAAGGCATCTGTCTTAAAATATATCATCTGTCTTCAGAGTATGCCAAAAAGATTCGTGAAAAACATATTGAAATTTTAAAAGAACATGGAATATCTGGTATGAAATTTTATTAAACGTATTGTAATGATAAATACTTTGTTGAAATTTAGATTACAGTATTAATAATTTTATATATGTTTTTGTAAAAAGAGAGAGAGGATTGATGGAGGAAAATATATATATATATATATATATATATATATATATATATATATATATATATATATATATATATATATATATATATATATGTCTTTTTAGAATTGTTTAATTTTCAAATTTCACTTAGAATCGAATGTATTTTTTCGTTTTTGTTTATTATTTTGAATAAATATATGAATAACAAAGAATAAAAGCCACGTTTTCAATAAACTTTTTGGAGAAATCAGCATAACTTTTAAATAAAAGTTTTTTAAAAATGAAAGTTCTATGAAACCTTTACTTGAAATGTTGCAAGAGAAAAAGTTCTAGTTCCAAAATAACTGGAAAAAAGAGATATAAAGATTCGAATCATACTGAAACTGATTTAAAAAAAAGTTAAAATTTCATTTCTATCCCTGGTTCCAAGAGGAAGAATCAGAATGGCATAATTTATGTCCAATTACAAACCCATTGCAGAAAATATGTTTGGAGCTTATCTGAGATCAATGACTTAAATGTGCAAGTCAGTGACTTGGCGCAGCTCTTTCCTTCCTGAAGAATGAAAACAAACAACAGTAAATAAGAATTTTAAAGTTGGAACTTCTAATATGTGAAAAAAACTTTACTGCACAACTATATTAAGTTTGAAATTATTGCTTTAAAAAAGTTATTTTATAAATATAAAGTGGTGATGTACCAAAAAAAAAATAAAAATGAGAACAAGTGAACCTTATTTACGCTATCACCATTTTTACTAACTTTTTGTTGTTTTGATTTAGTAGCAGGAAATTTTTGTAAGAAATGAGACCTTACATATTTGAGATTATTATTTTTTTTTTAGTTATTTTCTATTGTAGGTGATTAATTAGCTTAAGATTTATGGTTACTGCTAACTGTATCGTCATTCTATTTACTTATTTACTGTTTGTGCAGTTACTGTGTCCTATTTTTGTTACTGAAATGAAGGAGCATAAATAAATAAGCCTTATATTTTGTCTCTTCAGTTAAAATAATTCTTTACTCTTCCTCCCACACATAATATAACAAAACTTTGGATGAAAAGACTCTACGTTTAGATACTGTCATGCCCTTTCAAATAGTTGCCTTGAGCTTTCAATAGCACAAATTGAAATAGTTCATATGATACTATAATTTAGAGAAAAATCTTAAAACTCAAATAGCTCTTTTTATTGAAATTTTAAAAGAGAATTAGCCTTTATTTTCTAAATCTGTTCCAGATTTTATTGAGCTCAAAACTAATTTTAAAACATCATGTTTACCATAAGAAATATTGCAATATTTTGTTTTGTTGTAAAACCAATTTTAATTTATTTTTACTTTCACTTACCTATATATGAAATAGGTGCGTGCGTGCATGTGTGTGTGTGTGTGTGTGTGAACAGTCTAGCTAAAAATCAAAAAATTGTACGAAAGTTAAATTGGATATGTTAGGTTTTTATATGCTTGGGATGTTACAGAAACTATCGTAACATCAGTTATTAAGGATTAGGGGTTATTTAAGGATGTTACAGTATAGTCAAAATTGACTGACCAGAAGTGGCAGTTAATATCATGGGCTAAACTCATTTTTACAATTTTTTTGGAAACGGCTCTAACGATTTTTATTAAATTCATTATATCAGTGTACAATTAAACAGTTTTAAACTAAAGGTAATTTTTATTCTGATTGATGTTCTCTAACTTAAATGGGGCTTAAATGGCTAATTTTCAATATTAGCTTCCTCTAAAGTACCTTTAATTTTTTTTATTTGAAACAATTGACTATTTCACATAACTCTCTAATATGAAAGATAGTTAAATATAAAATATGAATGAATTTGATAATTAACTAAAGGAGAAATAAAAAATCGTAACGGAGGATAGTTGCGACTGATCGCACCCGAGCTCACCTGTAAGATTATAACAGGCTTCCATATAAATATGCGGTTTTCATAAATGCTATTGTTGGTATTATTTAATATTTAATTGTATAGATTACACCCATATAAATATTAAAATTTGTATACATAAGGGTACTTATACAAATAAAAATACTCACAATGAAATATAAATAATTATAGCGTCTATAATTTTTACTTTTACTTCTCCTTTGTCTGAAAATACTTATTTCTGCTAAGAGGTTGGTAAGTTGTGTGATGCGCGCACCACACCAGATTTTTTATTATATTATAGGAGTAAACAATTTCAAATGATTTGATCCTGATTCAAAACATTAAGTATTTTTATAATGATTTAACTTGCTAATGTTGATATTATTTATTATATAATTCATTTTAGTTGTATTAAGTTATGTTATTAATTCATTTTGTGTTTCAGAACCGAGAGGAAGCGGGAATATTCTGAGTTTGTCCCGTAAAGTTTGGTGTTATCCAGTTCAGTTTAGTACTCCATGCCCACGTCTACCCTCTGTAGATTTTAGCATGGACCAGGTTAAAGACCAAACTCTTCTTAGGTTTCAGGGGGAAACAGTGAATATCAATACCCCTTACCTTCATAAACTTGTAAGTTCTAAATATTCTTAAAAAAATATATATTGAAAGTAATATTGTAGGTTATGTGTTTTAAATAAGTATTAATATTTAAGAACACAAACAAAATTTTATTTATTTTAATATTTAAAGCCATTTGCACCTGCGCTGTAGGCACTCCGTAGCTCAATACTGTAACAAAGACAAAAGAGTGTAAATCTCTATTTTCTGTTTGGAGAATATGACGTTACAGGAGCTCAACAAAAATAATTAAATGAACAGCTGTATTATTAGTGGTAATTATAGAGCATATAGGAGAACTCCTGTAATCTACTCTTCTAATACTAAAATAAAATATAAGAGTCACTAAAAAATTTTTTATATAATAGAGAGACAAATAGCTGCCTACCAGTTGACTTTATAAAAAATATTTTCAAGATCATTTTAAAGTACTTTAAAATTGTACTGAACAATATTTGGAATAAACCTCATATTTTTTTGGGATATTTTAAATAAATGTCAGTTTTCTGTCATTCTTCCCCTCTCCCCACTAAAATCTGATGCGGGAAACTTTGGGAGTGTTAACAGTTATGGGAAGGTGATGAACATTTTCAGACGTCTTATCTTTTTTTTGGGGGGTGTTTGGATCAATCCCTAATTTTATTGTATATGAAGGAGATAGCTCAATATTAAGTGTGCCCAATACTGATACGATAATGCATCAAACATGTCTGGTTTGAAATACCATTTTATTCCAGAAAGATAATGTAAATATTTTAATAATTTAAATAAAGAAAATTTAAAATCTACTGTCCAGCAGTAAATATGTGAACTCCGTACCCCTAGCGTGTACCACTTGGGAGGCATAGGGGAGGATCGTTATTGAATTCATTTTTATTAGAATAATTTGTTCAATAAATTTTTAGTAATTGACGATTCGTAGAATAACCTGTTGTTCTGATTTATTCTGAGAATCATTTAATATTTTTATTGGAAAATACAAATTATTCAATAAACATATGTTTGAATAAATATTTAAAGTCTAAGAAAATATCCTCTGAATATAAATTTATTCAACGAAAACATTCATTGAATTATCATTTATTCATGCATAAATTTATAAAAAAAATTAAATTCACATTTTTTTTTTTTTTTAAAGTAAGGTTTCTTTACGTTATTAATAAAGTTTTTTTTAAAAACAAATAATTAAATTTTACAATATAAATTTATTTTAAAATTGCTTCTTCCTAACTTTTCAGATTTAATCAATATCAGGGTCTGCTATTATGTTATAGTGGGTACTTTTTATGAAAATACTGTCGAATTGCAGATTGTGCAATCACGCATCAAGTTTTTGTTAATTTTTGGATTAAATCGATATTAGGGTACTCTATCATGTGATAAAACCTTGATGAGCAATTGTGCAATATGAAATCCAACTTTATTTTAATAAAAAGTGTCCCCGATATAATTATAGTGGATTATTTTATCGATTAAATCCAAAAAATTATACAAACTTTGCGCGCAATATGATATCCGACAGTATTTTCACAAAAAGAGCTGATAACATTATAGTGAACTCTTATGTCGATTAAATCCAAAAATTTATAAAAATGTGATGCGCAATCTGAAATCTGACAGTATTTTCATTGACATGCTTTGATTTAAAGAAAATAAGTATTTTTCTCATTTTCTATTGTGTCTGACTTGGAAAGAGGCCTTTATTCATACAACGATTGTGATATCTGTTTATTTTATTTTTTTAATTTTGTACAGATTGTAAATTTAAGAAATTATGTTTTCTTATCAATGAATTATTTTTATTTCTTTTATCCATTTATATCTCAAGCATTAAAATTAATTTATAAAACATTGCAACGATAAAACAAAAAAAATGCTCTAAATTCTCTCTTTTTTTTTTTGTTATATACCCTATACAGCTTAAAAAAGTAGGATAAATTGTTTGGGTGGGATAATAGTATTTTATAAATAGAGCTAGAGGAAAATTATCCCAAACAAAAATAAAATTCCACCAAGTAAGGCCAGTTCCTCACAATTTTCATTGGTTACACGTTACCTGTATCTCTTGGTCTATAATTTGTCATTTGAGAATAATATCTTTAGGAGAAACTGCTTTCGAAATACAGTAATCTTGATTTGATAACAGAGCTTTCAGGATCAGTGAATACAAAAATGCAGATGATTTCCACATATGTGAATTCTGTATTTTACTATTCATGATTATGAAAAAATCACAAAATGAAACAATTTCTATTAATGTTTGTATGTACGCATTGAACGAACATGCTTATGTACTTAATAAGTATGTTTTCATTTCTAAAATAGATGGAACAAAAATTCATGGAAAAAATTCAATTTTATGTTTGTTTGGTGTTAACGAAACCTATTTCTTTTCATTAGTCACATCAAAACTAATTAGATAAGGGATATAAGAATATGAATGAAGTTTAAAAAGTACATAAAAAGAAGGTTTATACATACTTACAGTTTATTAATGCCACATTTTATGTTTAAACAAAACTAGTTCAAAAATGCATGTATGTGACCCCTTTCCATATATTAAGTGCCTACCAAATTTCGCATCTGTTTTAATTTTCTTATAATTTAACTGTTATTTATATTAATTTTAATTGTAAAATGGAATTTAAGGAAATTGATCCTAGACAATTTTTGTATTATTCTTCAAATTTCTCTAACTTTGTGTCAAATCAAAATAGCTGTTTTCAAGCTATAGGCATGTGTTTGCAGATCTGAAAGCTTATGTATTTTTTTAATCTAATGTATAGAATTTGATAACATTGTTATGTACTAGATCATTTTTTTATCAATCCCTTACTTTCCTTCAAATTTTAGCCAAATCGAGCGGGTGTTTGAAGAAAAATACGTTTCCACATATATAAGAGAAAGTAGTGGATAGAATTCAGTAAAATTGATACAGTATCATTTTTTCACTGGCACCCAATTTTCTTCTAGCTTTAGGCCAAATTGAATGAGCCATTTCTGAAATATAGTATATCTAAGAAAATACATTTACATGCTTGTTTGCAAAAGTGTGAGGTGGAATTGGATTATATTTATATGAAACTGTCTAAACATCAACCCACACAAACTCTGAAACTTTCATGAAAAACAGTGGTACTTGATATACCCATTACATGGAGTTGACTACAGGATAGATAAAGAAGCGAATTTGTTCCTTGTATATCTAAAAGGTAATACATGAGTAGAAATTTACGATTTATAGCACACAAGATAACCTCACTCATGAATGCAAAGCTTCTCTTGTGAGGAAACAGTTTGAACTATTATTATTTTGAACAACTTACTTATATTTCTTGTAGTTTATATTGAACAATTTAATTATTTAAAAACTATTCAACCGCTTAGGCAAAACATTAAATAATTGATTAAAACATTTAAAAAAAGTAAATGGAAGCGCACAACAGATCAGCGTCATTCAGGTCACATTTTTATATATTTTTGTTTTGAAAATTAGTGTTTTGTTGTTGAACATTTTATTATTTGGTTTCGAATTAGAACTGTTGTTTAGAGTTGAAAAGAAGTTGAGAGTTTAGAAGGAACTTTTCTCATATCAATTCAATTTACAAATTTGTAACTCGATACATTAATTTATAGAGTGGCCATAGAAATGCACAAAGCGTTAAAAAGTGAAAAAATAGGTTAGCGTCAAAATGCACTTCTCAAACTCCTACTCAATTTAAATAAGGGGTGGGGAGGCTGAGCGGGCTAACACATGTGCAAAACACACCTTGCCCAGCAACATGATAAACAGATTTTTATAAGATATAATAATTACTAGTTTCTGTCCTGGTGCTGGGCGGGGAAGAATAAAAATTTAAAAAAAATCCTCGAAATTACTTTTCATAAAATAAAATAAAAAGTGTAACATGTGTATAGGCTGCGATAACAGTTTACATTACACTATAGGCAGCTGTGCTCATTATTGTTTATTTGAGGCATTTATTTCTTTTCAAAACCTATTACATCCATTTTCAAAAATGCTTCAGGACAGATCCAAAAAAGTTGTATAGAACCACTTTTGGTAGGAAATTGAATTCTTCAGTATTGATTTTTTAAAGATCTAAATGGGTTTGATACAAATACATCTAATTTTATAAAAGTAAACATTTTTTTGTAAATATATCGATGTAATCTGTCTTGAAACACAAACGCCTTATGTGAAATGATAAGGTAAATACAGATGTATTTACGGGGTAAAAACTAGAACAACTGAGAAAAAAACTTTAAAAATATGAAAAAAAAAATGAGAAAACATGGGAAATGTAGAGGAATTTTTTGGGAGGAGAATCGCTGCATACCCTGGTCTGGAACTTAATTTTATTACAAATCATTTGAAGTAGCATGTTTTAGATTGTTAATGATGACTTCAAGTGTAATATTTTTGAGGTTAAAAATGATATGCAGTTGTAGACATTCAATATTCTTAAAAACTCAATTACAAGCATAGTATGTCAAAATTTCTTTTATTCATTTTCGAAACAATGAATATGTAAACTCAAAAGGAAACTTATTGGGCAGATGTTCAACTGTCAAAAAACTGATAGATACATGTCTTATACCATTTTTGAGTAGCATAAATGAATTCAATAAAAAGCTGCTCTTATATTAGTTCTTTTATATATATATATATATATATATATATATATATTTTTTTTTTTAAATCATAAAAGGATTCTGTTTTTTCTAATAGAAACAAAATTAAAATTTATTAATAATTTATCATTTTAATAATTTTATTTTATTGTGTTTAACAGGAATATATGTACCGTATTTCATGTTTTGATGACAAAAAGCTGGAGTTATTTTTAACACGTGTGTGGATGTTATTGAAGCGTTATGCAGCTTATGTGGGTCCTTCACATTGGAGCCAGACTTCACTCCCTACTCCAGTTTTTGATGCACTTCATAAGGTTTTCCAAGTTACCTTTGAATGTTTTGCTTCACCACTCAATTCATATTTTAGACAGTATTGCTCAGCATTTCCTGATATTGATTCTTATTTCGGATCCAGAGGGTAATTTTTTTGTTATCTATATTTTTATTTGTTCATCTTTAACAAACAATTTTTTGCTTCCAAACTATCTCTTGGAATGAGAATAAATATAGTTAAAGTGTTTCCTTTCCCAGGATTGAAGTACCGAGGGAAATAATCACACTAATTAAATACTTAATGAAACAACAATAATAATAATAATAATAATAATCAAATTTTGTGAACACTTTACTATAGTGGACAATTTTACAATTTCCATCTGATTTTATTAATTTTACAGTAAAAATTACTTCTGTATTACAGACTTGGACAGGCATGAAACAAGAATTTTTATTGAAAAGTTTCTTCATAATGGTCAGCAGGGCCTTACTTATTGCAATGCAATTTATAGTAGCTTGGTTCAATGATGTTTCTTGTGAATAAGATTTTGAAATAGAAATTAAAGTTTTAACCTTTTATTGTTAGTTCTACAGATTTGATACATGTCTTAAGTTTCAAAGAAAAAATTGATGTTATTAGTAAATGTATGTGAAAAAATTAGTTCGTTAAATTAGTTAAATATTGGAATCGTTAAAAATTGGAGTGTACTATAAAGTAGACAAAATTTGATCTAGAAATAGAGCCTGCGACTGAGAAGTTTTACTGTAGCAACAAAGTAATCAAATCTCAATTATAAAATCAAAATCTTATTTATTTTATCTTTTTTATATCAATTGTAAATTTAAATTGTTGGTTGATGAGGCAGCACTTATGATAGAACTGATAGAACAAATAAAATTTAAAAAAAAAATCTTATAATTCATAATTTGCTTTTGGTAATTAAAAATAAATAAAATAAAACTAAACATGCATAAAAATGTGATGCATCTAAGTCAGGTGATATTTACAGAATTATTTGTTTTTATTGTAAAACTTGTAAAATATGGAACAAAAAAAATTGAAATAAATGATAAAATATGCAAGAAGTTACTGTGAAAATCTTTGATTAAAATATGTACAAATAACTTATGTTATGAAATACATAATGTATAAAAACTTAAGCATATCTTACCAAGGGAAATCGGCTGTGTTTTTTGTATCACCTTTTCCCTTTTGAACTACAAGGAAGCACTCAAGGCTTTTTTTTTCTTTTTCTGTCGTTGTACTGAATGCATTCCATTAGTAATTGTTTATATATTGTTTTAGACAATTTTGAATTTTTCAGCACTTATTTATTATTAGTGCATTTGGCTCCGAAATTTAAAAAAAAAATGACAGAAATATTTAAATAAATATAAAGAAAAATACTTAATGATCAATAATAAAACTTTTGAATTTCATTTTATTAGACATCTACATTTTAATTTTCTCTTGGTTTAAAAAGAATACTGAAGTTGCAAGTAAAATTTTTAACTTGAGTAAACAGGACAGCGCATGTTTTTGAGAGAAATATGTATTAGTTTACATATTGTTTTTTTTATGTATTGTAAATTATTATTATTATTATTATTTTTTTTAAGAAATATTTTATTATAAAGGAAGAAAATCATTTATAGTCTAAAAGTGGTTTTATATGAAACCAAAATATAAATTTCATTCTAAAAAGCATAAGATTTTATGTGTTTGGTTTTTATTCTTTAATAAGATATATTTTTTCTTTTCTTTCAGACCAATTCTAGACCTAAAAATAGTATCAGGATCATTTGTGGCCAACCCTCCTTATTGTGAAGAACTTATTCACACAGCTATTGCACATTTTGAACGTTGCCTTTCTGAATCTGCAGATCCATTATCATTCATTGTAACTCTTCCTGACGATTTACCTAATTCACTTTTAAAACTTGAAGCGTCGCCATTTAGAAGAAAACAAATAGTTGTGCCTAATCTTGAGCATGAGTACCGTCATGGATTTCAGCATACGATGGCAAAGTAAAATATATTATATATTATTATAAGAAATAGTAATAATAATTATGTTCTGAGTTTGTTATAACTATTTTAAAGTAAAAATATTAAATTTATATTCATACATATTTATATATATATATATATATATATATATATATATATATATATATATATATATATATATATATATATATATATATATAAACTAAATATATTTATTTCTGCTGCTGTTGGGGGCTGGAGTAACTGTTACCTAAGGCGCTTGCAATAGGTAACCAAGTTAAGCAATGCTGAGCGTGGTTAGCACTTGGATGGTCACCGAGATTTCCCTCTCCGGGTATGTGAGACCCGTCAGCCTACTGGAGGCAACTCACACCGACCGGGCGTAGGATTGAATCCGAGATGTCATCTTAGGAATCCTAGGAGACCACATCTTGCGGTTAAAGATCTTCATGGTCTGTAGCACAAATAAAAAAAAAAAAAAATATATATATATATATATATATATATATATATATATATAATCTCTGGGTCGGTGATTCCATACCACTGTACTGTTGTGTACGAGCCGGGAATAAAGAGATATCCTGCTCATGGGTGGGTAATATAACAGCAGCAGTACAGTGGTCGTATTAAACCTCCTGAAAATCCCTTTTATCATTAACTTGGTAAAGTTAAGCACTGTTTTCTTAAAGAAAATTTTGTCTACTTTAGGATAGTGTGCTTAGAATTTAATTATCTTGAATAGTTTTTGAGCAATTGCTTCTTACTCGATAAAAAACATGACCACCTTAAGGAAGACACAGAATCAGTATTAACTTTATTTCTTGGAAATTTAATCTAGAATCATCCTCCCTCTCTCCCTAGAGTTTGGCCATTAAGAACTGAGTGAGATACCCTGTGTGTGTGTGTGTGTATATATATATATATATTTTTTTTTTTTTTTTTTTTTTTTGTTTATTCTACAGACCTTGTAGATCTTTGGCCACCTGAACCAGCCTTCTCCACCTCTGCCTATCTTTTGTTACTGCTTTCCATTTTGCGGCATGAAGCTCAGCCATGCCTTTGTTTATCCTGTCTATCCATCTGTTTTTTGTCCTCTCACATGGTCTCTTGCCTACTATTCTGGCATTCATTGTTATGCAAAGACGTCCTGATGGGTTGCTTTGAGCTACATGTCCCGCTCATCTTAACTTTCTTATGAGATATTGACTGACCAGTTTTTTTAGCAGTTCTTTATTGTCCCTTCTCCTATATGTGTTAAGGTCCTGTTATCGTACGGAGGACTTTTCTTTCGAATCTCTCAATTCTGCTTTCTAGGGTACAGGTTAGAGCTCAGGTTTCACAGCCGTACAGCAGAACTGGCTTTATCACGCTGTATACCCTTAATTTGAGATTCCTGGAGATTTTTCTGGATTTCAGTACCCTTGAAATAGAGAAGAAAGCTCTGTTCGCATTTTTTATTCGCTTGTCTATCTCTGTTAGTTGATCATTTATAGAGGTTATTGTGGAGCTAATGTATTTGAATCTATCTACTTTTGGGAATGACTTAGAGTCCACGCAGATCATGTTATTAGGGTGGATATTTCGGCTAACTTTCATATATTTTGTTTTATCTTCATTGACTTGTAGCCCGATTTTCTCTGCTTCTTTTTACTGAATCTGAGCGAATCTCTCAATATCTTATTGATTACTTCTGAGGACTGCTATATCATCCGCAAATGCTAGGATTTTATGTTTTATTCTGACATGCACCCCTCCATCTTCACATGAAGTTGTTCTTATTACATTCTCAAGAGCTATGTTGAACAGCATTGGCTAGAGTCCATCTCCCTGCCTCAAACCTGTTGTATATATACATGTACCATTTTGATTTTGAGAAAAGGAAAGTTATAGTTATCTACAGGGCTGGCTTGAGCCGAGCAACAATTCAACAAATCTCCTCACACTTTATTTCATTTGTTTTATTTTTTCCAATAATATTAATACACAGAATAATAATTTATGAATACAAATCTTTCAATATGTTATAATAACAAGAGTTTGTTGTTTTACATAAAATTCTACATAATTTTTTTTTTTTAATTACATACTTAATAATGATAATTGAGTCAGAATTCAATCTTCTTGATGAACTAGAGGCAATAGAAATTGACAACACTTTATTTTCTCTTAAACAACAAACAAAATATATATTTAAAAAATGAGAGTTATAGACACTATTAGAACATGACAAAAGTATGTGGTGTTTTTCTCATATAGGTTGGACTGATTATTTTTATTACTATTTATTCAACATCATATATTTTGGCTATAAAGTTTTTTTTTAGCCAAGTCGGAAACCGTTAATAATTTTGTTTTTTCTATCCTATCTGGTAAATCAATACTTTTTAAATGTTCAGAATTCAATCTGTGCTTGTATATACATATTTTTTCTTTGTTCTATCCTCTGTTGGCTTTATCAACCTTTTGCTCTGTTAGTTACCTTAATTATTCTGCTCCACTTTTGTTATATTTGCCTATTGGTTTTTATTCACTATTATCTCTGTGGCATCTTTTGCTAACTATTGTGGCAATAGTGGTTGTTATTGAGTTGGAACACATGAACATGTGGTGTAAACAAAAAAGGCATGTGGAATTTCTTTTTTCAGATCACCTTTATTTTATACAGTTAATTGGCAAACCTGTGGTTTGGCCTTGTCATAGAGAAGTGTAGGTCCAGCTGACGAGAGCTGGAACCTTTCTTTCAGATTTCATGAAAGAGAGCCTCTTACTACTGAAAAATAGATAAATTTCATGAATTTTTTTTAAAGCCTTGTATATATTTTTATGTAATAAGGACCTACCTGATTTTTTAAGATGGCGGTTCTATGTGAGGAGTGGGGTGATCGAGCAGGCTAGTCTGTGCAAAAACGTGTTGCCTGGCAACCAGATAAATAGAAATTAAGATTATAAAATAATTACAAGTTTGTGTCCTCTATAAAGGTGGGTTCTCGTAATAAAATTAATGGGGAAAACCGGGCAGTTGAGCATGATCACCTCTCTGCACAACTGTTGGCCTTGAAGCAGTATTGAATCCAAGACCCTTCAGGAGTACTAGTGATATAATTTTTATATATCACTACAATTATATATACCTATAGGTATATATAATTGTAATATATATATTTATATATATATAATATATAAGGTAATATATATATTTACATGAATTGAATTTACTCGTTGATTATCTTCAGTAACTTGAAGCCCTCAGTAATTGTTTTTATGTATTTCTGATGAACTATTATATCAATAATACATAAATGAATTTTAAATTTTATATTTTTAGGAATGAAGTGAATTTAAAATCATCACATGGAATTGTGATTGTTTGGCTGCAAAACAATGCTGGTTACCAACAATGGGGTCCTACAGATGACCGTGTGGATGTTCTTCTTGAAGCTCTTCGGCCAGGAAGACCTTCACCTGTTCCTCCTCCTGCTCCAAATGCACCCACAGAGTAAAATATTAAATTAATTTAATTAATATTTAAATAGGAGATATCCACAAATAATATTGTGGTTTTTGCATAGAACAGTTTAGATTATACCAAGTTATGGACTCGTTACATAGACACGGGCTGCCTTGATTACAAGTACACTTTCCACTTTCTCCTTAACTTTTAAATAATTTTAAACTTCATGCTTCTATGATTTTGTAATATGTAAGTAAGTTATTTAAAGAAAAGCAATTTTTTTTTCAGTGTACTAATCCTTTAAAACTTATATATTTTTTTAGTATGTTCTTTTTTTAAATAAAGATATGAGGAGAATGGTATATCAATATCTAAATATATATTTTGTTTAATTGAAAATCAAATGGGTAAAAAAAAAAAATAAATAAAAATGTTAAAAACAACTATTATTGAAGAAAGTTAATCAACTGGTTTACATATCATGGGTAATAGTCAAGATGCAGTCAATTTTTAAGATTTTTATAAATTACTGCATAACAATTATATGACTCAAAAATTTTGTTCAGTTTGAACACATAAACATTTAGATACTTCTTTGTTGCATCGTTTTCATTATATGATTAATTCATACAATTTTCATTTGTATTTGTTTATTTATAATTTTTTTTCCATTTAATAAAAAAAAATATTTAATTCCTTTTTATAATGGATATTTAAAGTTATTTTATTTTTCTGTTCCTAACATTTATATTGATTAACAATACTCCTTTGTTTAATTTATTTGGATTATAAATTATTATTCATTTCCTGGGACTTGCTTACACATTTTTATTCATAATTTATAGTTTTACTAAATTATGAATAAATTTGGATTGTCAAAATATATCTGGTATTATCAAGTGAGATGTTTAACTTTCAGAACATTTATGAAAAAATAATTAATCTATTATATTATACAAAATATGCTCTTTAGCTATGGTATGATTCTTTTAGTAATTGTTTTTTTAACTCTGTACATAAAAACTTGAGTCTAATAGGAAATAAATACCTGAAAGGGCTCTTTGGTCTGATAGGTACTGAAGGACAAAAATTATATGTATTGTTTCATCAATTTTGGAATGGTTAATTATTAATAGGGTGATAAAATCAATCCATTTTTTTTTTTTATTCAAACTTATTTTATGAGATACAGGTTTTTATTATTATATGTTCTCAAATTTCATTAATGACACTCCTAAAATTATCATTGTCTATAATCCAACCAGATATATTGTTACTAAGGTAATTTAAGTATTAGATAAATTTCTATACAGAAGTTTTTGTAAAGTTACTAAAATTGAATATTTTTTATTGTTAAATATTCATCTATACAAAATAATATATTTTTCTTTGTCATAAGTTGTGTTAGCCTTTGTTAATTGCTGTTATAACCTAGCTTTAATTGAAAAGTTTTAAATAAAATAATTAAAATTTTATATTCATGAGATCCAGTTTAGTAAATATCCAAAAATTTTGTGGTAAAGCCATAATTGTTTAATTTATTATAACAATTTAACACTTTTTTGATATATCATTGATCAAGAGCCAAGGGAGCTTAATTTTTTATTTCATGATTTTTTTTTTTAAATAGACATTTTTAAAAATTAAAATTGAGTAATAATAATAGCACAAGTGAGGCTAATTGTTTTTAACAAGATATTACTAATTTAAATACAAAATGAAATACCTTACATTTGCAATCATATTTTAAAATTGAATGTTCGCAGTTGGACACATTTTCAGATATGCCACTTTGGCATTGCACCAAAAATTTCAAAGATAACTTTGATTTACTGGTCAATGGTTTATACATTTTTATGATTCACATAGTTTTAATTTTTAACTAATGTGGTTCATAGATTTAGTTTTATTAAAAAACTAATCGATATTTACTTTAGTGTTGTCTACTGGTTCCTTGTACTGAATAATCTAATAAAATTCTATACCATTTTGGTGACTTTATATTGTAAATGGAGTCATTATAAGCTGACATATTACAGGTTTTATTTTTTTAAATTACATTTAATAACAAAATATATTTATATAAAGGCCTTTATATACTTATGATGTAAAAATTTTAAAATTAATATAAACACCAAACATTTTTAAACCATTTTGATAGCCAATTTATGCAATGGTGTTTGATAATATTTGTGTACAAATTTTTATAAGATGTATATACATTTGTGTATAAATGAGAAGAAGTAAAAATAATACATGAAATGTACTAGAAAGTTAATTAAAGTAACAAATGGTTTTGTGTATATTAAAATGTAAATACATAGCTTCATAAAATTTCATATTATTTATGTTCTTTAAATATATAGTTTATTTAATTTAAAAAACAAAACAAACAACATTGCGTTATAGTAGAAATGAATAATTTAAAATGTAGTTATATTATAAATTTTATTGTATATAACTATAAGCTATTAAAATTTTACCTTATAGATATTTATCTGTTACAACTAATGTGTTCTTATTTATATGCAATATGAAAATCTGTTATTTTAAATTAACTGTTATTTATAAACAAATTCTTATTTTATGTGTTAAGTTTTTTATCATTGGACTGCTAGCTATAGGAATTTAAAAAAAAATTATTTGACTAGATATAACTTTTATTTTATTTTTATTGTTCTGGGTTATAATTGCTTGCTTGCAGTCTTCATAATGCATTAAGGCATTTATGTTCTCATTATAGCTGTATTTAAGTGCAATTGTTAATTTTTTTAAATTAAAGTTCCTTGTACCTGAAATCTTTCAGCTTTTTTTTTTTTTTTTTTTTGATTCAAGGTTCCATGGCCTCATGGTTTACATTTATTTTTTATGCTAAAATATGAATGAGTTTTTATATTAGGTTGTGTTTATGACGATCTCTGGAGAAAATAATAAAGAAATAAATACATTTTGTATGATGTTTTTTAATTTTTATTTTATATATAAATTATTTACCTTTTGAAATACTTTTTCTCATTTCAGTTTTATTTTCTTGAAGGTCCCACGGCCAATGTTATTAAAATAAAACAGTGTAGGAAGAATGATATCCAAGTTTTCATTGTTGTGCGAAGTAAGTATTGTTGAAACCTTAGGAATTGATCATGTTAAAACAATTGTTTATGCTTTCTCCTTCTTCTGAGAATAGCTGCTAAGAGCCCCATCTCAACAACATCAAATATTAGATGCAGAATATAAAGGTGCTGGGATCTTGGGTTGGAATTACCTACAGAACAGTTATGTAGCATGTCAGCTTCCTATCATGCCTTCATAGTCCAGTCAATGAAGAAGTTATAGAGTGCTTGAGCAGGGACCTAAGTAATTCCTTCAGAAACTTATTCAGTGGGCTTAGGGTATGAACATATCAAAAGTCCTGAAGTCTAGGTGGTGAACCGGGGATGGTAGGAAAGGTCACAATTTGAGGATTTTTGTTTGTATCTTGAAAACTGTGCATCCCAGAGGAAATTTTTCGTATGGTAAATTAAATTTTATAAAAGTATCTAAAACTTTTATTTTACAAGTTTCATCGGAATTCTTAACCTTTTTCCAGCTATCCACCCTCGGAAAATGATGACATTTTCGAAAGAAAAAAAAATTTGTCTCACGTTTTTCATCAAACATTCCTTCATGTTTGACCGGGATCGCTACCCCTGAAAGAGCAAAGGAAATGTCAGGGTTGTGGGAAACCAGGACACTGTGTGGCACAATATCCTCGCACTAGATGTTTTTAGTGCGGGATTGAAGGTGATATCGCGAGACAATTTCCATATATTTTCCGAAGGAGAGAGCCGATGGAGGTGAATATGCAAAACATGAGGAGACGAACTAATATGCCTCAGAGAAACGGATCTTCGGAGGAGGCAACTTACGCGTCGGTAACTTCAGAAACGGGGGAGTAAAAACCAGGTAGCAGTGGGGGTGAAGGAGGTAGGAGCAGTCAACGGAGTGAACAGCGACGAGTGGTGGTAATAAGGAGGAAGTGGGCTGGTCTCTGTGGAGTGTGTCCACAGAGATGTGACCGCACAGCAACATGTAAAAACATTAGAGCTAAGCCATGCTGGTTGCCAATCATTAAAGTAGAAGAGAGAGTGAAGTGCCTTGTAGACACGAGAAGTTACAGTACTATTATGACCCGAGGGACGCTAGAGAAATTGTGCGAGTAGCGAGAGGGCACTTCGGATACAAAAACGTGACTGTCAGCTAATCACTCTAGGTGGCCCCTGTAGCATGAAGGAAGAAGCGGCAATTGGGCTTAACCGGTGGGTGGAAAAAGTGGGTCAGCCAAAGGTATATGTAGTAGAAAACATGACTCGAGAGTACCTGGCAATAGTAGGTTGTAACCTGTTGGGGCAGGTAGGACCGAGAATTAAAGACAGCAAAGGGGAATGGAGCATTAGGGCAAGAAGAAGTTTAGATATCGAGGGGTCACGAGGGATAGAAGTGGTGAACAGGGTCGAAGACCGGAGAAAAGGGTTACGAACAGGATTTGAAGATATTTTCTTCAAATAGTGCGAGGTATTGGGAGTTAGGGAGAGAACGGTTCATGAGATCTCGCTGAAGCAGGAGAGGGTAACCTACGTAAAAGAGAGGAGATACCCACAGGCGCTGAAGCAGCATATTCGGGAAGAGTTAGAAAGTTTGAAGATGCAAGGGATCATAGTCGATAGTATCTCACCATGTAATAGTCCCCTGTGGGTAGTGAAAAACAATTGGGCGCCGAGGGAGAATAAGGAGAAATATAGGGTGCTAGTAGACTATAGCAATTCATTGTTGTATACGTAGACTATAGACTAAACGAGAATACATTGGACGAGAAGTATCCGATACCCAGATTCGAGGACATATTGGACAGGTTAAGTGGGGCAGTGATATTCAGCACGATAGATCTCAAAGTGGGATATCAGTAGACACGGATGCACCCAAAGGACCAATACAAAACCGCATTTAAATTCCAAAGCAGTCACTACGAATTCACCAGAATGCCGTTTGGACTGAAAAATGCTCCCTTAACGTTTCAACGCCTGATGGACGAGATTTTGAGGGGTATATACAACACGGAATGCCAAGTTTATACGGATGATTTGCTGATCTTTAGGAAATCGGAGACCGAGCACGTGGGGCATTTACGACCCGTATTTGAGACTACGTCAATACTTCAATACGTCAATTCGGACTGAAATTAATTTTTTGACATACCTTTTCTAGCGAGAGGGTCAAGCTAGATGTGAGGAAGGTGGAGGCGATTACGCGAATCGCCGTTCCACGAGATATTAGAGGGATCCGTAAGCTTCTTGGTACACTTAACTACTACAGAAGATTTGTACCGGAGATAGCGGAGTATTTTCTCCCAATAAATAACTTATTAAAGAAAGTTGCTCAGGTTACTGTGATACCAGAGGTGGAGAACAATATCCGGAAATGCATGAATAGATTACAGGCAGAGACAGTTTTGGCGTTCTCGGTCTTCGATAAACAATCCAATATCACCACAGATGCTAGCGAATACGCGTTAGGATCCGTTTATCCCAGGAAGGAATCGGGAAGAAAGGGGGGGACGATCGGTAGTGTACGCAAGCAGATGTCTTACATACATTGTGACAGTGGGGCTGCTTAGGCAACTTTCCAAATTTTAATTAAGCCTAGACAAATGACTCTTCATGAGTTGTTAATAAACAACATTCAAATTATGGGAAACATTCCACTTATTTATACAGTGGACTGTATTTTATGAATTGGTAGGTTGAACGAATTGTGCAAATTTTTATTCTTATCATTTTTATGCTTGTAAAGACATCCTATGGTTACCTATGGCCCTCAAGTCTGCTAGTCTTGCCACTGTGGATATCAGTGATGGAATGGAGTGAGTGAACCGGCAGCTTGTACGTATTAAATATTATCTTTTAGATTTTCTGATCTGCCCCCACCACTCGCCGTAACTAGGAATTTGGAACTATCTTCGTACAAACATATCCCCGTGAAATATCTCATTTCACAAACAAAAAAAGAAAAACCAAACTCAGAGATTGGTAATTACCAGGCAACGCACAAACGAGAGGATAATTGCTTGATTAACAATAAAGAAAGAGCGAAATTATTCAAAATAGATTTTTGGAAAATTAGTAATAAAGTTAGCTAGATCAAAGGTAGGTTAATAAATTACAATTAATTTAAAATAAAATGACTCCTCATTAAATTTAAGCAAAACCAATATTCATATCAATAAAAGCTTTGTCCAGAAGGAAGAGGCACTAACTTATGCACCTGTCGCACCAAAGTGGCTGTAGCAGTCCTCAATTTTACCACCCTAACTACACTATCAGGCCCTGGAAGTGTTTCTATTATCCTGGCAAGCCGCCACTCCTGCAGTGAAACATCTTTCAAATTTTCCCTGCCAGTATACCACTTGTTGCGAGACACCAGATTATGGAGGTATTCATTATACCATCTCTTCCAAAAAATATGAAGAGTCTTGGAAATCATCTCCCAACGACTTGTCAAAGGAAACACAGGTGCGTCTTCTTGTTTTGGCCTGGCTAGGAGGGATTGACCTACAAGAAAGTGTTCTGGGGTGAGGTAATCCAGATTATCCGAATGCTGACTGCTAATATTACAGATAGGACGGGAATTAAGAACGGTTTCAACTCGTATCAGAAGAGAATAAATTTCCTCATTTGTCAACGCATAATCCTGGAGAACGGCAAGAAGATGTCTCTTAGGGGATTTAATAGCTGCCTCCCAAATACCACCGAAATGAGGAGATGCTGGAGTAGTAAAGGTATACTTTATATCCGTCCAACCCAAATGGTCAGAAATGGGTTCGCTCTGGCCCTTTAAAGTTGCTTGAGTGATGCGTTCTAGCTGACAATACAACGAGGCAGACAAAAATTTTACGGGGTAACCGAGAGAACCGCATCCGACAGTGGGAGAGAGTTTGATAATGCCGCGATTAGGGAAGAGGTGAAACGGTTAGAGATTTTCTGGCACTTCAACACACCAGGACACCCTAAAAGCAGAGGCGGCAACGAACGGTTTCACAGTATCTTGAGCGATCACATCCACGTAATGTAAACGTACATCTACAAGTAATAATCATTCGAATCACTCCGTCACGGTATGCGTGGGTGGAGAAGGGATTGCGGGGAAACAACAACCAATGAACTGATAGTAGAACAAATACATAGTAATGGAGAAGAAGTAGGAAATTGGGCGGGAAAAGAGGGTAGAGAGGGAGAAATTCTAAGTACGTGACCAAATGGGATATTTAAAAATAGGAACAATTATGTACAGAAGATTGGGAACGAACTGAGAGAAAGAATTGTTACGTTACGAGGGTCCATTCTGAATTATTGTAATTACGAAGCATAATCTATTAACGGTTAAAAGTGTTAAGGAACCTAGAAATAGAGGGACTGTTCACATGGAACAGTTGAAACTTCCGATGGTAGAGTCAGAAAAAACAAAGTGATCCGCAGTACCCTCACCTCTGTCGACAGGAAATATTTTTTCTTATAAATATCATAATGGAGTGGGGTGGCTCAGTGGTAGGGCACTGAGCTTCCAATGCAAAGGTCCCGAGTTCGAACCCCTGCTCATGGCAGAAAATTTATTTATCTGTTTCATTGGCCGTGTGGCGACCTTGGCTCAGAAGTCCCTCCTGGGGCACACCCAGCCTCTATAAAGTGGGTACCCTTAATTGAATAATTAATTAAGGGGGGAAACCTGGCGGTTGAGCGTGATCTCGGTCAAATCACCTCCTTGCACAACCGTGGACCTAGAAACAGTGCTTTACCTAAATAGTACTGAACCCAAGATCCTTCATGGGTTGTAGTGGTACAGGTTTTTTATAAATATCATAAATATGCATTTTTGTTGTTGTTCTTGTTGCCTTTTTCAGTATTGGTTAAATACAGTAGTGAAAGTGAAGTGTGCAGTGAATTAAACAGAACACAAAAAAAAAAAAATTGTTAGACTAAGTTAATATGTAAATATGACTATTTCATTTTGTTATCTGTTCTTGGTGTGCGTTTTGTTGTATAAATAAATAAATAAAAAGGCTTAGCGAACCCGAAGGTTCGATGCCGACACCACCAATCGCTTATTACACACCTCCCTCCACCGTTCGCCGTCCAAACCCAGTCCCTTCAGGTCGGCTTTAATGCAATCTTCCCGCCTTCGCTTCGGTCTAAACCATTTTTGTGAATCGGAATAAGAATAGATTCTTTCCATTCTTCAGGTAATTTCTCATTCACCCAGATCTTTTTAACCAACCGATGTATTTTAGAAACTCAAGCTTCCCCGCATGCCTTAATTAGTTTAGTAGGAATATTGTCGGTTCTCGCTGCTTTATAAGATTTTAATTTACCGATAGCTAATTCAACTTCCTCTTTACTCGGTTCTTCTATCAACGGTTTAGCACTCTGGTACTCAAAAGGAGAACACAGATCATAATTTCCCGTATTTAAAATATTGTCAAAGTGGTCCTTAAATTTATTCAATATGTCAACCGGATCGGTCAGAATATTGTATCATCCCTAATTCCAGATGTTACGGATCCTACACATTTACGTGATCTGTTTATACCTTTGTACATGTCTCTTACGTTATTTTCGATTCTATTAGTTTCTATTTCAATTATTTTATTTTTAAGATACTCCCTTTTTTTATTTTTGAGCAATTTTGTCGTTTCGTTCTTTGAGGTTCGGATGCGTTTTGTTGTACAGGACATTAATTTAATTCTTAGAGTTTTAGTTTCTTTATTATTACTATTATGTAAACATATGTTTTTTTTTATCCAGTTGAAGAGAGAAGGACTTTTTAGTTTATTTGTAGTTTATATTTGTTAAAATAAGTATAACGTAGTTAGGCTGATAAACCGTCTGATCCACTCTAAGATTACTTGAGCTTCCGAAATCCTATTCGTAAACTGTTGGGGAGGAGATAAAGACCGGAGTCTGACGATATCAGCCTTAATACCATCTTAGAATATAAACAACATGTCGAATGTATATGAGAAGTATTATTTTACGTATAAAACATTATTAATTCTGAAGCCGGAGAGTTCTATCTCAAACCTTTTTCATTTTTTTTTATTATTTTAGTTCACCGACGCTTAAGCCCTACGTAGTAAGGCAGCATTACTTTTAATAAAGTATTTCTATCAACAGGATGAATACGAATTATGAATATTCATATTTCTTTTTTTGAATATAAATATATTTGTATTTATATTCACAGGTACCATAATTATAAATACATTTCGTATTTATATTTACGAATATAAATATACCCATCTCTAGCCACTAACGGATCCAGGACTTAATTTTAGGGAGGGGAGGGCTTAAGCCCGAAAGATTTTTTTTCTATGTATATATCACGACAATTACTTCGGAATAAAGAAAGAAACTAAGTACCTAGATGAAGTGGTGTTTAAGTGATTCTTTAAGTCATATTAAATGTAATAAGATGAACAAAAATACTTTTAAAAATTATTTGTTTCATAAAACATGGTGTATTTAACCATTTTGGGAGGTGGAACGGGGAGTTCAACCGCCGAAAGTCCCTCCCCTCTCATCTCTAACTGTAACTATTAAGAAAAAACTTGTTTTTCAGGAGTTGTAGTTGCAAGGGATGGAAATGTCACTTGCCGTGTTTCTAGTTATAAACAGTCTATCACGTTGTAAATAAAAAAACAAACAGATTTTCTAATAGACAAGAAGGTGAGACAACGGTCTTGGGGCACCCAACAGTACAAGATAAAGTTGCCAACAGAGTATTCCTGAAGCCAACAATGATACAATAATCAGATTGAGAAGCCATGGAAGATCCACTGGTTGGGTTCCAAACCTTACACTGGCAAAATAGGTTAGGTAAAATGCTGGTGATAACTGTTTGGCTGTATCAAATGTGTGTTGATTATTTCCAAATGTTATTATTATAAATAAACCAACCGCATTATATTTCAATTATATATTTCTATTCATCACTAAATCACATTGAGGAAATTCATTTTCAATACTAATAAAAAAAATGTAAAGTTCGATCAGACCAATAAATAAACGCTATATATAGAAAGTTGCTGGCTGCTCTAGTTATAAGCGGCGTAATGAAACTTTCCATTTTCCATCTTGATATATAGAACAACGTACAGTTGTACGCGAAATTCGGCAGAGAAGGACCCAATTCACAAGTCACCTCTTATATTGCTCAAGCCAGCTGAAAAATGACATGCCTTTACAAGAAAAAAATAATTTATTACTACTTATTTTGTTGAATTTATATTATTATAGTACTAACCTCATTATAATTGAAAACCGCTAAAAGTCTTGAAATTCTTTAGCATATCTGTCTACTTTAGCAATATTCCATGTAGCTTCATGATATCTATCAAAATGACTAGTATCACCAGCTCCTTTAACGTCAGGTAGATATGGAGGTTCTATATGCCCATTAAATAAAGCATCCCAATTCATGTCCATGAACCAGGGATGGTCCTTAATGTCATTAACTCCATTTTTTAAAATTCCATACCTTTTGGTTATGTCTACTTGTACAATGTTCTTTATTAAATCTTTTAATTCGTAAGAAAAATAATCAGGAGTAGAGTATTTACCTTTAACAGCCTTTTCGTATATTTTCATGGGATCAGATGCACGAAAAGGAGTACGGCCAGCATTCATTTCGTAAAGTAGTATACCGAATGTCCACCAATCCACAGATTTTCCGTAACCTTTCTGAAGAATAACTTCTGGTGCCAAATATTCTGGCGTTCCGCAGAGTGTGTAAGTTCTTGTTTTAACTATTTTACAAAATCCAAAATCAGTAATTTTCAAATAACCTTTATCGTCAATCAAAATATTTTCTGGTTTGAGATCTCTGAAGATCAAATCACAGTAATGAAGATACTCAAATGCAAGTAAAACTTGTGCGGCATAAAATTTGGCTAGTGGTTCTGGAAATCGTTTCTGTTTCGTCAAATGTTTGAACATCTCTCCGCACACTATAAATGGTAAACATAGATAGAGGTAACTGTTGTCTTGGAAAGAATACTCCAAATATACACAGAATGGAAAGTTGAGAGCTTGAAGGATTCTCTTTTCATTGATCGCTTGTTTGATTTGTTTTGATTTAACTACTACTGCCTTTTCGAGTACTTTTATGGCGTAATACACATCATGATCTTCATTCTCGCCAGCGAGTGTCGCCAAATATACACGACCAAAAGCTCCTCTTCCTAAGGTTCTAAGAAATTCAAAGGAATCTCTATTATACTTTTTACTACTTATGAGCTCATATAGCTTTAAAAACTCAATTTTCGCTTCTTTTAAGAAATTGGTCCAATCGAACATAGGAAATATGTTTCTCTTTAAAGAAGGATCCATAGTTATTATAGTACAAAATTTTATAAATTATAATAAACTTAAAGATTTTGGTAACCTAATCACCGACTATCATTTTATTATTTATGTTTTTCGTTATGATAGTTTTTTTAAATTATTACACCTGAAAATAGTAAACTATCTACGAATTCAATAATTTACCATCTGTTATTATGCTTATATAATTGTATAATATTATAATTTAAATCTGTAACAGAATACACAATGTTGTTATGTTTACATTCCATCGAAATGTCCTTGGTTTTCCTTACGTCTTAAGTAAATATAAATATATATAAATATATATATATATATATATATATATATATATATATATATATATATATATATATACATGATAATAATATCTAAATAATTTAATTATTTAAGTAGGCTAGTAAGTTTAAATTCGGGTGATGCAGGCGCACCAGATTTTTCATGGATGCATGAAAAAGTACTTATATATATATATATATATATATATATATATATATATATATATATATATATATATATATTTATATGTATATATGTATATATCTGTGTGCGTGTGTATATGAGTGTGTGCCTTTGCATGAGTGTGTATATATGTGTTACTAACAATACTCGTATAACAATAATAGTCAGTAACAGAAATATATGAATTTAATGAGAAAATCCATTGTAATAAGTACTTTTTCATGCATCCATGAAAAATCTGGTGCGTCTGCATCACCCGAATTTAAACTTACTAGCCTACTTAAATAATTAAATTATTTAGATATTATTATCATGGCTTAACTTATTAAAGGTTATTGATTACCTATGATTTAATCATTTCTTGAACACCACTTGAAATATTTTGTGTGGCATGCACTTCTTTCATCTAAGTACGATGAAGTTGTTTTAAACAATTCCAGAAGGACAATTCGACGCATTATATATTTCTGATTTCTCATATCTAAAAATAATTTTAATAGTTCATGTTTAGTTTAGAAATTTCATTTAGTTTCCATAGAAACATTTGTTTTCTGTTCAGTGACATTGATTTTTAGAAATTTTTATTCATAATTTTTTCGTCACTCCTCTCACTACTTTCTTAAACGCTAGATATTATTTTTTCTTAAATCTTTAGCTTTTCAAGATTTATCATCTATCTATCTACCTATATAGATGGGAGTTGGAGCTACAACCCGAGCGTGGGTCTTGGCCTGGAAGACCGTCCGCCATCCAGCTCGATCCATTGCCCCTGCCTTCCAGTTCGGTGTTCCTAGCACTATTCTGGAGCCAACCGCCACTCTATCTATCCATCTTAGCCTAGGTCTGACACTCCTTCTGGTACGGTCAATCCTATCCTAAAGGACTCTTTTAGGAATACCATTCTGTTTGAACTGTTGACGCTAGCCTGGTATATCTCCTGTGCACCATCGATTCTTAAGCTCGGTTTTTTGCATCTGCTTCTGCCCGACATTCTAAATCAAACCACTCATCTCTTTTATATTCCGATTCATTTCCTAATTCCAGTCCTCTTATAGCTTCTTTCAGAATCTTCCATTCATCTACTAATTCAGAATCATTGACCATTTCTTTCTTTTTTCATATCTTTGGCGAGTTTCAGGATCCTTGACCTTGCTTGCGTTGATTTTTTTACTACCCTTCCTCTTACTGTGCAGCTATTGGAGATTTTACCTCGTATTCTGGATATTACCAACTAATGGTTCAAATCATGTTAGTGCCATGAAAAGTTCTGCTGCTAATGAGGTTGGATTTGAGGCGAGACGTTATGAGCAGGTGGTCAATGTTGGATCTGGAGACTTCTATGTGTTTTTGTGGATTCTTTTATCAGGGAATAAGATACTTCCAATAACCAAATCCCATGAGAAGGAAAAGTTGATTAATCTCTTTTCATTCTCGTTGCTTTGAGCGTTCATGGAGGCTCCATTTCCCAATCGTAGGGTGAGAGATTTCTTCCGGGCCAACCTAGAGATAGTTCTTTAGTTTCCTAAGAGTATTTTTAAATCACTTCGAGGTCACCTGTCGAACTCTTTCTCCAATGCATCGTATAAATATTCTTTTTCCTCCTCTGAAGATTCTTCTGCAGGAGTGTGGCAATTAATCAGACTTATAATATAGAAGAGTCATTTAAGCCTTAGTCTGCAGAGCCTTGGACTTAGGGAAGCATTATTTATGACTCGTTCTCTCATTCTTCCTCTTACAACAAACCCGGTACCGAGCGTTCGGTTTTTAATATGGCAGCTCTGATAAACTGTATGATATCCTTTTCCCAGAATTCTTATTCCAGTCCAACGAATTTCCTGGATCGCAGTTAGTTCAATCTTATAATTATCAGTTTTGTTCGAGAGAGATTGAAATACTACAGGTCTATTAAGTGTTAAAATATTTCATTGTCCAACTATTATGTTCTAATGACATTTTCGATGTCTTTTACCACTTATCAATCCGGCGTTTTCTCTTTGAGGTGTCGGGATATCGTTTAGTTTAAGGATAGGATATCAACCCATACTTTGCCTATGTGTCAGGTGAAGGGACTGCCTCCTCGGAACATCCTGACGCATTCTCCCGTACTAGGGGCTACCTAGACGAGGTGACCCTTAGGTGTGTCTAGAGTTTAGAGTTTATTAACCAATAATTACAATTTGGTCAGACCAGAGGGCAACATACATCGGTCGGTGTCATTAATAATAAGTAAATAATTTTTACATGGTTATATTTTTTTCTAACAATTTCAATATGATACAATTCTAACATATTATAATAATACAATATAGTTTAATGATATAATAATGTATAATATAATGAAAATGTAATATAATACTATAATAATAGCTGACCGTGCGAATACTTCGCATATTTTTATCAGATTTCAATACATTGAGGGCTCAGCATGAGTTCCATACAGTAATGTTTCTACGCAAGGGTTTAATACTTTTATTTTGTAAGTTATCAGTTTATAAATATTATGATCTATACCCATCCATAGTTTAACCATTGCTAGTTTCATTAAATTTATAAGTATAATATTATATTTTCTTAAGTTTACAAAAGCTTCTAAACTTTGCCTTTAAATATCTGATGAAGGCTAAATACTTTGGATTAATTCTCTGGAAAGAACGGTTTGACCTAGGAGGCTGTATGTACATAAAATAAAAATAAAAAAAAAGAAATGTTTCTTTTTGACATTGATCGTATGTCAAAGCCCTTGGAGGACAATCGTCCACAAAATGTCATTAAAAATAATTAAGTAAATTTTCAAAATGATAAACATCTAATAGCTTATATATATAGATAATATCTTATTTGAAATGAAGTATACTAACAAATATTCCAAAATTTTTTATTGGATGACATATTTATAGCAATATAAACCAAATTAATTTAAAACCAAATGTTTTGAAATTAGCTAGGCCATTGCCCAATGTTTTAAATTCCGAATGAAGAGCAGAAGAGAAATTAGGGTAGATTAAGAAATTAATTGTGTTAGGGCTTTGTCCAACCATTATTAGTCTCAGCAACTAATACTTAGGGGACATTGGCCCTTCAAACGATTAAGGTACACCTCAACTGTTTTTTATCTGGCAGTTAGTAAAAATTAAAAAGTTTTGGATATTGCTTTTTATTCCAATGATCAATAAAAGTTAAAGATTTATTATTACTATTTATTTATTATTATTACAACATTTAAAGTAACTGTTCAAAGGAGCCTCCATTTTGTTGAATGCAACATTCAGCATGACAAAAGTGAAGAAATTTATGGTGTCTCCCATGATAATCATAAATAATCGCTCACACTAAAACACAGCACTAGACAAACAGACGAGCAACTACTGTTATTCTTTATCGTTCATTTGTTTATCATGTGATTAAAACCTGTTATTTAATATTAAACATGTAAGGTAATTTTGAAAATGACCTCCATTTTAAGATTAGGCCACCGCATACTTATTTAAGTTTTTTGAATTTATCCAATATAAAGGTCTACTTTTATGTTTCCGGAGCCGTAGATTTTGAAAACGACCTCCATTTTAAGATTAGGCTGCTGTGTTTTCGGTTTGTTTAAGTTGTTCGGATTTATTCGATATAAGGGTGTATTCTTATGTTTCCGGAGCCTCAGTTTTTAAAAACGATCTCCATTTTAAGATTATCTTTCTCTCCCGCCTCCAATATAAAGGTCTATTATTATGCCCCCCAAAGTAGCATTTTTCAAAATACTATCGATTTTATGTTACACGTACGAATATCGATTTATTGTACCTATTTGGATATATTAGGGTCTAGTATTATGCTGTCCTGTGCCTAGTTTTTAAAATAACCTCCATGTTAAGATTTACACCACTGCGAATCGACTTATTTAGGTTTTTCGGATTTATTCGATATAAGGGTGCATTCTTATGTTTTCGGAGCAGTATATTTTTCATATAAGGGTGTATTCTTATGTTTTCGGAGCCGTAGATTTTGAAAATGACCTCCATTTTATGATTATGCCACTGCGTTTTTTTAGTTATTCGATATAAACATCTACTGATATGCTATCGGAGACATATTATTTGAAATGTTTCTAATCTCTAATATTTAAATTTATCTAATATGTAATCTCCATTTTATGATTACGCCGCTGCATCTAGATTAAGCTTTATTTTGGATTTTTTAAATACTAAGTTTCATCAATATATTTTCGAGTATAAATAAATAAATAAATAAATATTATGAAGCTAAGGTTGAATTGACCACAAAACACAATGTAAAAAGCCGCAAAAGCAACTGGTAATAAATTTAACCTACCATATTCAGATTTTCAGCTAATTGTTCGAAATCTTATAATTTTGTTAGAGAAGACCACAACATTAAAAAAGATAACTAAAATTAAATTTAAAATGAGACAATAGGTATTTTATTTATTTTGGTTAAAAAATTAATTAATTCTTTTTTTTTATTCGAAGGAAAAATCAAAAACACTTAAACAAACACAGTGGCCTTATCTTAAAATGGAGGTCGTATTCAAAATATTAGGTGCCTTCTTATGTTTTCGGAGCCGTAAATTTTTTTAAACTAGGCACAGGACAGCATAATACTAGACCCTAATATATCCAAATAGGCACAATAAATCGATATCCGTACGTGTAACATAAAATCGATTGTATTTTGAAAAATACTACTTCGGGGAGCATATTAATAGACCTCTATATTGGAGGTGGGAGAGAAGGATAATCTTAAAATGGAGGTCGTTTTTAAAAACTGAGGCTCCGGAAACATAAGAATACACACTTATATCGAATAAATCCGAACAACTTAAACAAACCGAAAACACAGCAGCCTAATCTTCAAATGGAGGTCGTTTTCATAAACTACTGCTCCGGAAACATAAAAGTAGACCCTTATATGAAACAAATTCGAAAAACTTAAATAAGTCGAAATGTGCTGGCATAATCTTAAAATGGAGGTCATTTTCAAAATTTACGGCCCGGAAACGTATGAAGTAGACCCTAATATCGAATAAGTTCGAACGACTTAAATAAATCGAAACGGAGTCGTGTAATCTTAAAATGTATGTTATTTTCAAAAACTACTAATACGATAACAGACCTACACATCGAAAAATTAAAAATAAATAAAAAAAGGTTGAATTTTATTGCAAATCCTGATAATTTATTTTCACCTTATAATCTTAACAGTCAACTACTTATCCATCTCTAAAATAATATTATAACGAGTATTTATTTTTTATTTTTAATAACATGTTTTGGAGCGCGGAATGTAATGCACGGGAGTCTTTCTCGACGTTGAACAGGCGTTTGATAGAGTCTGGCATCCGGGACCCATGTGCAAACTCCGTAAATTCCTACCACCTACATACTTCCTCATTATCCGTTCCTACCTTACTGACAGATACTTCAAAGTCAATCATAACAATGCTTATTCATCCCTTTTTACTCAGTCTGCCGGTGTTCCACAAGTTAGTATCCTAGGTCCTATCCTTTACACAGTTTATATATCTGACATCCCAACCCAATCCAACACTGTCATCACCACCTCTGCCGATGACACGTGTATCCTATCAGTTAATAACGATCCATCTATTGCATCCCAAACTCTTCAATCATACATCACAAGTCTTGAAAAATGGTGTCAAAACTGGAGGATTAAAATAAATTCCAATAAATCCCATCAAATTACCTTCACTTTTCGTCGTAAACCAATGACTTCCTGTCCTACAGTATCCTTCAACAATAGCCCTCTTATCCCTCGTTTCGAACAAATCTGATAGGACTCCACCTTGACAAACGACTCACTTGGAACCCCCATACTAGACTGAAACGACTAGAAACCGCCCGACATTTTCGACTACTGCAGCACTTACTAGACAAACGCTCTAAGCTTTCAATCAATTACAAACGACTCATATATATGACAATAATAAGACCTATTTGGACTTGCGGAATTGAGCTTTGGGACTCCACTAAACCATCGAATTCCTCTCGTATCCAATCCTTACAATCCAAAATCCTTCGTAAAATCCTCAACGCTCCTTACTTTGTCACAAATAAAATCATCCATAAAGACCTTAATGTTCCATATGTTTCCGATTTGGCCCAATCCAGATACCTACCCTTCCATAAGAAACTGCAGAACCATCCGAATCCTCTCGTTTCAAACCTTGCTTCCTCCTCGACCCCTGATAACCCTCCGAGGCGTCTGAAAAGAAGATGGCCTCGGTACCTTCTAATATAGAACTTTAATTTGAGTTCTACCAATGGGTAGTTTCTCTTCATGCAGTACATGTCATGTTAACAATGTCACATTTACTTATTGTATTTTCTATGTAATACAGTTGTAAATTTCATTGAAATAAAAATAAAAAAAAAACATGTTTCAGAGACTTCGTTTGTTCTTACTAGTATTTCTTGTATTTCTCATAATAACATAATTATTATGAGAATCCTCTAGAATGCTAGGTACAAAATGCGCAGTTGCATCTTGCAACAATAATCTAATTGACATAAAGAAGATGGAAAAGAAAATTTCATTTCATACTTTTCCAAAGGACGCTCGAAGAAAAGATTGGATTTTAAAATGTAAATGTAAAAATACTGTAAAAAATTACTATATTTTTCTTAGGAAACCAAATGTAGAAATTAATGAAGAAAGCCTTTCTTTCAGGAACGGGTATTTAATAGAATCAAAATTTTAAATACCCAATTTAATAGGATTAAATACCCAATGATTTTCACAACAATTAAGAAAACATAAAATCAAAGCCAAAAGACTTGACAAAAATCACTACATAGGATTACTTATGACATGAAAATGTAATATTTACAAAAATTCACGGAAAGAAAGCGCTTCTTTAATGTTAGATTAAATACTTTTTCTTTTTCAATATTTCTATTATTTTATCTTATGCTCTGTATTTATTTGAAATATTTAAAAATTAGTATTGTGGTACTTTGCAAAAATCATACATTGTTAAATTACATTTTATTTGCTTCAGAATAAACCAAATATCACCTTTCTCTCACCTTTCAGATTTATTAAAATTAATAAGTTATTTAGCAATACAGTATTGATTTAATGTAGAAAAGTAATTAATAATCTTAAAATGTCCAGAAACAAAGGCCGGAGGAGTAAAATCAGTCTTTTGGCTATGTCAGAACTCAATTCCTCCCACCATTTTCCCTCTGAGTGAGGGAACCTGGTAGTTTTACTGACCTTGGACCTTCCCTACTCATCATTCTATCTCTTTACTCGATATTTGTAACCTCATCGTACTAAAACAATGCTGCTTGAGCCGGTTCTCTTGTTTGTTTATCTTGTCAGATTGTTTTGCTGTTTCAAAGGTTCATTGTGAATATTTGTCTGTGAATTAACTGTGATCAAATAATTTTTACTTCATGGAGCTGAAAAAAGAGAACTTGAATAATTTTTACTCCTGCATAGAATATCCTGGAATTGTTAAAAATGTTGACAAAGCTCTTGAAACTTTAGGTGGAACATCAGAAATTTCTAAGGTACAAATCCATGAATTTATTTCGAAAAAAATAATTTTTTCACTTTTTCTGTTTTTACCATTTATATTTTTCTAGGTTTGTTCCAAAACAAATAGGAGATTGGAATTGAGATTTCGTCCCAATGATGTTTTTTGCAAACCAGCTTGTGGAGATCGGTATAAAACTAATGGGATAATTTTGAAGATCAAAGTTGTTAAGAGAAAATCAGAAAATGGAGAAGAAATAGGGCTCATTAAGAATTGTGAAATATTAGGAAGAGTTACAACTTCCTTTAAATTTAAAAGTATATATAGTTAACTAATACTTTTAAAAAAATATATATATATCATTGTTATTCTTTTGTAATTTATATGTTTAATTTATTCTAGACCATAGGAATGTGTTTTCATTATCATAGCTATGCATTGATGTGTTATCCTTATTTAATTTATAATACATCTCATATCATAGTACTTGATGTATAAAGGCTTATGAGTTAGGGCCATTCTAACATTTGTTTTTTCTGTTTTTGAACACATTGATATTTTTGGGTGAATTCAAGAGTTGTTTAGTTCATTTCCAGCGACTTCTAAGATTCTCATGGAGTAAGAATAAGCCGTTTTAATGGGATAGAATGTTCTGATGCCCAGTTAAATGGTGTTGTTCCCTTAGTTTTTTTTTTCCCCACTAGAAAACAATAGTTTTTCAAAATGTCAAAATCAGTTTCTTATTTACATCAGCACACATATTTGTAATTTAAAAGAAGAAAAAAAAATTAAATTTTGATGCTTAATCTATTTTGGTTCCAGGTATATGTGATTTCCAGTTTTTACCAATGATGAAAATGCCTGATGGATGTTTAGAAGATATTTCAGAATCACTTCTTCCTAAACGTGTTGATGGTGATCATCTAAGACAGTGGTTAGGAAGTCCAGCAAGTTATTTTCTACCTCCTGCTGCATTTTCTCGCATTGATTCTCAGTCTTTAAATGTAGAAGAAATATATCAATGAATATTAATTCTAAAGCTCGTTGATGAAAAATCCATTATATTATATTTATCTTCAATTATACTTTTTTTTAGACTTACATGTTTCGAAGGGATACAAAAGATAAAAATGACCAAGCAACAGGTTCATTAATTGGAAGAACCAGAAAGCGACGATCTGGACATGCTGTATTTGTATCTTTTAATATTCCCAAAGTTCCAACGAAGCCCCGAGAAAAGGCAATAAAATTCCTAGAAGTTAAATTTCTTAATGGTCAACAGTTGGAAATAATTAAAAAAGTGAGTAGTTCTAAGATAAGTGGAAATAATACTATAAGATTATTTATAGTTGAATGTCACCGTTTTTTACTTTCACATACCTATATATAAGCCTTTCAGTTGTCTGAATGATTATTCCAATTTCAACATGACCATCCAATTTCAACATTTTTGAGCAGTCGTTTTAGTGATATTTCTAGTTTGTAAATTTATAATATCTGTGCAGACAGTGATTAAGTTGATTCCAGAGTAAGTGATTGCAGTGTTGAAAAATAAAACTGAAAGAATAAAGGTATAAATTTTCCTACTAGAAATATTAAAATTAATAATAAAAATATTGACAATGGAGTCATTCTGTCAGCTGAAAGGCTCATATGAAATATATAGTTAGAGAAAGTATTACAATCGTTTTCGATTCTGAGTTTTCAATGGAAATAAACGATTTGAGGTCTCTTGAGTTCAAATCCCACGAAATGGTCTGTGTTTGAATGATCAGCCTCAAATGAAGAAAAGTTGTATGAAAGTGGTGTTACTCATTTAAGATAGTTATATGCCTGAGATGTAACTGCAACTTTTTTCCTGAAAATCGGCTTACCAGAAGTGACTCTTTATATCATCAATTTTACTAATTTTCATGATTTTCTCTAAAATGGCTCTAATAATTTTGATTAAACACAGTATATTAATATTCAACTAAATGGTATTTAATATCATCTAGGTCTTATCCTCATTGATGTCACTTAACAGGGCTTCAATGCTGAATCTTCAAAATTTCTACGTCTAAATTACTTCTAATTTTGTTTATTTAAAATAATTAACTAGTTAACATTATTCACTTTTCTCTTCTCCCAATATCTTCTCATCATTTCTGCGTGCCTTTGCTTCCTCTCTTTCGACCACGCAGTACCCTTCCGTTTTTTCTTTATTTTCATCAAGAACCTTGATTTCTTTTAATTTGTTTCCGAATTGCTCCCTATTAAGGCAGTCTATTATTTTCAATTTTTCTGTTTCCTCTCTCATTTGTTTTACATATTTTGTGGCACTGAATTCATCCGTCTTCAAACACTTTCCAAAGTTCTGCCAAACACACCTTCCAAAATGGTGTCTCTTTCATTTACTAAACTCAAGTTCTGTGGGATATCCTCTCTCTTGTATTTCCAAATCACCAGTGACCCCAGCCAAAAACAACTGCTTGCCAAAAGAAAATCCTTTGTCCCTCTCCTATTTGGGGAAACTACAGAGCAGCTATTTTCTTTTCCCTGAACTTAATTTTTTTAAATTTAAACATCCCATGACATTAGCAGAAATAAATTAGCTGGCTTTTTAACTATTCAACATTAATTTATAAAATAACATTTTTACCAACTTCCAATAAAGGTGTATATTATAATATAGCATTTCCAAGTTAATTTCAACCTTTTCCAAGTCAAATTCAACCTTTTCCAAATCAAATTAAACTTTTTCCAAGTCAAATTCAACCTTTTTTTATTTATTTAATGATCTTTAATTTTTCGATGTGTGGGTCTGTTATTGTATGAGTTGTTTTTGAAAATAACCTCCATTTTAAGATTACGTGACTGCGTTTCGAATTACTTAAGTTTTTTTTATTTATTCGATATAAAGGTGTATTTTTATGTTTCCCGGTCCGTAAATTTTGAAAATGACATCCATTTTATGTTTACGCCACTGTGTTTTGACTTATTTAAGTTTTTAGAATTTATCCAATATAAAGGTCTACTTTTATGTTTCCGGAACCGTAGATTTTGAAAACGATCTCCATTTTAAGATTAGGCCACCACGTTTCGATTTCTTTTAGTTTTTCGGATTTTTTTCATATGAGGTTGTATTGTTATGTTTCCGGAGCCGTAGATTTGGAAAATGACCTCCATTTTAAGATTAGGCAACCGCGTTTCGATTTCTTTAAGAATTTTTGTCATAAAAGAGTGTATTCGTATGTTTCCGGAGCCATAGATTTTGAAAATGACCTCCATTTTAAGATTACGCCACTGCGTTTTAAAAACTAAGGCTCCGGCATCATAAAAGTAGACCTTTAAATTGGATAGATTCGAAAAACTTGGCGTAATTCGAAACGTGGCGTAATCTTAAAATGGAGGTCATTTTCAAAATCTACGACTCCGGAAACAAGAATACATTCTTTTATGACAAAAATTCGAAACACTTAATGAAATCGAAACGCGGTGGCCTAATCTTAAAATGGAGATCGTTTTCAAAATCTACGGCTCCGGAAACATAACAATACAACCTCATATGAAAAAAATCCGAAAAACTAAAAGAAATCGAAACGTGGTGGCCTAATCTTAAAATGGAGGTCGTTTTCAAAATCTACGGCTCCGGAAACATAACAATACAACCTCATATGGAAAAAATCCGAAAAACTAAAAGAAATGTGAAACGTGGTGACCTAATCTTAAAATGGAGGTCATTTTCAAAATCTACGGCTCCGGAAACATAAGGATACACCCTTTTATGAAAAAAATTCAAAACACTTAAAGAAATCGAAACGTGGTGGCCTAATCATAAAATGGAGGCCGTTTTCAAAATCTACGGTTCCGGAAACATAAAAGTAGATCTTTATATTGGATAAATTCAAAAAACTTAAATAAGTCAAAACGCGGTGGCCTAATCTTAAAATGGAGGTTATTTTAAAAATTAGGTACAGGACAGCGTAATACTAGTCCCTAATAAATCCGAATAGGTACAATAAATCGATATCCGTAAGTCAAAATTGTACTTAGGAGAGCATAATAATAGACTTTCATATTGGAGGGGGGGGAGGGGATGGCCGTTATTTTAAAAAAAATATAAAATTTACAAAAAATTAAAACATTAATTTGAAATGAAAATGGTTGAATTTGAATTGGAAAAGGATTAATTTGAAATGGAAATGGTTGAATTTGACTTGGAAAAGGTTTAATTTGATCTGGAAAAGGTTGAATTTGACTTGGAAAAGGTTGAATTTGACTTGGAAATAATTGAATTTGACATAGAAATATTACACTGAAAAAATCTAAAATGTTAAAATAAATGGATATGCAACCGTGTTATCATTTTTTTTTTTGTATTTTTCAAAAGCTATGCCTTCGATAATATAGTAAGTGGCCTTCATTTAAAAAAAAAATCGAAAGTTGAATTTGAAATGGAAAAGGTTGAATTTGACTTGGAAAAGGTTGAATTTGAAATGGAAAAGGTTTAATTTAACTTGAAAAAGGTTGAATTTGATTTGGAAAAGGTTGAAATTGACTTGGAAATGCTATATATACCTATTTAGACGTAATAAATGAAATTAGTTCAATTTTATGTTCTTAAAATCAAAATTTAACCCTAAAATTGGAAAATGTGCAATTTAATGCAACAAAAATAAGTCTGAAATTTAGTCCGAAAAAAAGTGATATTTTCTGTGATATCAAATTTCAATATATTATTAAACTGATCATGAAACGAATGGATAATTGACTTTAAAGGTTTTACATGCAAGCATATAGACTTCAGGTAGGCTTCAGAGGACTAATCATAAATAAAAAAATCTGGTGTGGTGCGCACATCACACAACTTTCACTTACCAATGTTAGAGTAGGTAGCTATTTTCATATATAGGGAGGTCAAAAGCAATCTAAAGATGCAAAAAGCTCCTGAGATTGAAGCGGAGCTGCCGAAATATGGTGGGGACGAAGTATGAGACCAGTTCATACATGATCACTGCTGTTTGAGACAATTTAATTTTTGTAGAGGCTGAGTGTGCCTGACAGAAATTTCTTTTTTCTTAAGCTCTTTTTTGTTTTTTTACAATTACATTTTAAATATTATATTTACTGCTACTTGAGACACATTAATGTTTTGTAGAGGCTGAATGTGCCTGACAGAAATTTCATTTTTCTTAGGTCCCTTTTCGTTTTCTAGAATTAGACGGGCATGAGACAAATCTCTTCCGTACTACAAAGAAAGAAACTTTTTTTATTTACTTGTGAATTCTTCTGTTTTCAGTGTTTCGAAGAGAGACCTATATGGTCAAAACTTGCATTGATGTGTGTTACATCGTTTCAACATGATCAATTAAAGTATCTTCTACCAGTAGTTGCATACTATTTTGTCACTGGACCTTTTAGAGTTATGTGGGTCAGGTTTGGTTATGACCCTAGAAAAGATCCTAATTCAAGAATATATCAAACACTGGATTATAGAATTCGTGCACCAGGTAATAATACTTCATTCAAATATATCATTTTATATCTTTTAAGATTGATTGTTATCTCTCTTTATTCAAGGTTTTTTACATGTTAGTTATAATAAAAATAATTATTTAGATTATTATATCCATCAGTTTGAATAAATTGCTGACAAAACTATCTTTTAAAAAATACTCTAGTTTACAAATTGGATCAATTTAATACTATAATCATAATCACTATAACACTGGCGGCTTGTGTCTACAATTAGTGGGGTGCTACTCCAGGAAATTGTTAATCTTTTGTTGTGTGAGATTCAGCATGTTGAATAACTTCTTTTTTAACTATAACTTTCTCAAGGAGAGACTAATCTGAAAACTCAAGCTGTTGAAGTTCATTTACAGTAACAGAATGTATTGCTTGGGAATGAAACGTTATGATCAGAGAGTTTTGTAAAATAAAAAAAAAGGAAAAAAAATTTATAGTTTAGCTGGAAGCAGTACAATTTTCTAATTCTACACTTTATAATATATAAGATGATGAGAAGAAGAATAGTTGGGGTGGTCAGTCAAATAAGAAGGCAAAAATAAATGATAATATTTATTTTGTCATTTGCCGACGTTTTGACCTGAAGTTCAGGCCATCATCAGGGCTAAGAAAAGTACCAGATAACAAGGTATGAGAAACATATATAACTGATCACCCCAACTATTCTTCTTTATGTTTCTCATACCTTGTTATCTGGTTCTTTTCTTAGCCCTGATGATGGCCTGAACTTCAGGTCGAAACGTCGGCAAATGACAAAATAAATATTATCATTTATTTTTGCCTTCTTATTTGACTGATCACCCCAACTATTCTTCTTCTCATTATTCGCGACAGTCAACTATTTAACCACTATATAAGATAATGATATACAATTGTTAAGTTCATCATAAAAAGAGAAAATATAAAAATTGTGCATGCCAAGGTGTGCACTGTAGAAGCGACAGTGCCCTCTCTTCCTCACTGCCTCATATGTAGCTTCATAGGTGTGCATGCTCCTGACAGCCTAACATCAAGCTACTGGAACTGCAAAGTTTGTAGTTTCATACGAAGATTTATTATCTTTTTCAGAAATTTGGGATGACTACTGACAGAATGCTTTAGGATTTTATATTTTACAAGTTTAAAGAAACAAGAACTCTTATTTGAATTTTATATGAAAGCCAAATTGATGGTCAGGAATTATTTTTTTTCCGTTAGTATGTTAACCAATCTTTTGTACATTCATTTTTCAAAAACTTTGGAACATATTGGAAGGAGACTGATAGGTCGGTAGGATGAATGATTGAAAATGTTTTTGTCCCTTTTGTGTATCATTTTAATATGTGAATATTTCCATTGTAGTGGGAGTAGTTGTCCTCAGGATACAGTTGTAAATTGCAAAGAACACTAGTGCTTTCCTGGGCATTTGTTAGAGTGCCTCGGCGGTTATTAAGTTATAACCTGGTGCTTCTCTTTTAGGTAATTGTTTGATATGCTGTACAACTTTTGGAAGAGTGAATGAAAGAGGAGATGGTGTTAACGGTAGTGGTATATCTAGAGTATTCTGTTCTAAGTTTTCATGTTCTGTGTTCATGAAGTCAGTAAATGTTGTAAATACAGGTGACAGATGGTCAGCAAATAGTTCAGATTTTTCCCTATCCGACAAAGCCCATGACAAACCAAATCAGTCGATAAGCTGTTCATGTAAGTATCGTAGTTTCTCACATCAAATTTTTGTATTAGTCGTTTAAGGTCGTTATTCAGTCTGCTAAATGTTCGTTTATGTAATGGAAGTCTGTTAGTCATATCTTACGTACTCTTCTCTTTGCCGTTATCAAGTTCCTTATATACTGAGGATATCTCGGCAAGTGCTCAGGCCTTAATGACATGGGAAGACATGATACCCTAGCAGCTTTTTGAACACTTTTGGTAAATTTGTCCACTGCCTCATCTATTTCTTCTTCAGTTTTAATTGAGCCAGGGATTGATATTTCTGAATCCAGAAATGACTTATAAGCATCCAATCCATTTTACCATTGATGAGCTCAAATTCCAGCCAGCCGGACACTTCAAGTAAACCTATTCAATAACTCTGCTGAAGCAGATTCCATCAGGTTCTTAAAACCACTAGTAGTGGGAGACAGGATAGGCTTCTAGTCAATTTTTTCTATGAAGTCATTGGAGGGCTGGTGATATAGCGGAGTACTTGCATGGTAATGCAAAATGGCAAAGGTCCAAAGAACCATGCAGTAACTTCTCTGTTTGAAATTAAGCTGTTGATTTTGTAGTGTTAATGTTTTCATTGGAAAAATATATTATAAAGAGTTCTTTGTGTGTTATACTGGATTATGTCATAGACCCTATCATATAACCCAAAAAGTATACCTAAAAAATGGAAGTAATCCATAGTCATCCCAGTATTTAGGAAGAAAGTGATCCCTCAGAGTGCAGAAATTATAGAAGAATTATTCTCCTGAATGTTGTGTATAAATTTTGTATTGCATTTATATAGATAACAGGTGAGGCTGGCTCTGGCCATGAAGCAGTGCAGTTCGGATCTGTGATATTTATCGAGTTTATAAGTCCAAAGTGAAATTTGTAAAAAGTAATGACTAGTGGTTACCATACTTATTAAGGAACACTATATTTCAATTGGGTGAGATTTTGTGAAGTGGCTGCGGAAAAATAAGGTGAAAATACTTTCATCTAAATTCCTTGCTCAGACAATTGATACAAGCAGCAGGTAGATAAGTAATAGTGGGGGCGTACGTGCTGTAACCCATCAAAAATACATCCCCTCCACCTACCTCATTAGCTGGTGAGCAATATAATTTATTATAACAATAACAGTATAATTTATAATAAAATGGCCCCTTCTATAACGCTAGAGGACATTATGACTGAAATAAAAATTAACTCAAAAAACACTGAAGCCATTGGAAATTATCTCTGTCAAATAAAACAAGCAATACCCCAAATAATTGAGGAACTTCATGCTGGTAGAGTTAAACAGGCCTTATTAGAAAAGAAAGTAGAGATGCAGGAGGAAGAAATAAATAATCTCAAAGGAAAACTAATAAAAAATAATGCAATCGTATATAAAGTTCCTGAGCCTCAAAGAGAAGAGCCTGAAGATGTCTGTGGTACATTAAAAACCTTATTCAATAGAACTGAAACCAACTTATCTGTCAAAGATATTTCATATTGCCGGAGTCTAGGGAGAGGTCAGGCCCCTAGGCCAATTTTAGTTTCATTTGTTAGCCATAGGGACAAAATTAATTTGTTTAAAAAGAGGGACAAGCTCAGTGAAATTAATTGTTCTATAGCCCATGACCGAACGTTTTTGGACAGAAAGAGAAGGAAAGATTTGTATGAAACTCTAAAAAAGGTACAAATAATAGATGACAAATCTGTTATTATTAAAAATAAAATAAAATTTAGAGGGATCCTATATTCCCTTGACGAATTGCGTACCATTTTAAGCTCACCAGATTTTAAAAAATGTACTGATGAAAATTTACTGCCGGATCATGAAAATGCTGGTAATAGAAAAGCCAAAGACAAACTAGAGTCATTTCGTTTTCGCCCCAGTTTGATCGGTGATTTTAATTGTAGAATGTCAAATCAACAAGTACTGTCGAAAAAATATTTAGATTTTAATGCGAATATTGAATATTTATGTAGGAATTCAAGGGACTCTTGTTTAAATATAAATGGTAAAAAAGTATTACGAGCTCTGTAACGATTTTAATTTGGCTATATTAAATGGCCGTATGAAAAATGATATAAAAGGAGAATATACATATTTGGGAGCCTCGGGAAATTCTGTTATAGACTATGTTATTGTAAATATGAAGTTGCTATCAGTAGTAAGAAATTTCACTGTTGATTATCAGATTTTTTTGGACCACATGCCGATTATTACCCCTTTCAAAATTAAAAATAAGGTACTTGAACAGTCTACTTTACCACTTCTCCCAAAAATTAATTGGTTGAAACAAAATGAGTTAATTTATCAGGCTAGGGTGGATGGTTTAGTTAACCGTTTATCTGTAAATGAGCATTCAGTGGAAGATTTGATAGACATACTCACAAATACCATCAAGAGGTCTGCTACTTATAATCCTTATCCAAGGTCAGTTTAAAAAGTAAAAATCCATGGTTTGATAAGGAGTGTTTCCAGGCTAGGAAGATGTCATTTATAAGCTTAAATTTATTTAGAAAAACTTCGTCCCCTCACAATAAAATACAGTATTTAAATTCAAATAGTAATTATAAAAGTCTATGTTTATCAAAAAAGAAGAAATATTATATAGATTGTGTCCAGTGTCTGAATATGGTTAATAACAGTAAAGAGTTTTGGGAATTTGTAAAAGTATTTAGAAAAAGTAATTACTGGTCTGTAGGTAATATATCATTACAAGATTGGTTTATGCACTTTAAAACTCTATACAACCCTCCGTTAATTTCAAACAGAATTTTATACGTTGAACCGGATATTAATAATGCTATTTTAGATAGACCCTTCTCTCTTGGTGAGTTGAAAGCTGTTTTGGGTAACTCCAAAAATAACAAGGCACCAGGAAGTGATAGGATTCCTTATGAATTTTAAAAGTATGCTCCTGATTCCTTTTTAAACATTTTATTAATAGAATTTTTGAAATGGGCTATGTCCCTTTAACATTTAAAAAATCCATTATATAAAAAAGGGGATAAAAATTTGGCTTCTAATTATAGGGGAAACTCCTTCATTAATGCAATTGCCAAGTTTTATACGGGGTTGATTTTGGCTAGATGTCTGGACTGGATTGATGAAAACAATATAATTAAAGAAGCTCAGGCTGGTTTTAGAAAAAAATATTCAACAATCGATAACATATTCACATTAACGAGTCTAATTAAATTAAAATTACAAAAGAAAAGGGAAAAAGTGTATGCATTTTTTGTAGATTTTTCCTCCAGCATTTGATAGTGTGGATCGTTATAGTTTAATTTATAAATTATATCAGCTAGGATTTTCATTTAAATTAATTAATTCAATTAAAAGTTTGCTTAGCGATACTAATGCTTCAGTTTGGGGTTTGACAAAACCATTTAGTATGGAATCGGGTGTAAGACAAGGTTGTTTGCTTAGTCCAATTCTATTTTCATTATATATAAATGATTTGGAAGAAAATTTAGATGATGGTATTTGTGTAGAGGAAAATTGTAAAATTAAATATCTAGCTTTTGCGGATAATATTGTTCTGCTATCTTTACATCCAGCGACATTACAGAGTAATATAAATTCTCTAGACGAATACTGTACAAAATGGAATCTGAGAATAAATCTCGAAAAATCTAAAATAATGGTCTTTTACAATGGTGGTAAGTCATCACGTAAAGAAAAATGGTTCATGCGCTACAAAAGTATAGACGTAGTACATTACAAATACTTAGGAATAATTCTCACGCCTACTCTCTCAATGTCCAAACATCTGGCAGAAAAACTGGAGAAAGCCAAGGTGGGTTTGAATTTGATTTGGCACCAGTTTATCGAAAACAAAGACATAGCTCTATCCAAAAAATTACAAGTATTTAATTCCGTTAGTAGGGCAGTGATGTGCTATGGAGCACAAATCTGGGGCGGGGTAAGTTATGAAGCCGTGGAAAGACTACTAAGATTCTTTCTTAAAAAAATATTTAAATTACCAAAATATACTCCAACACACTTTATTCACTTTGAGACTAAAATAGATCCGTTATTTATCTTCACAATTAAACTCCATTTTGATTATATTGTAAAAATTTTGAATCTTCCACCACATAGATATCCAAAAATATTAGCACTACAGATAATTAAAAAAGAAATCGCATGGTTTAGGGACTTACTTAATCTGATTGAACTGCATGGATTAAATTTCAACTTAAATCGATCTAACTGTGATGATGTTAAACTATGGAGAGCTAATTTATATTTACTAAGAACTCAAATTCAGAAAGACATATATAATCAATATGTAATTAAAGTTCAGAATTCTAAAACTTTCACTTTTTATCCTCATTTAACTTCAGTAAATTATATTGATGACAAAAGCTCATTGAAGGTGATCAGATGGGTAATTAAAATTAGAGCTGATGTTTTGAACTTGAATTATAAACACTTCCAGCAAACAAATAATAATTGTAGCATGTGTAATACAAACGAAACAGAAGATCTCTATCACTTCCTGGCTGCTTGTCCGATACTCTGAATTTAGAATTAAATGGTTAAAGTCTAGAAATTTATCTCGGGATCAAGTAATTGATTTATTAAGTGGAAACAATTGGATAGCATTGGTAAATTACTGCAAGTCTGCTTTCTCCTATAGAATAATGCTCATCAGAGAATTTAACAATTATTAAATTGGAGAATTTCGGTACCACTGTTTTTGTAATTAAAATACTTGTATAACTTTTACATTGTAAATATAATTGTTCTTATTTTCCTATTAAGCATTTGTATATAAATAGACTGAAATATAATTTTATTATGAAACACAGACTCCTCTGATGGTCAACAGACCATGTAGCACACGTCTGATTTTCGGTTTTAAATCCAAAAATATTATTTTGTATTGTTTTGTAATTTATATTTTGCAATTATGATAAATAAAAAGACTTTTTCTTCTTCTTCTTCTATAGATAACAGGTTGGAAGAAGCCTTTTGGAAGATAGAACAGCAAGCGAAAAATATGGAACTTAAGATAAGTAAAAATAAAACAGATATGTTGTGCATAAGGAAACAGGATGTGGCCCCACAACAAAGAAGTTAGAATGGGGGGTTATACATTTGAGGTTGTTCCATGCTTCCAATACTTGGGCTCTGTGGTCACAGAAAAGATGGAAGAGGAAGCTGAAATAGGTTATAGATTAACAGAAGCCAATAGAGCATATTTTTTCTCCTAGTCTAAATTATTAGAAGCAGACTACTGAGTCACACTATGAAAATAAGATTGTCCAAAGGTCTTTTAAGGCCAATAGCACGTGTGAAACGTGGACACTCAACAAGGTAGTTGCGCAAAGGTTTGATCGCTTTTTAAGAGGAAGATCCTGAGACGCACACAGAGTTGTATTGTGGATACCAAGATTTGAGCATCTCGAACTTCGCCTAGTTAAAATGAATTGGGTCACATCATCAAGATTGAAGACTACAGGTGCCCTATAAAAACATACAGGAACATGCCAGGCGGGACAAGACCCAGATCAAGCTGGCAGGATGGTTTTCTCACAGACATGACGCAGGCAGGGATCAGCATAGTACATGCTGCAGATAGGTCGTTTGGGGCAAAAAAAAAATTGAGCAGGCTAAGAACCACTTTATGCTTCTGTCGCGCCATTAAATAAGAAGTTTGAGATTTATTTCATGGCGAACCTCACAATGAATCTCTACCTTTTCATTTGGTTAGAATAGGTTTGGTTGTAGCTCTAAAACAACCCTCTTCCCTTTCCCGTTTGGGGCAAAAAAAATTGAGCAGGCTAAGAACCACTTTATACTTCTGTCGCGCCATTAAATAAGAAGTTTGAGATTTATTTCATGGCGAACCTCACAATGAATCTCTATCTTTTCATTTGGTTAGAATAGGTTTGGTTGTAGCTCTAAAACAACCCTCTTCCCTTTCCCTACTCTGCCTGAAAAAATAATGTTATAATATATTTACTAATATAATAATAGTTTTAATACTTTACTTACAAAAGGTTGGTAGTCTTGTTCATGCTTGCTGTTCTCCTAATTCAATCCCATCTAATAGAGGGTTTAGTTAATTAATTTACGTACCTCTCTAAACTAGGGCTAGTTTATTCTAGAGCTTATGTCTTACTGATCTTTTCAGCTTAGCTATTTTTATAATGAATTTCAATTCTAATAAAAACACATGTACTTTGTACCTTTTTATGCCTGTAATCTAATTATTGTTACAGCTGGCTTATTAAGTTTAGTTAAAGCAAAAAGGAGTGATGCCAATTATTTGCTACCCTCAAAATCTACTCATACGGTTGCCAAATCAGTTGTTATCACAAAAGATGTAGAAGCAATTGAGCAATCTGGTGTTGTTGATGGAAGAATTAAAAAGGATTCATATATTTATCAACCAAATTGTCTACCACCTGCAAGGCAAATGTTTTATCAGGTATCATTTCTAAATAAAGTAAGTTTGATTTTTTTTAATTTTATTTGTATTGATTTTATTTATTTTTAGTATTGTGATATTAAAGTTGCTGAAATAGAAGCTATGTTAGGACGGTTGCCTAAAGTAGTAAATAATGCAGTGTGTGACTTGAAACATGGATGGTTACCTTCTGGATTTGATAATCAGTGCAGAGATATTATTAATATTTATGTTACCAAGCAACTAAACAAAGCTGCCTTGGCTGGTAAGTTATGTTGAATTTGATTTTAGCTATTCAAATGTTCTTATAAGTTATAAATATATTAGGGCGATCAGAAAGTAATGCCGTTTTCTTATATTAAATTCAAACATATAAATTTAGCACAAGTTTTTATTTTTAACCATTGATGGAACACCCTCATTATCAACAACCTTTGGCCATCTAATGTGCAACTTTTCAATGCAGGATCGATAAAAATCAATTGGTTTTTTAGCAAAATATATAGGGATGAGAATTTGGATGCCATTACAATTTGCAAATATTTTGCCCTTAGGAAGCGTTAAAACGATCCGAACAAATAGAAATCCGATGGGGGTTTCATTGGGCGAATATATTGGATGAGGCAGTATTCCTTCACCCCAATTCATTAATATTTTCCAAGGATCTTCTTAAGCAGTATGATCTTACATTTTCGTGTTGCAGAATAACACCTTTTCTGTTGACAATTGCTGGCCACTTTTCAATTAAAAATAGATTTTCACGATCCAATTGTTCACAATAGAGGTCTGCATTCACAGTTTGTCCAGGTTTCAGCACTTCAAAATGAGCAATGTCGGTAATATTCCACCAAACTCACAAAAGAACCTTTTTCTGGTGTAAAGCTGGCTTAGCAGTACTTCGTGGCGATTCTTTTGGGGAGAGCCACTGCGTTTTGCTTTTTGGATTATTATACATGACCCATTTTTCATCTGCGGTGATAAAGTGATTAAAAAATGCTTCTGTGGTGTGCCATTGAAGCAAGAAGTTGCATATGGAGGTTTCCCAATCTACTGCAGATGTTCTTGGATACTTGATCAAGGTTGGTTAAGACTGTTTGACAATTCCTCGATTTTCTGACACGGATTTGCTTCGATTTCTGCCCTTAACACATCATTGTCTAACGTTTTTGGTCTCCCTGATCAATATGAGTCGTAAAGATTAAAATTACTGGATTTGAACTTGAAAAGCTAACTTTGGCATTTACGAATGCATTTGGATAAACATCGCAAATGGTTTTGATAGCAACTGTTTCTTTAGTATCCTTATGAAACTAAAAAAGGATGTGATGCCTCTTTTGGTATTTGGCTGGCCATTTCATCAAAAATTGAAAAAAAAAATTAATTTAATTATTTGTAACTAAAGAAGTCACTTATTACCCTAGATATACACAATAAGCTACCAAATGACAATCAAATAGTGATAGACTCAGAAACGACATTACTTTCCGCTTCCCCTGTGCACCCCTCCATTTTCATATTGTACGGTTCTTATCAGACCCTAGAGCCCATTTTTTTTGCCACAAACCAGTTTGAATTTTAAATGCTTTATATAATTCTTTTTGTATCAGGTCTCGACGTTTAGGATTATTTGTAACAGTTCCTGTTCTGGATCCAGCTTCGTGCTAATCTATTATATTTTCTTAATAATGATATTCCGTTTTAGCAAGATTCGTCATTATCTAGTAGGCGATGGGAAGGAGTGATATAATCTGTAACTATTGAACTCATACATGAAGCCTTTCTTTAGAATACGGCAAATTATGCCAGGGTTCTTAGCTCATCCTTTCCTACTCCCATATGTTTTATTATATTTATTTATAAATTCTAGTTTGTTCAAAAATTTCTGTATTCTACCCTAGTAATAAACAAAGGATATAGAAATAATAATAATTCAGTCACATCCCGTACAAGAAAAAAAAAAAAAATCTACCCTCATTCGACACAACTTAGACCCCTCTTTTCATGACAAGGTTAGTAGTAGTAGGAAACAGTACCATAAATATGATTTGAGATGGCCATAGCAACCAAGTTTTGAAGTCTAAATTTCTTACTGGAATTTGTGAAAGATGTGACTGGGTGTGTAATAACACAATGTTAGTTAGTAATTATACTATAACACATAATATAATTGGGAATAGTCTTTTATTGTTATGATGAAAACAATTTTAAATCCTTGTTCTAGTTTTTTTTCTTTTTAAGAACCTTAGAAGGGCTCAGGTCTTTTATAAAATCACAGTATTATTGTATATTGTTTTCATATTTTAGTTGGATCCAGCTCATTAATTAAAGAGGAAGCTGGTGCAGACGATTCTACTGATAATGAAGATCATTGGGAAGAAGAATTTGATGAAGAAGAAGTTGATGAAAGCGATGAAGCCTAATATTTGACATGTATTTCTTGATTAACATTCCAAAACTTTTGTTAAATATTTTCATTGTTTATTATTTTATTGACTGTAAATATTTTAATAGAAATTAATTATATTTATTCAGTTTTCATAACTGATGGATTTTTAATACTCAATTTGTAAATACAATTTATATTTTATGATCGTTTTATTTACTTTTTTATTATTATCACTTTTACCTAATCTCTTTAGTAGGTGATTGCTGAGCACACTGGACTGAAGCTACAAGAGGTTTTGGTTTTGAACATTGTGGGTACAACTGACATCTGGGTCATTTAATATTTGTTTTTCTGTGACCCTAAAAATGAATCTAGATAATCCTCTTTTGATTATTAAGAGACTAGAATCATCAGGTAGCTGCCAGGGGTTAGAAAAAAGGCTACAAAACTCCTTGTTGGATAAGTTTCCCTTTGAATTTGAATCTTGAGTTTTCAAGGGAAGTACGTTTTAAGGCCCCTGAGCCCAAATAACTAAGTCTCACCAAATAGTCTGTGTATATACGAATAGCATAGCTCAAAAATGAAGTCATACAAACTGAAATTATGTACTTATTGTAGGTACATGCCGGGGATTTTTTTTTTATAATACTGACAACTGAAATGCCACTTTATATCACTTTACATGTATTATAACTACATTCTTGAAAATTGCTGTAACAATTTCAATTAAAATAGTTATTTAATGTAAAATTAAAAGGTATTTATTATCAGTTAGATCTCATCCTTATTTAAATAGTATAGCTTGAGAAACCAAAAATATATAGTGCAAAAAATAGTTATATTTTGTATTAGTATATTTATAACTAGCTGATGTACCCATCGTTGACGGGTATATGGTTAAAATTTGAGAATATTTTTTTGAGATGGATTATGTATTATGATGGGGAGAGTGTAAATTCAATTTCATAAAATTGTGTCGGGAGGAGGGAGGGGATTGTTTTGAAACTTTTTATGGCGTGGCTTATGGAAGTCTAGGTTTCGCAATAGTCATAACAAAAACTTTGTTATTCGGCTATTTGTTTAGGTACCACACAACTAAACCGACCACCACCGATCCATTAAAATTTGTTAAGTGTTTAATTTTCATTTATGATGAAGCGAGGAGATTGTGGATTCGATTAATTAATCGAACAGAGTTGAAGTCTCTCCACTTCTTTAAACTCTGCTGAGTTTATCGCTGGCAAAATAACATTGGACATTAAGTCACCTACATCCGTGTAAAATTAGAACTTGATCTGAAATTTATGGGAGTTTTTTTTCCGATTTGCTGCTAATTCGTTTGGTTAATCCTAAAAATGTATACAACATTTTGTGAGGCTCAGGAAGTTGAATCGAATGACACCTTGAACGGGAAGATCGGACAAAGTTGAAAAATGAGTATGTTTTACCCATTATATGCAACAATGCGTTACAGATGTTAGGTATTCCGGATTTTTCCCGTTGAGTTGTGATAATTTTTTCCACCAGTTGAGCAGTACAACTTTTAAATGTAGCTCGCGATAGAGTAGGTTGTGATGGGAATCAAAGTAACTGCCTAACCGGGATCTCTTAGATAAATTACTCAAGAATTCATAACTTTGGTTCTACTCAATATTTTAAGTTAAGCAAACCTAAATATAATGTCAAAATTTCAAAAGTTTACCATTAGCCATTGCCGAGATTACCCCTGACGAAATTTCGTTGGACAATGCAGACATCCAGACAGACCAAAAATTTGTTATAAGTAGATTTGGTGTCTGTATAAAACGGAAAGATATCATGAACCGTGTTGATTCTATTCATGGTACAGAAAAAACCTTTATTTTATTTATTTAGATGTTCTTTAACCTATAAACATATATTTATTATTAACATTTATCATCAACATTAACTGAGATCTTTATACAAATTACTAAACTGTTCATAACTTTGGTTCTACTAAATATTATGTTTTCATTTAAAGACTATGTTTTAAGTCTAGCAAACCTTAATATAATGTCAAATTTTCAGAAGTATACAATCAGCCATTGCTGAGCTTACCCCTGACAAAATTTCGTTGCAATGCGGACATACAGACAGACAAAATTTTTTTAAAAGTGGATTTGGTGTCTGCAATGTATGAAACGGAAAGATATCATAAAACGGGTTGATTCTATTCAATGTACAGACAAAACCTTTATTTTATTTATATAGATTATCAATAAACTCTAAGATTTATCAACTTTAAAAACATTATTTCTACTTTAAGTTGGGTGGTAAGTGAAAGTCGTGATGTACCGCAGCAGTTTTTTTTTTCTAAGATTGTTGTAGCAGTATTACTTTATCAGAACAAAATAACATAATGGTTTTAAAATAACCCATTGATGATCATTGGTATACAACAATGAATCAGTCCCTAACATCATGCGTACAAAATTAATATACTTAAATTATTATTAGTACGTCCCTTACAATGTAAATTATGAAAAAAGTCACAAATTAATAATTTAATTTAAACTTTATATAAATTTAAATGCCTAATACCTCTCAATAGAATGGAAAAGACCACGTGGAAGGCCAAAAAGCAAATGGATAGATAGAATCAACAAAGATGCAACAGAGCTGCGTGCAGATAAATAGAAAGAAATAGCCCTAGACAGGCAGAGTTGTTAAGGCGGCAAAAGATGTACATGGTTTGTAATGACAACACAAAAAAAAAAAAAAATTAAATTTTTTTGGTTATCTTCTGTATGATGTGATTGGGCATTAATTAAAGTTGTTTCAGATTGAGGCAGTGCCCTTCCTTTTTTGGTTAAGGTGGAAAAAATATGTGAGTGGTTTTCAACTTCATGAAATTCACAGCACTCCTACTATCAATATTATTATTATTTTTACTTTCATTTACCTATTTATAAAATATACAGTAAGGGACAGTATTGTGATCATGTAAATTCTCAAATCTGACTTTTCAATGGAAATACATGTTTTGAAGTCTCCTGAGTCCAAATAACCACGTCCCGCAAAATAGTGTGTGTGTCTGTGTCTTTGGTAAATCTAGCTCAAAAACGAAAAGTCGTATGAAAGTGAAATTGCGCATTTGAGATTTATATATACCTCAGATGTTACAGTAACTTTTTTGTCAAAATCGGCTAACCAGAAGTGGCAGTTTATGTCAACAGTTATACACATTTTTGATTAAACTCGGTGCATCATTGTATAATTAAGTGGTCTTTAATATCATGGAGATCCCATCCCACTTGATGTCACTTTACAGGGCTTAAATGTTCAACATGTCTTCCAGTAAGGTACATATAAAGATCACATCTGGAAAATCCTCCAGCGACCTGTTTACTTACCTATCTAAGAGCCAGTACTTGAATAACTTTAGTTCTCGAAACACGGTTATCAAGAGTAAATATTACATTTCTTATAAATTGATTATATATATTATATCTTTTTAGTTAGTATAACTTATTACGTATTTCATTCTTTGATTCATGTATCATCCATCACTAATTTTTCATTATTAACCATTAACTATCTTATAATATTATATCTCTGATTGTATTAAACAATTTTCAGTCCTGATGATGACCCACATGCTTGGGTTGAAACATCCCCACCAATAAAAAACCTTTAAAATGACTACGTCCTGACTGTTTATCACCAATGATATGTCGAACAGTGGGCTAACTTCCTTCAATAATTCAATAAACAATTGAATTGTAATAAAAAAATATTATTTTTTTATAATGTTTTTGATTGTTTATTTAATTCGATTGAATACTTTTACCTGTTTAAAAAATTCAGTTTGAAGAAAAGTTGAAAAGAGAACTCATGGTTTGATGAAGAATGTAAAGTCCTAAATGAGAAAAAAATCAAGTGTACAAAACAATGATTCAAAATAAGCATACTAGAATGTACAGAGAGGGGTAGAAAAGAAACCTACACACTTAGATGGAAGAAAAAAAAAAGCTTTCAATGGCAAAATCAGCAAGACATTTTATTAAATGATTAATGAAGACCATGGAGGATTTAAACTCTGGAATCATGGCTGTAGGGAAAAATATGGAAAACTAGTCACTGAGGAATCTGATTATCATGAAAAGGTAGGCAGGCCACTTCCAAAATCAGTTGAATAGAGGCAGACAAGTTAATACACCTCAAATATAATACACCAATTACCACAAGTAATACACCTCAGAGTCATCAAATATCAGAAAAATCAGACTTTTATTGAGCCTCCCGATGAAGAAGAAATACATGATGTTATCCTGAAGCTAAAAACTATTTAGGCCTTGGATATCAACAACATTCCTGTTGAGTTATTTAAACTTAGTGGGTGAGAAATGATAAAATTTATGGACATATAGAGAAGAAAAACCACCAGTTGAATGAAGGAGAACAGTGATTTAATTATGTATGGACATAAGAAAAGAGATGTATTAATATGTGATAATTATAGAGGCATTTTCCCACTAAATATATAATATTTTCAATTATTCTTCTTAGTAGGTTGCTGTCATTTGATGAACGAAAGCTGGAAATACCCGTATGGATACTACAAAAGAAAATCAACAATAGATCAAATATTTAATCTTTGAATCCTGCAGAAGACAAGAGAATACCAAATACATACCCACCACCAGTTCATTGATTTTCAATAAGCCTATGATTCCGTGAACAGAGAAGAGGTGTACATAGTAATGATAGTAATGAATGTCCCTGCAAAATTGGTTAGGCTGATGAAAATTACCATGGAGGACAATTTATGTTTGGTAAGGATAAACAGGAAGTTATCGAGAAGCAACAAATGCATGACAGGATGATGGCCTGGCATACCTGATTTTTAAATTCTCCCTTGAAGAAGCCATTAGAAATACAGGTATCCAAGTGACTGGAACTCTTCTCAACAGGACTCCAGATTTTAAGATTTGCAGGAAGAACATTCAATGCGGTAAGAGAAGCATTTCAGACATTGGAGGAATCTGCAGCAAACTCGGGTCGGTCTTATTATAATATTAATATTTAGAAAACAATTTATATGTTACACTGCCTACTCTTGAAGATATGACAGTCACATTTCCATAGGGCAATATAGGTTAGAAAGATTGTCACAGGTGAATCAAGAGAATTGTGTAGAGGAAGAAATTCAAATACAAATCCTCTCAGCAAATCAAACCTATTTCTCCCTCCACAAACATTTAAAAGCGATTATTTGTCCAAGGGGTTGAAGGAAAGAATATATAAAACAATCATTTGGCCAGTGCTTACATACTGTTCAGAATGTTGGACTATGACTAAAGTCCAAGAGCAAGTCCTCAGGTTTGAAAGGAAAGTGCTCTGTTGAATGCAAGGCATGATTGCTTGATGGTGATGATAAAGAAGGATGATTGCCAAATTAAATAAGGAATATAAGGAAGTAGTTGTATCCACATTCATAAAAGCATCATGACTTCACTGGAATGGTCACATTGCAAGAATGGATCCAAATGAAATATCCATACATATATTATTACAGTAAGGCTCGAAATCGGTTTTGTACCAAATATAAGCTCCTGTCATGCTCAAATACCATGAATGGGGTACCGTTGGATTCAGAATTTCGCAGAGGGGTAGCGAATCGTATTCTCCGCTTTTGTTTTTCTTTCTAAAATAAATAAAGTCGATACAAACATTTTGCTAGGCTTCAATACTGGAACGGTGGTAGGCCTATAGATCGATGCAGGACAAATTAGATCTTGAAGATTTTGATGCGTACAGCAAGACCCGGATAGTCCTCCGGACCTATCGGATCCTACGTTTTTAAGCCCAAAAACGTACCATTTTCGAGATAACGCAAGGCATGGGGTTCGCATCCACACAACCTGACGTTAATTGTAGTACTGTCATTGGATACATGTCTCATTTCGTCGACTTGAGGTCTCTATGATCGAGAGAGGAGGAGTTTATATTATTTATCGATGATGTTTTTGATCGGTAAGCCATATCATCGTTAATTTTTCACCAAATCTCAAGATTGAGCCACCAATTTCGAAGGCTTCCTTCTCCTTCAGGCGGGAAAAATATTCCAATCACCCCGAAAATTCAGGCAAACAAGTTATGAAAAAAAAGAAACTTTATTTGCAAATAACTAAAAAATTACACACTTTTCCCTTGGTTATTCCTATGAGAACATGAAACATTACTTAATTGTCTACAAAAGGAAAAAAAAATCATTGAAATCGGACAACTTTTCGCAAAGACACAGCTTACTGAAATTTGTAAATATGTTGGTTCCAAACAAAAATGAAGATTTAAATTAATTTTGTTTCCTTTGTGGATTATATTTATGGATAAAGTAACAATTGATTTCTTTATCTTTTGAGACGTTGCATTATTTTATGTTCTTATTAATTTGGCATTTGATAACAATATACTGTGCGAATTTTTCGCACGTGCCTACTAGTCTTCCAGAATCCTATTGGAACAAATTTATGGTACCAGGCAGGTTGGACATCTGAGGCTCCATTGAGAAGACTGTATGGCTGTATGGCTGCTCAAGTGAGATCTGTGCTTGGGGAAAGAGGATGGAAGGCAGCAGCACAGAATAGACAACTGGTGGTCTATGTTGGAGAAGGCTATGACTCAACAAATGGTTCGCAACACCGAATAGTAGTAAACAAATCCACATTGCAATTCATTTGATCAATGAAATTTTTGTCTATATCACAAGAGTACTTGGGTTCTATCTAAAAAGTGTATGTGTCATCTATTATTTTGAGGTAACTGATCTATGAAAAAAACATTACTAAAGCATTGTGCTACCCTTAGGATTGTGGGAGTATGGGAGAAAGGGGGAAGAGGAACAAAATATTTCCTTTTTAGATAAGCACTATTTTGAAAGAAATGGATTTCGTATTCAGGAAAGGGCAGTGGATTATCAATTTTTTAAAAGAAAAAGTGATAAAATTATTAAAAGTTAATTACATGGAGGTATATCCAGTTATGATTAAGAAGGTTGCTTCTGAGCCCCTATTTGACAGAGAACAATAGGTTTTGAAAACAGTGAACAACCTTTAGTTATAGTTTTGAATAAAGAATTTTAATCTAAGAAAAAAAATCAATTTTCACAAAATCAGATTCATCAACTTTTGATAGAATACTCCTCAATTACTTGAAGAATTAATATAAAGTACAATAATAAAAACAAATGATACAATATATTCAACTTTAAAAGATAAATAATTTACAAAAGAGAAGTCAATATGACCTGAAATAATTTTCTAGATAATTATTTGGCTTTTCATAACATTGACATCAAATTTTGCAATCTTTGAACAGATGCTCAACTATCAGTGGATGCTGTGTTTTTTTCCACTATTTATAGTTTACAAACTTGTTAAGTACAAGTACTTATTTATATTAAATGGTTGTCGAATACTGAACAATTTAAAAAAAAAAAAGTTACAAAAGGGTGTAATTTTGACTTCATCGGAGTTAACCAGGATTTTACTTTCTTTAGGGATTTTATCTCTTTACAAAAATTTAATTGTCAAATATAGATTGAATTATGCTATCCTGACTTTTTAAATATATCACTTAATTGGTTAAAAATTAAGAAGAGGTAGTAGCATAATCATAAGATCTGAAAATTTTAAGAATTAAAATTCTGTTGTGCAAAAGTCCACATAAGGTATCAATTTTATAAGATATCATAGAATTTGAAAATTTAAGAATTAAAATTCTGTTGTGCAAAAGTCACACGCTGCTTTAGTTCAGGGTATGGTATAGTAGATTAAAGCTAACAGAAATACCCAGTATTGAACAAATTTACAATTAATGTATAAATTAAGTGGTAATAAATTCTTAAGTACCAATATAGTTATTTGTAACTTATTTTAAATAGAAAATGTATGTACAATGTCCAGTGAATATTACAAAACTTCGAATACAGATTCACATAACAGGAAGCTGGTCAATTGGAGTGGTAAAAACAAATACATCAGGGAATAATTTAGCTGCATGTGGATACATCAACTTATAAGAGTGTCGTATTGTAACGTCGGCCACACCAGCAATGTCACCAATTTCCTTTTGACTTCGCTTGTCTTCAGAAGCCTGAAATATTAAATAAGGAGATGAGATAGTATTCAAGAATGGAATAAAAATACTAAAACTTAATAATTTTATAGAATCATTTGTTAATTATAAAATTAATTCACTGAAGTTAAACTGTACTTTTATAAAAGTTATACTAATTATCTAATAAATAAATAATTAAGAGTTCTTTCTTCTGAAAAAATATCATTGAACTAGTCAACAATTAGAAAAAAATGACCAATGATTAGACCAGATAAATAATTATTTATTTAATATCTAATAATAATATCTTTATTTAATAAATCTGGAGTGACAATGTAATAATTTTTGTTTTGGTTGGACATTATCACATTTTTCAAATTCTTTTAAGTGTGAAAAAAATTAAATTCGCTCTCTCGTGATAATCATGTATTCAGAATCACCATATCCTGCAAGACAGTAGTATACTTATTGGGTACTCTAAAAAATACTAAAGATTTTAAAAAAATCACGTTATCTAATTCTTCTGCCAAATAAACATAAACACTCTGATGCAGGAGTTGCAATTGGTTATGCTTGAAATCCTTTAAACTGCCGACTGAATTTGCTTCCTAATACTTAAACTAAAATATTTTTTTTTTTTATTCATTGATATTTACAACTGTATTTAAAAAAAATACAACTAATAAATGTGCACACAGTAATAATACAATCACATGAAAACGCTTGTTGAGAAACTACCCATTGGTGGCACTCCAATAATATATTTACATAAGTAGATCACGAGGCCATCTTCTTTTCAGACGCCTCGGAGGGAAATTAAAATTTAAAATTATTTTTAAGCATCAATAAAATTTTAAGTCCAGAATAAGTAATTACCCAATCATGGTAATTTGGTAATATTTAAAAAAGAAAGCTGGATAGTATAATAAACATTGAGAGAAGAAAGATAGAATATTGATTATTACCTGTGAAGCCATATAAATAGCAGCTGCCGCCACTGATATAGGAGATCTTCCGGCAACAATATCCATTTCCACAGCTTTTCTTGCAATGTGTGTTGCTGCTCTTTGAACCATTATAGGCAGGCCTTTAAATATTCAATATTGTCATTAGTTATAACTTTGTTTTTTTAAAAAGTAATTATATGATTAATAAAAAATTAATTAAGGCTAAATTTCGTTTACCAAGGTTTGAACAGAAACGAGACATGAAGTCACCGGTAGTAATAAGCTCAACACTGGTTTCCAAAGCTTTAAGAATGAGTTTGAAGCATCTTCCTATTTCTTTTTTACTTATTTTACTGACGGCACAAATTTCCTGGACAAAACAAAAAAAATAACTATTACATTAACTTCATGCCATTTTTACTTTCAATTACGTATGTATGTAATATATAGTAAGGGTAAGTATTGCGATCATGAAATTTTTGAATCTGACTTTTCAACAGAAATACACGTTTTGAAGTCCCCTGAGTCCAAATATCCAATTTCCAAAAAATGGTCTGTGTGAATTAGAACACTCTAACTCAAAATCGAAAAGTCGTACGAAACTGATATTACTTATTTAAGATAGGTATATGCCTTAGATATGACAGCAACTTTTTCATTAAAATTGACTAACCGGAAGTGCCGCTTTATATCAACGCAGAAACACATTTTTACAATTTTCTCAAAAACATCTTTAACGATTTTGATTAAACTCAGTGTATCATTCTATAATGAAGTGGTCCACATTCTTGGTCCACACGGCATTGGCTTAATTCGGTGGATTTCAAATACTTCTTTTCAAACTTAGAAAAACATTTAAAAGTTTGCATATTGTAAGAAAATTTCATTTAATTTCATTGGAAATATGTGATTTGCGTTAAATAATGTTAGTTTTCTGAAATTATTATTTAAATTTTTTTTGCCACTCTCCGTTACCTTCTATAACTTTCTATATTAGATGTCGCTTTTTCTAAAATTCTCAGCTTTCCAACGATATATTATTCGTATTTCGACCTGGATAAGCATTTTTATTTTTTTCTCCTTTATTCACTTATCAAATTCTTTTAAAAGTTATATTTAGTATTTTTTTATAATTCTTAATAATGATAGATAGTTAATTATTTAAAAGAAACCATATTAAAGGTAAGTTTACAAAAAATTGTAAAAATGTGTTTCACCTTTGATATAGTGGCACTTCCAGTTAGGCGATTTTAAGGAAAAAGTTGCTGCCACATCTAAGGTATATACCTATCTTAAATATGTAATTTGGTTTTTGAGCAAGACTGTTCACATACACATAGAACATTTTTTGGGACTTGGATATTTGGACTCAGGGAACCTCAAAGCGAGTATTTCCGTTGAAAACTCAGATTCAAAAATTTCACAATCGTAATATTTACCCTTACTATGTATTACATATATAGATAAGTGAAAGTAAAAATAAAATGATATATATATTTTTATTTTATTAAATATATATTTTTTTAATAAATAAGAGTATTTATTAATAAGGTTGTGTGAAAATATTTCCATTCATTTCTGTAATTTTAAGCGTATTCATTTTAATAAACATGAATGAACATTTTTACAATCGTGAATACGGCTGTATTTATATTTACAGCCGTGAATACGTATCATCTGTGTTCATATTTCTTTTTATGAATATAGATAAATTCATACTTATATTCATAAGGACCATAAATATAAATGGTATTCGTATTTATATTTTTGAATATAAATATGCCCATCTCTGTACTCCATCCTGTCTGTTGTGGAACTACATGATTTTAAAAGAAAATAACCAAAGGATATACCACGCCTTTATAGAACCCATCAAAACTTATGCAGCTAAAACTTGGACATGTTATCCCAATTCTATTCAAAGTTTCAAGTTGAGGAGATGGATTTTTGGAGGAGATGCGTACCTGTGACAAGGATGGAAAGAATTGGGAACAAGACAATTAAGGACTGGATAGAGGTCCTTCCAGAGAATTGGGTAGTGAAGGCTTATATGCAAGGCCCTATAAAACAAATGTTGGCAAGCATGGGCTGAACAGAGTTCTAGATTGGCAGCTGCCCGGATTCGTTGAGATAGAAGATGAGGGCGACCCAGAAGTAAGTGAATATTTGAAGTGGAAGAGATGATGGCTGGCCGCAACCTTCAAGGAGGAGATTGGGTAGACTGTGATTTTTTTTTTTTATACTTTATTGTTGCTAGTTTTATTTATTAAGTAACTACATGAACACACACACAAACCCATATTTATATATTCAACTTAATTTTTAAATTTTAGAAACTTAAATAACTACATATTAATTAATTCTAATGCTAAATTAATGAAGATCATGGAAAAACATGCGGAGGCCACATCTTAGCTCACAGATGTCACATGCGGGCTCTGGGCCGCATGTTTCCTATCTGAGTAATATACTATAATCTTCAACCAAATTTATCTTTTTCCTAATTTATTGCAGAAATAAACATTATCATATAATTTAAATTTTTAGTTGTTAACACTAGACATAAGATTATATATAACCCACCTTAAAAGTCCTAGGAACACCTTCCTGTCTACAAGCTATATACAAGCATGCAGAAGCAATAGCATCATTAGCTCGTCCTTTTAAATTTTTTCCATCATGAACTTGTTTGAAGAGATTATTTGCTCTGTCAACAATTGTTTTAGGGAGATTAATGCGGTCCGCCATACTGTTTATTTCCTTGAATGCATTGATCAATGCTCTGTCAGAACTACTCATCTAAAAAAAAAAAAAAAATAATAATAATAAGTATATACATTATTATTATACAATATGTAGAAGGTCCGTCACAAGGATAGTTTTGATCACAGATGTAAAAATAAATAAATATATATATATATGAATGAAAACGTGTTTATTGTACTTTAAAAAAAAATTATACATTAAAATATAAATATATATATATATATATATATATATATATACATATACAAGCAACAACACATAGACAATGGAAAATTCAGTCTGTCGAAAATATATATATATATATATATTTACATATTTGCATTTCGTTTCAATAAAAAACAAAAAAACAGCAAATAATAGTTGACACCTCAATGTTGTATCCTATCATGCATGCTAAGCAGCCAGCAGAAATTTTGAATAAATGGTAAATAACCTGTCTGTGCTAAAGTGTTATTAATTTATAGTAAGGTTATGCCTGTACGTTAAACAAAGTTTGTCAGTTCTTAATCGATCTACTAACATTTTGATTTATTTTTAAAATGCTAAAGCGAAGTGAAAAGACTGAGTTGATGGATTATTTTGTTAAAAATGCTTTATTAGAAAGCATGAATGAAGATTCTGAACCTCAAGAACTTGATGAATAGATAAATACAAACAACAATAAAACACAAAGAAGTATACAAACAGAGAATAAAACACATCAAACCCTCACAATAACCTTTTTCATGCATTTATAAAGTTAGCAACATGTTACAGGATCGTAGACTGCGTTAAAATCAAATCGACAGTGCTAACGGCCATATTCAACACACATTTGGAAAATAATTTTCTTGGCTTTACACATTTAAGAGGTTTACAATACCTAGCACAGAATGAGTACCCCTAATGACTAACCTCCTAAAACAAACTAAGAAATGAAGTTAATAAAATTTTTATTTTCCAAATCTTCTAAAATTAATTACTTAACAAATAAATAAAATATATTTTTAATATCTAAAATCTCTGTTAGAAACTTGAAATTTCATTAAAAAAGTCTTCATTCTATATATCAAATAAAATTTCAATATAAAGAATAAATTTTTTTTTTTAAATATAAAATTTAATTATTATTAAAAAGTACCGTTAGTATAAGAAATTTGTAAGAATGCATAATAATTAGATAATGGTACTAGTACAGCTATTGATGGGGGCCTTGGCAAGTGGGCCTTGTGGTACGTTTTGCCAAACCCTGACGGCTAGTATGTGTTTGCCGCAGCTGAATAATAATTAGATAAGAAAAAATAAAACAAATGAATGAACATGGCTCTAAAGTGGTAATCACCAAGTGTAAAAGAAAAGATCAAGTTAATAAAATATGTGAAAAGATATGAAGTTGTGAACTATATGAAATATCAATGATTTACAAAAACCTGGATTGGTTATTAAAACATTTAGGGATTGGGAACAACTTAAATTCTTTAAGTTTGAAAAAATTGATGAAGTGTTAAATATATAAAATGTTATAGAATTGTCTTAAAATTAAACCTACAAAATGATTATAACTGTTTTCAGTTGGAAAAGGATCATAAACTGAAATATTTTTATAAAATGAATTTTTTGCAAGAAACGATCACGCTCGTTAAATAGGCTTGACTGTATCAAAGCATCACATAACACTTTTATTTATTCAGAGTAGTTATGATATAAAAATTTAACTGCACAATTAAAACTAAATACCATATCAACCAATGTACCACAAAATCAGAACTGCTGGAAATGTTGCTGGTTTTAATTTTACAAACAGTGGATTTATTGAGATTGAATCAAGAGTGGATTAATCAAATTAAGCATGTGTAGTTAACATGCTTCCAAGGGTATGATAGTAAGTTTTCATGACGACTGGATTCCTAGTCCATGCATGAAATTTTGAAATACAAATATAAAATTGCTAAAAACAAAACAAAACATCAGACCTACCAAATTTAATTTTACAATCTGTTTATTTTAAATACAAAGATGGACATTTAAATTACTGGTAACGAGTTTTTAAAATTTTATCTTTTCAGAAAATTCTCTGATTTTCTGATGAAACTCCCAAACAAATTTGATTACAATTAATATTTTATTTTTTCTAATCGCTTTTTACTGTAAACTTGTGTTTTTTTTGTGATCAAATATACAAAACTTATATTTATTTTCTTCAATATATGTACATCAAATATTTTTATATTAATTTTTAATTTTATTTAATATGTCCTCCCTTATCAATATAATATTGAGTATGGAAAAAATAAACATGTTTGTTTTCTTATCATAAAATTAAGTTAAAAACAATAGAAAAAAATTAGTTTCAATATTTTTATATAAATAAATACTATTAGAAATTGTATAAATACATATTAATGTACAAAATAGTGAATTTAGAATTGAAACAACAGAAAAAAAAACATTAATCACTATCGAAAAGGCATGACACATCCCAACCAAAGCGTGCCTAATGATGTTACAAATAAAGACACGCCCATTAGAAGATTAAATAGAGTATAAAGTAAAAAAAAGTTATGTTTATTTACCGTCCGCCTGTTTTGGTATTTAGAGATACCAAAATCATCAAAAGAAGCATCTCCACGCCCAGGACCGATCATGGTAGAAAGGTCGGAACCATTCAATAATGGATTCTCAGGTCCACCAACACGAGAAGGATCTACTCCATTTTTTTCATTGCTAAATGTACGCCATTCAGATCCAACGTCTATTACTCTGCAATTAAAAAATAAAATCATAAAATTTTGGCAATAATTAAGGCCTTTGTTCAAGGTAGAGTTTCTGAGACAGACTCTTACATAGGTGTTTAGACAAAGGCCTTGATAACCGTAGAATTCAGAGATATTTGATTAACAACAAAAAATAAACATTCCCCCAATATAGCAATTATTAAAATTATATTTGTTTGAATAAGAAAAAAAATAAAACCTGATCTACATAAGGGATATAAAAAGAAAAATAATTTAACATACAATAATGCTATGGCGATACTACAATACTTGTGAACAATGCATTTTCACTGGACCATAATTCAAATTAAATCTGACATAGAAAAATGATTAAGTTACTAAGAGAGTTAACAACCAAAGGAAATACAATTTCTGATAAATCAATATAATTTTTTAGTTCAATCACTAATGCTTACAGTAAAATGAAAAAAGAGCGATATGCCCAATATAAAGATATATATATCCATATAGATATATATCCAACCAAAATAATTCTAATTTACAAAGTATATGCAGACTAATAAAGTGATATAAGTGACTTAAATTTATTGTGTAATTAACAGAACTAAATAGTTTATTTATTTATAATTTCATTAAAGACCAATTAACATTATGGGTTATATTGTTCAAAACTAATAGCTAACAAATATCATAGATTTTTTTATGCTAATATAAGTTTTGCTTTACAATTCAAACAAAACATGACAAGAAAGAAGAATATCATAAGTCTGATAAAAAAAACGTCTTGCATATCTAGAAAATCTAAAATTTATTTGTATTCTATTGTTTCAATTTTATTAAAATTCATTCAATTGTTCAAATTTAAGTGATAAACTTTACCTATCTCCCACAACCAAACCACATTCTGAACATATTTGGTCTCCAGCACGATAATCTTCTATCAAAACTGCATCTGGGTGTGCATTACAACAAACTTTATTTGCTTCATACCTAAATCATAACAGAACCATATTACATTTGAATAGTTAATGCAATATCACAATCTTGCTGACTGGTTACAAAATTACAATTGAAAGGGCTAGATCAAAATTGGTTAATACTTATGGTCAAATTAAACATTTATTAATAATAATTGTAACTATAAAGACAAAATACATACCCAGAAGAACTAGCCATTGTTAGCTAATATTATTAAACAAATTGTAATTAAATCAAAAAATCATTTCAATATTATAATCCAGTTAATAACAAACAAACGTAAACCACAATAGAAGTGAACGACAAATCACGGAACTAGTTGTGGATTCAAAAACAAAATAACCTTCTTGCTTCTGCCATAACACAAAGAGGATATATATTTTTTACAACTTTGATTTTATATTGAATTCAGCATCATTTAAAGACAAAAAAAAAAAAACCGACCATCACTTTCAATAAAACAATAAAATTTCATTTAAATTAGTACAATTTTTATATATGATATATCATATAATATATGCATATGATTAGAAATGAGGCTGTGATGCTCATCGTGTTCTTCAAAGCTGGTTCTTCAAAGTGAATTAGATTTAGATTTATATATTTAATTGAATTTACTCGCTGTGCTGCATCTCAACATTCTAGAATCATAAGCGGTTTCAGTTTGAATCGGGTTTAAATTGGCCGATAAACCGTTCATTTGCTGTATAAATGTCGCAACTTAAAATTAAAGGTTTTCCAGGAAATTTTAATTACCATATTAATTTTTGTAAAATACAATGTAATATTAAATTTAAAAAAAAAATTAAAGGTATTTTTGACTAAGCTAATATTGAAACTTAGCCATTTACACCCTGTTAGAGAACACCAATGAGAATAAAACCTACATTATATTTAAAGCTGCTTAATAATGCACTGATATAATGTGTTTGATCAAAATCGTTGGAGCCGTTTTTGAGAAAATCGTAAACATGTGTTAAATCGATGATTTACAGTACCACATTCGGTTTGTCGATTTTGATGAAAATGCTGCTGTAACATCATAATCTTATAAAAACCTCAAATACGCAATTTCAGTTTCGTACTTTTCTTTTTTGAGCTAGGCTGTTCACATACATACAGACACACACACAAACACGCAGAGACCATTTTGTGAGACTTGGTTATTTGGACTCAGGGGATGAACTCCTTAAAAAATATATGTGAAATTTCGTTTATACATGAATAAATCAGAATATACATGTAATACATGTACAGTAATATACATGTAATAAATAAACATCTATTACCTTCATTATCTTCATTGTATTTTTTCAAGAGGAGGTTTATGAGTATAATTATAATATGAAACCTTGAATAAAATGAAAAAAAAAAACAAGTTCAGGTTTTTGGATATTCTTGTTATTTTTATTTGATTACAAGTTTCATAAAAAATTTTTGTGGTTTCGAAAATTTTCACGATCGCAATGCTTACCCTTGCTATATATTATTACATATATAGGTAAGTGAATGTAAAAAGAGAGATATCTTCAATGGTCACAATTTCCGCTGGATATCCTTGTTGTACCGCGGCTATAAAATCCCTTCGTGCACATAAAATCCATGCAAGGACCATCTTTTAGAAGCTGCTCCTATTCGTGGAGAGAGAAGTAGCCATTTGTATATCAGGCTGGCTGAATTCACGCGAGGGATAGGAAAGATCGAATAAATACTCTTGATTAAAACAATCGTCAAGAGGTCCATACACCATAATGTATGCACACACTATACTTCATTGATAATAGGGCTTATGACAGCATCCTAAGGGATGAACTATATCAGGATTTACTAGAACTGTGTATCTCATCTAAACATGCGCACCAAATACGAGAGACATTGAAGGGGACGAATATGCTATCAAAATTCATGCGATACTTTAAACTGCATAAAAGACTGCGCCGAGAGAATCGCTTGGCACGTCTCTTATTTAACATTGCCCTAGAATGTGCCGTTAAAAGATCATTAATTTAAGTAAGTGGGGCGGTGAACAATCCCTCAGTTCAACTGTTAAGGTTTTCGAACGGCATTGCATTGGTTGGGAGATCATTAACGGCTATTAAATAATCCTTTATAGTCCTGCAAAGAGCTGCACCATAAATACAAATGTGAATAAAACCAAGTTAATGCGGACCGATCCAAGTCCCAGGGAACCAAACTTGGAAATTTGGGTCTTTCATTTTGAATATCTCTCTGAATTTATATAACTTCAATCCAAGGTGAATACAAATTATGATATGAATGCAGAAATTCAGAAACGAATAATGACCGGAAATAGATCCTTTAGCCATTCGATTCATTTCGAGCATAACCAAGCTGCGAATATAAAACCTAAATTAGACCAGTCCTAACATATGAATTGGAGTGTTGGACGATATAAAAAAAATTGGAGGTAGCTGCCATTAAAGGAGATCTTCAATCGAAGTGTATTAATAGAAAAAAACAAACAACTGATGAACAATGTAGCAGTAATTAGACTATTACTTGCAACGAATGGTACTATTTGGAATATGAGGAGGGTCTGAAGTTTTTAAGCCACGATACTCAGCAAAAAATAAAATAATATAAGGATGGTTGTGCTTATGCAAAAAAAAATTGCAGGAAAAGAAGAGGATGGCCGTGGATAAAAACAAAAATAGATTTTTAGAGTAATCCTAAGTGAATAGAGAATGGAGATTGTTCCACGAAGTCAAAGACTTTAAAACATTATAATATAAGTCAAATGATACCATGATAAGAGATGAGAATGTTGTATTCCTTACAATGGCTGATTAAGTAATGAAGAGATGAGAGAAATACTTCAGTAAGCAGTTGAATCCTACACACTATGAATTCGATGAATATGCATGCTCAGGCTGAAGGTTATCAGGATGATGCCTTACTCCCTCCCAGAGCTAGAGGATTTTGCAGACATTATCGCTGGACTAAGAAATTGCAAAGCACCTGGAACAGACCACTGAACTATGCAAGATGGTTGTTCATATATGGGAAGAAGGAAGAATATCCGAAAAATTGTAAGAATCTGAAGTTGTCCCAGTATTAAAGAAGAAAGGTGATTCTGCAGAGTGCAGCAATTATAAAGGGATCAGTCTCTTTAATATTGCGTATAAAATATTCGCTATTGCTCTATTTAATAGGCTGATACACTACATGAAAAGCATAGTTGGTGATAATCAAGCAGGTGTTTGTAAGAATATGTCAACAATAGATAATTTTTTAGGTCCATTTCTTTGGCCCGGCACCTATGGAATTTCGAGTTGAAGCCTATGCCAATATTTAGTACCTAATTTGTACCCCAAAAATTATAATTAGTTATATATAACCCGTTAGGGACCGGAGATATAAAGCTCGCAAAAGTGCTGGGCCAGGGATATGATGGCCTGGCACCTATGGAATTGCGAGTTGAAACCTATGTCAATATTTAGTACCTAATTTGTACCCCAAATAAGTTTCCTGCATGGCCAATAGGGATAGAGGAAAGTAAATTGCCATTGTGCAACAGAACTTCCTCGAGGGATAGATTTGATGAATCTTTGAACAGCCTCCATTCAGAGGGTTGTGATTGAGATTTAATGCTGTCATCATACCTGGGACATCACAACAGGCAACAAGGTTCTCATTCTTTTTGAAAAAAGGAATCAAGTCTTCCTAACGATTTCTATACATTGTAATCTTTACAACAGATTTTAAGAACTTTCATTGCTTCAATCTTGAACCCAAAAGTTTTGCTTTCTCTTTGGGCAGATCCAGATCCCAAAACGTTGTACGCAAGTGAAATTGCATATATAAGGTTTTTATATGCTAGGGATGTTACAGCAACTTTTTCGTTAAAATCGACTAACCGATAGTGGCACTTTATATAACTAACTTAACTCGTATCCAATCCTTACAATCCAGAATCCTTCGTAAAATCCTCAACGCTCCTTACTTTGTCACAAACAAAATCATCCATAAAGACCTTAATGTTCCATATGTTTCCGATTTGCCCCAATCCAGATGCCTATCCTTCCATAACAAACTGCAGAAACATCCGAACCCTCTTGCTTCATCCTCGATCTCTGATAACCCTCCGAGGCGTCTGAAAAGAAGATGGCCTCGGGATCTTCTAATACTGAACTTTAATTTGAGTTCTACCAATGGGTAGTTTCTCTTCATGTTTTACATGTCATGTTACCAATGTCACATTTACTTGTTGTATTTTTAATGTAATACAGTAGCAAATTTCATTAAAATAAAAAAAAATAAAAAAACTTAACACATTTTTGCGATTTTCTCGAAAACGGCTCAAATGATTTTGATTAAATTCATAAATTTTTATACTGATTTATGTTTTCTAACCGGATTTAAATAATTTTCAATATTAACTTCCCCTAAAGTACCTTTTTTTATTATATATATTCTTTTTTTATTTGAAACAATTGATCATTTCACATTAATCTCTAATATAAAAAATAGTTAAATATAAAATATGAAAGAATTTGACAATTAACTAAAAAAGAAATAAAAGATCGTAACGGAAAATAGTTGTATTTGAGGAACCAAAGAAGTACAAGCGCACCCGAGCTCCCCCGAAAGATTAGAACACGCTTCGATAAGTAGCATGAGATTAATATAATAAGGAATCCGACAATATTATGTAAATATACACATGCGGTTTTTATAAATGCTATTGTTATTATTTAATATTTAATTGCATAGATTGCAGCGATATAAATATTCAAATTTGCACATATAAGGGTACTTATAAAAATAAAAATACCCACAATGAAATATAAATCAATGTAGGGTTTGTAATTTTTACTTTCACTTCCTCTTTATCTAAAAATACTTATTTCTGCTAAGAAAACGGTGGTAAGTGAAAATTGTGTGGTGTGCGCACCTCATCAGCTTTTTATCATTATTGTATCATCGTCTATCCATTTTTCTCATCTCTTGGAATAAAACGGATTAATTTGCTTTGACTGGAGCTAATAGTGAACATTTAAAACTATGCCAATACCTTTTTGACCGTCAAAATTTACTCTTTATGTTTTTTTTAACATAGCTTTTGAATTCTAAACATGCATTCCTTCTAAAATATAATTATCAAAGGCCACTTTGTTATATAAATATTATTTATGGAAAATATCTTAATCACATTGAGATTTGCAGTAAAATTAGAGTGTGCCAATCCTTTTTTGATCCATTGTATGTGTGTGTGAACTTTGAGTTGATAATGACTGTTAGACCAGTCAATGAATGATTATAGAAGGAAATGGCGGGACACAATTTTTGACTTTGGGACATCGTTTAGACTAGTAAGTAGTTAAACATACTAAAAATCCCCACTCCTAGGTGGTGAGCCAGAGGTGGGGGAGGGGGCACCTAGTAGGTCACTTTTTTTCGGGTTGTCGCTTATATCAAGAAAACTATCCACGCATCTACAAAGACAATCTATAGAAAATTAAAGCTGATAAAATTTGCAATTTCATTGGTTACATACATTTTTTTAATATCTCGCTTAGTTTCCGAGATATCTGTCTACTATCACTAATGTGGAAAAAAAAAATACATTAATACAATAACGTATATTATAAAAATTATTTGTTCTGCAAATTCTCCGAATTTACATTTAAAGTTATGGTTGATCTAACTTTTGAACCGTTAAAGACAAATTAGTAAAATAATATATTTTCTTGAAGAGAATTTAATTATTAAAAACTTTTTTCTGCGTGGCTTAATCGTAGAACGAACCAATCAAGAGTTATCAAGTCAAATACAGTAAAAATTTTGTTTTTTCACATTAGCGATAGTTGAGGACGGATAAAACTAAACAAGATAGTCAAAAAAGGCATATAACCAACCATTTTACAAATTTTATCGTCTTCAATTTTGTACGGAACGTCTTTGTCGATGCGATGGATAGTTTTCCTTATATAATCGAAAACCCGAAAAAAGTGACTTACTAGGCGCCCTCCACATTTGGCTCGCCACCAAGGAGTGGGGACTTTTAGTATGTTTACCTCCTTACTAGTCCAAACAATGTCCCAATGTTAAAAATTGTGTCCCCGCCATTTTCTTCTATACCCCTTTTTCGAGCGTTCGTTGGCTGGACTATGTACCGTCTAATGATATTTTGTTTTGCACATTTTTTAATTATTCCGAACTTTAAGTTTTGTATTAGAATCTAGGTACACGTTAACTGCTAAATTATTTTACTATATTCTTTAAAAAAAATTAACATTTCCCGTTATATAATGAGGAAACACTAGTGCGTAATAAATTGTATGGGTAAACAGTTGAGATTTAATAGATGATTTTCGCCCAAGCCAACGAAATACTTACTGTGACCCAATTCATTGTAATATTATTGAATAATAGCATTATTAAAGTAAAAAATGAAAACGGTGTGACAGTACAGTATATTGTTAAAATGGACTATATAAATATGTAATTTGTTTTTATTCTGATGTTATGTTTGTGAGAGCACCAGTTAGCATTCACAAATAGGTTTTCCCCGACACTTTTCATGGTATTTGTAACTCGGCTCAAATACTATCCTTTCTCCTATTGGTTGGATTTGATGGAATGTTGGTTTTAAAGTTCCAGTTTTTCTTAACTGCCATAAAAGTTCCATCTGGAAATAAAATGTTAAAATAAAATAAAATAATAAAATAAAATAACGCGGGCCACGACAATGATAATAAACATAAATGTTATAGATACATGATTTAGACAATTTTTAAAATTGGTTTAATGATATTTAAAAATCATCTATTTTATAGATGGGCTTATGGGACTGTTAGATTTATAAGGATAAAAAATAATCAGTCAAAAATCATGTTTATTAAGTTTACCCATGTTTCGATCCAACCATGTGGGTCATCATCAGAGCTAATAAATTAAAAATTACAAAATAACATTACAAAAATGATGCGGATAAAAGGTTGTAAATAAGAGAAGAAAAAAGATGAAACAAAAACATGAGATAACAGTAACATATACCTAACAATAACATAACATAACATAACAACATGCTTAGAAAATGTTTTTGTGTTAATAATAAATGTAAAAATCTGGTGCGCGCAACACACAACTTTCACTTACTCTTTGAACTTTGCTCAACTTTGAATAGAAATTATTTTTTGGCAATGTTAAGCCATTACATAATTTTTGAATTGCATTTTAACTGAGCTAAAGCTAAAAGATTGCAGCTAACAAATCATAAAAGCTATTAAAATAACAAAAGTCCTATTTATTATATCACCGGTTGATTATGGATTGTTCGACTATTAGTTATTAAACTGTTCATTTTCGACCTGGATAAGCATTTTTATTTGTATCCCCTTTATTCTTTCAAAAGTTATATTTAGCATTTTTTTCGTAACTTTTAATAATGAGAGATAGTTGATTATTTGAAATAAACCATATTAAAGGTACTTTAGAGGAAGACGCGTATGAACATTGAGCATTTAAACCCTGTAAAATGACATCATCGAGAATAAGACCTAAATGATATTAAAGACCACTTAATTATTCAATGATACAACGGATTTAATCAAAATCGTTAGAGCCGTTTTTGAGAAAATTGTAAAAATGTATTTCAGCGTTGATATGAAGTGGCACTTCCGGTTAGCCGATTTTAAAGGAAAATTTTTTTTCTGGACTTGGATTAGACGTGGACTCAGGGTACTCTAAAACGTGTATTTCCGTTGAAAACTCAGTTTCAAAAATTTTCACGATCGCAATACTTACCATTACTATATATTTCATATATATATATATAAGGGTATTATATTATATATAATTAAACAAGAAATATGAAAAAAACAACAGGGTTATAAGTAACTGAACTTTTTTTTAGTTACAAAGAGTAATTGAAATAAAATCGACTACGTTGTACGGTGAAATTTAGTGACCAAAAGAATATGAAACTGCGAAAGAATTTTGTATGAAAGAATATTTACCGCGTAATGTCGCATATTTCGTTCCAATTATTTTTCGTGATTAAAGAAAAAACTCCTCAATTACTTATTGCCATGTTGTTGTTTTTTTACATACTTCTTATTTGATTGTTTTTTTTATACTAATTATTTATTTAAGTTATTTTTACTCTTTATGTACTTATTTTTGGTGTTATTTTTAAAACAAAAAGCTTACCTGTGTTTTGTGGATTGGTTGAATTTTCTTAAAGATAAACCACTCCACATTCGGCAAGTATGGCTTTTCCGAGCTAGATCCAACATAATTATAATATTCTGAGGACGACAAAACATTTTTGAAGTCATACAGTATATTGTCTGTTATGGTAATTTTCTTTCCTGTTTTATTTAAGTGAGAAATAAGAGAAAATAATTCATAATATTGTGGTTCTTGGCTTTCCTGAAATTAAAAAATAAATATATCTCGATAAAAAATGAATATATCAGTAAAAAAAATCATCTAGAAAAGAATATAAGAAAATATCGTGGAAAGTATTAATTAAAATTAAATATATAATGGAAAACCTCAATCAATAATAAATAAGTAGTTATATTTAAAAAAAAAAAAAAAAATAGGTTGGCAATTACTTGAAATAGAATTACTAAAACAGCATTTCTGCTTCTTGTCCTCAAGACTCTCGGTGGGCATTCTTTGTAACTTATTTGATAAAAATTCATATGGAATTCCAGAGCAAATCTGAAAATTGCAAGACAAGTATTTATATGTTAATTTAATATTATTATATCACATAATTATGTTACTTTTTCATTATAACTATAGTTTACTTTAAAATTATTTTAGGTGTGTAATACAAGCCAATTCGCATATGAAAACATGGATTAATTACATAATATTTCCTACAAAATCTGGTGCGCCCGACATACAATTTTCACTTACCAATTGAATTTTCAATGAATTGAATATAAATTATTTTCTGGGATATTATAAAATTTTTGAAGTCCATTTTTAACCGAGCTAAAGCTTAAAGCTTAGAGTTAACAAATTAATACCATTAAAATATCAAAAATCCTACTTGTTATATATTTAATTGTACGATCCGATTTAATTGTATTGTACGATCCGTCGGTTATGGATTGTACGACTATTAATTATTAAATTGTTTTTTTCCATTGCAAAGTTTACTAAAACACGTTGTCACACCAATTCTAAGTTCGGATATCACAAAGGGAAAATTCATCAAATTAATCACTAATTTAATTTTCTAAAAGTTTACATGATGATTTTTCGGAATAAACGCATGATACATACCTAGTTATTTAAATATAATATCAGATCTAGGCTTATTAAACTACAGTAAATGTATTTAAGGTTACATATCAATAAAATATTTTTATTATTATAAAATAAGAATGTGTTTTATTTATTCACCATATTTATTTCAATTTACATAGCTACGTTTCGGCCGGTAAACTATCTTCAAGCCATTTTATTTAATCATGCTTGTTGCATGTAGCCCAAAATCAGATCCAATCTAATCTAATATTCAAAGCAGAACTGGATATTCCACTCCAAATGACTTCTCCTCCTAAAGCATTCTTTCTTTCAGAAATATCTAATATTATTCACAGATTACCCTCCCGCAAATCCCATGGCCACGACATAATCACATCCCATATCCTTAAATTACTTCCTCGAAAAGGCATTCTATTCCTTACTTACATACATAACACCGTACTCCATTCTACATATTTTCCTGACCCTCGGAAACTATCTATAGTCAAAATGATACATAAACCCAAAAAGCCAGTAGGATACTCATCCTCTCGCCGAACTATCTCTCTTTAACCCTTCAAGGGCAATATTCTGGGAAAGCTAAACTTAAAACGCCGGTTTATCCTAGATTCTAACCACATAATCCCTGATTTGGATTCCGGACATCCCATTCCACTATACAGTACTATTTGTTTTCTGTTCTTTCCTATCTCGTCTTTTAGGCTATACGGGATTTTACCGGGCCGAGGTTCACACACACTCACAGATCATTTTGCAGGATTTGGTTATTTGGACTCAGAGGTCCTCAAAACATGGATTTCCGTTGAAAACTGAGATTCGAAAATTTTCACGATCGCAATACTTTCCTTTACTATATATTCCATATATAGGTAAGTGAAAGTAAAAAAGCTTGCCGTCAATAAGAACCATTCAACATCGAGAGGTTATCCTCGGATTTCCGCCTTTGTATGGGCGGTATTTATCCTCTTGGTTTTGTTTTCATTAAATCCTGAATAAAGAATACCCTTTTTAGTCCATTTCTACATTATTTTTTACTAGCTATCCCTATCACACAGTGTAATCCTGTTTACTTGATTACAGTAAATTATCATACTAAATGATAAAACTAAATATCCTGGGAAAGCTAAACTTAAAACGCCTGTTTATCCTAGATTCTAGAACTAGATCCTAGAACTAGATTCTAACATAATCCCTGATTTGGATTCCCCACATCCCATTCCACTATACAGTACTATTTGTTTTCTGTTCTTTCCTATCTCGTCTTTTAGGCTATACGGGATTTTACCGGGCCGAGGTTCACACACACTCACAGATCATTTTGCAGGATTTGGTTATTTGGACTCAGAGGTCCTCAAAACATGGATTTCCGTTGAAAACTGAGATTCGAAAATTTTCACGATCGCAATACTTTCCTTTACTATATATTCCATATATAGGTAAGTGAAAGTAAAAAAGCTTGCCGTCAATAAGAACCATTCAACATCGAGAGGTTATCCTCGGGTTTCCGCCTTTGTATGGGCGGTATTTATCCTTTTGGTTTTGTTTTCATTAAATCCTGAATAAAGAATACCCTTTTTAGTCCATTTCTACATTATTTTTTACTAGCTATCCCAATGACACAATGTAATCCTGTTTACTTGATTACAGTAAACTATCATTACTAAATGATAAAACACTTATTCCTAGGTAAGCTACCTTTGTCCATTTATGGAATGATCTGTTCCGTTATTATTTGTGTCTCCAAATTTTAAAGAAAATTCCTGAAACTTATAATTTCCAAATAAGGGTCCACTCGATAGCAACACTTCGCCCGAGATAGTTCCTCTCACTAAAATAAAACAAATATATATAATTAAGGAACAGCAATCAATCAGTTTTGATAAATAAAGTAAAAAGATTTCTCAAAGATTTGTTATATAAAAGGGCCTTGCCCTTTCTTTTCTTAAAATAGCAACAATTTCGCAGTCAATAATGATTTCCATTTTATTTCCAAAATATGGAGCATTTGAAGACCATGTCGCAATTATATTTCGAACACAATATAATCATCGAGATTTATTTAAGGAACATAGCACCTATTTTGGTCAAATTTATTGTTAAGTACTCACTTAATAATTTTGAATTTTCACCGCTCATCTCCGTCTGTCCAAGCTATCAAAATTTTGGTTTTGCAATAGTTGCAATAGAATTTAAGTGAAAGAAGAAATATATAAGATTGAAATTGTGTTTTTTTTTTGTATTAAAGAAAGATTCAAATTCAGCTAAAACCATGAAATATAAGCGCGTATAGGAAGTGTGGCGTGAAATATAAGGCTATCAAATACCAAGCTATCGATTATATCTAAGTTCTACTTGATATTAATATGCGTTTATAAAATATAATAAAATATATTTTAAAATAAATATTTCTATACAGAGAGGACTGGATGAGAGAATATCATCTTCTTCTTTTATTGGCACAACAGGCAATGAAGCTGCCCTTGCCCTGTTCAACAGCCACCAGCCATCTCTATCTTCTGTAAGGATAACAGGGATCCTCAGTTGTCACAGATGCCTGTCCCACAGCATCCCTACATCGGTATTTCGACCTACCACGTCGTCTCACATCATACGGAACGTTAATGTACAATTTATGAGAAACTCTTTTAACGCTTTTCCTCATAGCATTAGCAAAAGCCTCTGTATCAAGATATACAATGAGATGCTCATTCCTTGTAGAGCATAAACAGCTCACTATTTCTCTTCTTCGCCAATTACCATTTTCGCATACGAGCCCTAATATTCTCTTCAGAATTACCCTTTCAATTCTGTCTAGCAGATTAATGTTTTTATTGCTCAGGGTTCACTTTTCTCCACCATGTGTGATGATTGGCCTTATCAGCGTCTTGTATAGCATAGACTTGATGGCACGGCTAACAAGTTTGCTTTTGATTAGCCTTAAAATGGAGAAATAGGCTTTAATTCCTGTTGCAATTCTGCTTTTAACCTCTTCTTCTTCATTCTGGATGATAGAGCCAAGGTAGGAAAAGCTTCTGACAAATTTGAAATTGTAGGGGTCCATTACAAAGCGATTCTACCTCTGATCCAGTGACTTCTTACCCAATAACAAAATCTTCGTTTTATCCCCATTAACACGCAGGCCCATCTTTTTTGCATCGACATCCATCGCTTCGAAAGCCATCCTAATGCTCTGAAGGGATCTACCGACGATGACGACGTCGTTTGCGTAGGCCAGAACATGGGTCATTTTTGTAAATACTGTTCATTCTTGATTTAGTCCTGCTCTATTTATGATTGGCTGTAGAGCCATATTAAACAGGAGAGGAGCTATTGGGATTCCCTGGCTTAGGCAACTTTCCAATACAAAAGGCTCCGCTAATCCAATATAGATAGATTTAGGATAGAAATTTTGACGCGAGAGGGCTAACGTGTATGCAAAACTCACTTTGTCCTGCAACCAGATGATTAAGAAACTGAAGTTTACAAGATACAAAATGATTACTAGTTTGTTTCGGGACAAGAACATCGATTCAGGATAGCTTATAACTCAGGGGCATTAATCGAGGGATTATCGAGGGAAGTTGCAGTGAGATTAAGTCAAATAAATCATCAAATTATTCGCTCTCAAAAATACGCCGTTTTCACTTTTATTTTGTCCACTCCATCCTCTCTTTTAAGGCTATACGGAGATTTCATGGACCAGGGGAGAGGGTGAGGACCCTCGGATGGAGGCAATGGATACCATCTAGGCACATCGAATTATTTCTAGGAAATCTATCCTCTAATCTATTACCTCTCTCTCATTTCTTCTTATATTTCGAAATAAATAAAAAAATGACAATCTATGAGAGAGTTCTGATAATTTAAATTCGGGACAGTTTGCAAGTTCAGAAATTACTTTTTTAAGATATTCTAACTTATCCTACATTGTGCATTTATTTTATAATTTAATTATGTCATATAATTTTATATTGTCATTTTAGCTTGATCAGTTAAAATGAAAAGTCGGATGTTAATTGCATTGCAAAAAATTAAATGGTATAAGTTCGTGCATGATTTTAACCTTGACTATAATAGACAAGTACTGAGCTTCCAATGCTAAAGATCCCAGGTTCGAACCCCGGCTCATGGCAGAAAAATTATTTATTCTGTTTCATTGGCAGTGGGGCGACCCGGGGTAGGTAGACCCTCCTGAGGCACACTCAGCCTCTATAAAGTGGGTAACCTTAATTAAAATAATTGATTAAGGGGAAAAACCTGGAGATTGAGTGTGATCTCGGACAAATCACCTCCTTGCACAACCGTGGACCATGAAACAGTGTTTTCCCTGAATAGTACTGAACCCAAGATCCTTCATGGGTTGTATTTGTACAGGTCAGGTTCTCTAATAGACAAATAAATAATCAATAAAAAGAACGTAAAAAGTCACAGGTAATGTGGGACGAACTCTTTGTATGTTCTTTCTAAGATAGATTAAATGCATTAATTTTAATGAATTTGTCCCGTCTTCCCAATCAATATTTATGATAGATAAAATATTAGCATAATATGAAATGTAATTATTTACAACATGAGGTACTGTCCATATCAGTTTGATTTGAAAGTGTCAAAAGCTCATTGCTAGAGAGACACACTTCAAGACAACTGTGAAAATTAAGGCTCGCAAAGAAAGTATTAAATTGTCGACTTTGAAATTAGCTGGTGCAGTCCAAAACATATCGAGTTCCATGTTTATGTCTGGATTAATTCTCGTTGTGTTCAAATATCAATAACAATTCTTCAAATGAAAGTATTAATTTTTTTAATTTATGCGAGGTTTAAGGCGTTCTGTTCCTCTGTCAACACCGCAAGACACGCCACGCCGTCTTCACTTCTTCCGCACAACGTGAGTGTTATTAACGCTGCTGCCGATAAGCATTCTGCACTATTATTTCCTAGGGAGTGCTTTTTAGCCAATAATTATGATTTAATAAAAATGATAATCTTATTTTATCCAATAACACCAACTTTCTAACTAAATTTCATTATTGAGGAAGAAGATGATACAGGGTGGCTGTCATAAACAAGCTTTTCTTAAGATTTGTCAGATTATATTCATAATTACGTATATTATCCATCGACCTTATTTCATTTTTTTTCATATTTAAAATTATTGTTACCATCTTTATTATTTTAGTTTAGGGCATGGTTACTTAATTACGAGTTTACTTCATTTACTCTGTATAGTTTAATGTTATTAATATTTTATGTATTTCATTCTAAATATCATGTTTTAGCTATTTACTATATATATGTGAGTGTGATAACTGTTAACTTTAGCTTTGTTGTGATGAAAATCATATATGTTACGATGCCGCAGTTTTGTTACCCATTAATTATTACAAATTTCGATATTCCAAACTAAATAAAGATAGTTGTAATTGACGTAGAAGCTCACAATAAAGGTAATTCATGTCAAATTATTAATACGTTCATTACCCGAGTCTCCAGCGTTACACATGGTTATTAGCTTATCCTTTTCCCATAGCCCAGTGATGATAAGCTTCCTGTAATATTTGCACTTCTTAACTTTGTCAGTTTCAATATTCACAGGGGAATCCTTATATTCACCGCGATATTTATCTTTTTTCGTTTTCCATTTCATCGCCTCATTCACATAATAACTTTTGTCATAATGACAAAATTCAGGAATCACATCCGTATGAATCTGTTCATTGACCTCTCTATTTGAAAGTTTTATAACAGTCGGTCGTTCCATATCTTCGTACTGCTCGATCCAATTGGTTAACAATTCCTGGATGGTTTTCGAAGGCCTACATCCCTTCCTAATTCTCCAGTTCAAGATATGTCGCATTGTTTTTTCTGCATTCTTTTTTTCAGCTTCAATATTTTCAGCATTTATTCTTTCAGCTTCTTTTTCTTCAATATATTCTTTTTCTAAATCATTATATTCTTTTTCTGTCATTGTTACCATAGCTTCGTGGGAGAACCCTTTCTTTTCTTGAATACTCGAAACCTCCTCTTCCTGCATTGTGATGTTTAAACAAATGTATGTTTGAAATAAGTAATTTCAATGTATTGTGCTGTTTTGGTGGTGCTCAGTTGTTTTTTTAAATTTATTTCATGACGTGATTGATTTAAGTCATGTGAACTCAGTTGATTCAATATTTTTAGAAAATAAATTAATCAAGTATTTTTTCACTCATGTGTTATAGATATTGAAGGGAATACGTTGGGACACGTAGACAAGTTTTTGCTTTTTAGTGTTTACGATAACAAGAAAAACGATATTGATGGAGAAGTTAAGGTTAGGTTAAAGGCAGGAAATGCTTGATACTTTTTAGTTGCGAAACTACTTCTAGCGCCTGTTGTCACGAAACTTAAAAATTAGAATTTACAAAACCTCTTCCTACGGTTCTTTATGAATGCAAAACGTGGTCGATTACATTAACGGATGAGTAACGTCATACGGTTTTTGAAAATAAACTATTATGTAGAATATTCGGACCGAAGAAGAATGAATCAACCGAAGAATTTAGACGGTTACACAAGGCTGAATAGCGTGAACTGTATATAATTGTAATTGTGGTATACTGTTAATATAATTGTGGTGATTGCGTTGAAGCGAATACAATTTTTATTTTCATTCTTAGTATCATTATTTTTTTTTTTTAAATAATGTTTTTTTCATTTAATATCATGGACTTTATTTAAAATTCTCTAACAACAGATCTAAACCTAGAGGCAGATGCTAAAAAAGGTATTAGCAGGAGTAAAAAAGATTCGTAAGTAATTCGTAGTAAAAAAGATCTTACTACGAATTACGAAAATGTACATTATTTCAAGTAAAATGAACCTTGTCAACTATTCTAAAGATGCTGATTTCAAAATTAGGCCAGGCAGCTGAGGATCGAAACGGGCACAATATTGCGAAAAATGAGGTAGGAGTTTTCATTTTTTAAACTTGTGTATATACCAAAGGAGAACTTAGGGCTTAAAAAAAAAATTCGTTTCAAATGACTGCCTTTCCACTTTCAACTCCTGAATAGTACAGCATCCATGCGAAAAAGTTACTTTTTAATGTATTAAAAACATTGAATTTTGGGTCGAATTTGGTTAAGTGGTGTTAATAGAAAACTTTGGTCAACGAACTATGATTTTTACCAACTTTGTCAAAAACAGATATATATCTGTGAATGATACTTCATTTATGAAATGAGCTTTCTGTGATGATTTTCATGCTATAATCCATATAGGAATTATATTCACATATCATATTCATTTGTTTGGCATCGGTGTAAAAGATAGCCCGACATGCCCTCTATGTTCCTTAGACATGATAACAGGAGAACATCTTGATACATGCCCTGCATTACAGGACATAAGATGTTCCTTTATTGAAATGGACAGCGCTTATGCTCGGAGAGCAAAACTGTATTGGAAGAGCACGCATGGCTAATGAAGCAGGCGTAGGAAAAAACAAAAAATATTCATTTGTGAAATGAGCTTTCTATGATAAAAAAAACAACTCATGTAATAAAATTTTTAGTACTCTTTTGTTTGAATACTTACGATGCAGCTCTATCACCCGGTGTGGGCCTTGACTTCCTGGATTATAGCGTGCTAATCTTCTCAATTCTTAGCCCTATCCAAAGGCGGATCTAAGGAGGAGGGGAAGGGGACTTTCGCGCTGAAACCCTCGCCCCTTCCAAAATGGAAAAATGTAATAATGTTCTTTGGGAAAAAATGTTTAAAAAATTATCTTTTATCTATTATTGTTCGTGTAATATCATTTGATAGGACTTCAAGAATCATTTAAACACCATTTCATATAGGTAATTTTTCCCTAAGTAATTATCGTAATATATATGTGAAAATGAAAAGCTTTCGAGCTGAAGCATTCCCACCCCCAAAAATTAAATCCTGGATCCGCTAGTAGTACTATGCTTCCAGTTTCTCACATCCAGCGTTTTAAGGTCACTCTCAACATCCTGCATCCATCCTTTCCTCGGCCTTCCTTTTCTTTTTGTGCCATTGTAGAAAACCGTGCTCTATATGGCTGTCCATTCTAGCCACGTGGCCTTACCATTCTATGCGCCTATTTGTAACAAAATAAACTATGTCACCGCTATTATATAGTTCATATAGCTCCGAATTTGTTCGATACCACTACACAACATTTTCTCAAACAGCTCCATAGATTCTTCTCAATATTTTTCTTTCAAAAATATTCAGCATACTAAAATTGTTTGTACAAAGGGTCCATGTCTCCGCTGCACAAGTCACAATAGGTCTACTTGTCAGATTAGTAAAATAGACTTACTAAAGTGTTATGTTATATTTTTTTAAATTATTATTATTGAAATTCACAACTGTATTAAATGATAAATACAACAATAAATATGAAATAAGTAATATGACATGTACAACATGAAGAGAAACTACCCAATTATATTTCTACATTAGAACGTCCCGAGGCCATCTTTTCAGACGCCTCCGAAGTTTATCAGGAATAGAAGAGGAAGCAAGGTTGGAAAGAAGAAGAAGGGCTTATATATTCTTATCTTTGTTTGTCGTGACAGGAGTGATGATCAAAAACATTTTTAAAAACATGGCATAGTACGCCCGGTCTTCAGCCATGATTCTCTTGGTTACCTCAGCAGCAATTTCATTTTCAGAATTCAATTCCACACCCAGGTCCGTGAAAATATTGACACACTCGAAGGTGAGATCGACCACATAATCCAATGTTCTGAGGACCAGCCTCTTTGTCGATATTTCGATTTTTATATTTATATTTATTTTATTATATTTATTCATATTATATTTATATTTTTATATTGATATTTCGATATCAATATTTCCTTTATTGATCTCAATTCCTGGTAATTCCTATATCGTATGCGTAAGCGCATATTTGCACCATTGCTTTAAGTATACAACCAGGTGAATCCAGTTTTTTCGATACATTATTAGGTGCAGTATTAAATAATGTAACAGACTTGCCTAACCCCAGCTGTCATTGGAAAGTCATTGCTTACATTGCCATTAATAATCAATTTCGCATTGCAATTATTCATCGTCATTTGCAATAACCTTATTAATTTTTGTGGAATTAGGAACTCATGTAAGGCATTTATTAATTTGCTTCTTATTACTCTATCGAAAGCATGCCGGTGGTCTATAAACAACGTATGCAGGTCAATCTTATATCCCTATACTTTTTGCATTAGCCTCATTACAAAAACTTGGTCAGTTGTTCCTCTCCCCTTCCTAAATCCACACTGGTATTCCTCCAGTATGATCTCACCAACTATGTTGAACCTCACAGAGAGGATGCTTGAAAACTATTGTATAGGCTACAGCCAATACGAAAACTCCTCTGTAATTTTGGCATTGGATTTTATCTCCTTTTTTATATATCGGGCATATCAGACTTGTGCACCACTCCTGATGCATGATTTCACTACTCCAAACATGAATAGTTCCAACAGTAAATGTATTTGGTTTGTCAATTTTTCTTCTCCGTATTTAAAGAATTTTGTCACCAGCACATCTTTTCCAGATGCTTTATTTTTTTATTTTTCAATCGCCTCGGCCACCTCTTCTATCGACAATGACTCCATATCATCAACACACCTTTCCTCATTAATGCCAACCATAATTCATTACCATTAACGTTAAGCAATCCTGTGTAGCGCTCTTTCCCTAAAACTCGGGAGCTCTCAACAACTACATTTTTTCTTTTTCTTTTTAGTTTAAATGATTTACTAAATTTCATATTTTGTAAATGTTTTTACAATGTAATAAAAAAAACTTTTGCGGGCCGAATTGGAGGTACTCTTGGGCCGTAGTTTGGAGACTCCTACCCAAGAATATCATTATAGACGTTTTATAGATGTTTAATAACATTAGCGCTGGCACTTACGAAATACTGAAGGAGGACGAAGGTTAAAACTATATTCATGAAGTAGTCCAGTCGTCAGTTTATTATCTGTTAAAAAATATAATTATTTATTTGGTTATAAAATTTCCATTTGTAGCCGAGAATGTATAAAAGCGTATTTATTGAACTTTATATGGTGGTTTTAGAAAATGTAAATTACAATTCAAGGCACATATAAAAACTTAATGCTAAGGACCAACTTAGATGCTGAAGAGGATTATATATTCATTGACTGGGAATCGTAACGAACTTTCTCGTTTCTTCTATTGCAAAATAGAATTTTAAAAAAATGTTAAAAATACATGAAATATAGGAAATAACTCAAACACCAGCTTACTACAACACTTAATACATGAGTTGTTTCTCTTAGAAAGGACAAGTCACAACTGAAGTGTCATTTATAGAACGAACATTTTTTTTTTTCAATTATGTCAGCAAAACTTAGTTAAGATCTTAATCCAAACGACAGAGTGGATGTAACAATCCGGCCCTCAGGACTTAACTAGATATCTTAATGTCGCCTCTCCAAAAAGGTTGGAGACCCCTGGTCTAAACCACAGTATAATACTCCTTTAATTGTTCCTACCGCTATAAAAATCCTTTAAAGTGTATAATAAGAATTACTTAGTAAATAAATAATTTTATTGCTAGCAGTAACTTATACATACCTTCTTCGTAGAATTCACTTCCTTCCACTCTCCCCTGCATACCTATTCTCTCAACCTGTATTACCTATATGGCAAGGAAAGGAGAGGAATAAAAAAACTCTCATTAATGCATAATATATTGTAATTTTACAAGTTTTCTTAGTTATCTTTTGAGGATTTAAAAGGGAACACTACCCCTCCTCTCCCGCTGATTATATTCAAACTTAATATGATTACGGGATTTTTTATTTATTATTCAGTTGATAGTGTGTTTGATTTAGATTTAATTTTTACGCTGAAAAATGGTTCATGAATTGATTTCTAAGATGAGAAATAACTTTTATTTGATAATCTATTCAATAGCTAACTACACTAGTGCTATCTTTTAAACATCACACTAACTGTCCAGTCGAAGGGTTGATAGAATTGTTTACTAATAGGTTATGTTGACATTTGTCAATAAGTTTGTGTTTACATTTAAATGTCGTGTTGTTTTTTGTTTATTTAAGTTATCTAATCACTGTTTACCTCATTAATTTTTTAATACTAATGTTTGTAAGAATGCTTCAGAATAAGATAATCATTAATTACGAAAGATGCCTTGTTTCTTTGGAAAGACTTTTTTTAGTAGAAATTAATCATCTTTTTTTGTCATCTTAATGTTAATTTGTCTCTGAATATGTTATTATGAAAATAAATAAATTTTTCTTAGTAATGTTTAAATTTTTTATTTATTTGATGGATATCTCTGCTTATTCAATACACAAATAAACCTCTATAAACAAAATAACAGAAATAGAGCTTTTGAGCTATATAATTTTAAAATACGAATTAAAGGGAGAGCAATGGAGGTTGATAATGAACCTGGATTTTTAGTTGTTGACCTGGAACATTGTGTATCTTCAGGTACCATTTAGCTTTTAATCATTATATTTAAGCTAGTGAAATTTTCTTATTTTTATTAGAATTGTATTATAATATATTTTATTATTTGAAATCTTTCAATGAAACTGTAAGTATATGTATTGCAATTGCCTAGATGATACTGACTCAATGGTGCACTAATTTCTATTGATATTTCAGATCATTGATTATCTTACCAATTGAGATTTTTTATAGATATGATAATCTATCTCTCGACATTTTTAATATACCTTAACTAGTGAATTTAAAATCAAAATGAAAAAACATTCATTACGGTTCAATTTGTTTTAAACTCATCTGATCGTAATCAATTGATCTATATAGTTTCATGAAATCAATGTAGTACCATAAATGTTTCAAGATATTTTCTGTATATAATATTTATTAAAAGTACCATTTGAAATTTAATAAACTAACATAATTGATAACTTATGGCTTTTATCTGTCAACAGTAATTTTACATCATTACTTCTAAGTTTGCATGGTTAGTATTGAGTAATACTGCAGGAGCATAATGACATAAACCTGTTAATTTGATATTTATACACTTCATAATTTAAATCTTTTGTTTTATACTCTGATTTAATCTTTGCTATAAACCCTTTTAGCAACCAATGCCTTTCAAAACTTCTTTATCTATTAACTAATTATTTTTTATTTAATAAGTCTGTTTAAGAACTTATTAATAATAAAAGATACTACAGATTAATCTATTAACTCTAAAATTTTTAAGTTGAGTAAATATTGATGTTTTTTATTTATTTATTTATTTTTGCAACTAATTATCATTTTTTATTTATCCAATTGCTTTCTTTGTCGTCATTTCCAATCTCCTCATCTAAATTATTTACTTTGCTCTCAGTATGCAACCCTGAGGCCAATTTATAAAGACCATTATGCCTAATATGTTTTTTTTTTTGTATTTATTTATTTATTTGTTCAGGTTCTGCTGGTATTTGATTATGAACAAGAAAAGATCTGTACTATACATTTCTGCTTGATCATATTTTGACTAGGATATAATCTATTATTATTTACTGAATTTCTGTTCAGAGACATCAATGATGATTTCTTAATATGACTAAAGATTGTCCTACTCACTACCCAACCATTGCTATACTTATGTTGTTTCCCATATTCATTTTATAATTTGCATTGATTCATTTCCTTACATCGAAAGGGAATGGATAAAAAAATAATTCCTTTCTGTCTTTTTTTCAAGAGTTAATTCTACTACTGAATTTTATAAAAAATAACGATTGTTGTTCTGTAATCTTTCTTTTTGGAATCGAGAGAAAAATAAATGATACTGGTTAAATTTAATTAAACATTTGTAGGAACGAGCTGAACTTTCTTCATTTGTCATATTTTAAAAAGGTTCGAAGTATATTGATAATACTTCCAAAGAATTATTTTATTTATTTACTTTTCAATTTGAAATAATCAGAAAAAGAGTAAGGTAAGTCATTTTGTTGCAGCATTGTGAAAAACATTTTTTTTTATACTAGGGGATATACCCCATTTTACAAATTATACAAATGAAAAAGGTATATGAAAGACAGGCATTTTTAAAGAAGAGAATATTTGAAAATGTACATTCTGAATAGTTAAAAAAAATCTTATCAGGGTGATGGATTATGAAGCAGTATCCGGAAACCCATATGGCAGTGGTGCTCTGTGGGCATTTCACCTTATATGTAAAATAAAATATTACATGGTCACTGAAACCCTTTTTATTTAATAGAGATATAAAATTGTATTTTTAATTATATTCTTTAAAATTATATTTCCAGAATACATTTTGAAATCTTAAAAATCCTTACAAACTTATTTTCCTACTTAAAGCTCTAATATTGCCTTTGTTTGTAGTCCATTATCTCATATTCTTTATTTTTAAAAATATTGCAAGTGTTTTCCCATGTTCCCTTCAATTAATTAAATAATCCTACTGCTACATACTTTGAAATATCTTTGATTCAATACTTGATGAGGAAATGCTGTTCGAGATCATTTGTGAGAAACTGATACATCCAGTATCAATTGCCCATGTTTTTTTTCTCTAACACCCTGAAATATTAGGAATCAATTTTCCAAATTCTGGGTTTGCTACTAGAGTTGAGTTGATGCAACAAACATACATTTAGAAAATATCCATTGCACAAAATTAAACCTAGAGATATTTATGTATCTTGTCTTTTAAACTCTTGAAATATTTTTATTTTTCTGTATAGTCCATCTGTCTGTAAGAGAATCATTATAATATGGCAATATAAGAAGGTAGATGAAATTTTCAATGTGCTCATTACATTAAGTAGTGTTAATACTTGGATCTAAGATTTACTTAAAGAGGTAAATTTTTTTAATACAGTTTTATTCTTATAAAATAGTACTATAAATTAAACATATGATAAAAATGAGGCTTCTAAAAGAACATTATATAATAAATTTCCCCAGCATAATTTCAAATGTTTAAAATTGTATTCATCACAACAGTTGCAAGAGAAAAATAACATGAATTTTTTTCTATTTACACTTATTATGGTTTATATAAATAAAGAACTGTTTTGTGAATTAATGTTTGATTAACATTGCTGTCATTCAAAAGAATATTTTTTAATAACTTTTGTACTCATTTCAAGTAGGAGTTCTCTTATTCAATTATCTATGATTAGTATTAATTTTTCTGTTTCAGATATTAGGAACCTAAATAAAAACAACATCTATACAAGTTCTCTATCTCCAAATAATCATCATGATGTTATACACCTATCAGCACCTATTCAAAACTTAAATAACGATATAAATCAATCACTTTGTAGAATTCAACAGCATCCATTGGCTCAATTACACTCACTTCCTTACCAGCATTTGCAGGTATGTCCAACATTATTCTATTTATTAATATAATTCCCTGATTATTTTATGACATTTGGAAATTATCAAAAGTATATTGTTATTCCTTATTGGAGCAAAATTGATGCAACTGATTGGTACAATAAATTGTATATAAGTCCTTAAAAAAAATAAGATGAAATTTTTATGAACTTTTTTTTTCAGATAAATTATGATGGAAACAGCTCTCATGAACTATCACCATTATATCAAAACTCAACCTTACAAAATTATTCACCTACACTTGGATATTCCAGTCCTTTTTTGCAGTCACTTTCACCAGTGGAGCAAACATCAATACAAATTCCATCGACTTCATCTCCTCCTCCAAATCCACCAACTCCTCCTCCTCTACCACCTCCACCTAGAGAAAGAAGAAAACATATAACAAATGATGCAAATGATGTCCCACATTTTCCTATTAATGATTATGAATACTATAAAGAGATTGAACAACTTTTAGTGATGGACAAATATCCTGAAGGAGTATCTGAAAATTACAAAAAGCATTTAAGGAAGAGAGCTCGACATTATTTGGTGAATATTTTTTTCATCACTTGGAAAGAGTTTATGTTATGCATTATGTATATTGTTTTTAATTGACATTTTTAAATAGTTATGACTTTTTAAGTATAAGGTATAGAAAAAATCTTTTGAAATAATTAAGAAGTTTGATGTTAATAGTTCTTTCTTGTTTTCTTCAAGAACTTTATTTTCAAGATTATTTCTTAAACAATACTTTTCAAAACCATTACTAGATTATAGGTAAACCATACTATTTCCTAGACTATTTAAGCTGTTTGTTAAACAGTTTAAATATTTTTGAAAGATTGTAAACCATTTACCAAAGGAGTTTACATTTTGTTTTCTAACTTAACACATTAAACACCATCCCTTTAATCCCAATCATTTTTTCTTTTTGCATATTACCCCCGACGACCTCCTTCAATCCATCTGTAAATCCCAAACCAAAAATTTTGGACCACATAATATCCCAGTTAAATTAATTAAATCCTTACTTCCATCCATTTTCCCAATCCTTTATCATATCTATAATTTCTCACTACAAAGTTTCACTTTTCCCAGCACCTCGAAAACCACTCTTGTTCGTCCTCTGAACAAAATCTCTAACCCCACAACCCCTAATGATTTCCATCCAATTTCCCTCTTGTCTAACCTTTCCAAACCTTAGGAGCGAATTGTACAATCTCAACTATCCCAATATCTTGAACAAAATAAACATTTGAACTGCTTCCAGTCTGGTTTTAGACCAGACTACTCCACTCATTCCGCCCTTATTAAAATCTCCCAAGATCTCCACACAGCCATAGATCAACAGAAACTCACCATCCTGATCCTTATTGATTTCTTTAAAGCATTCGACTCAGGTGACCATAATATCCTCCTATCCAAACTTAAAAATATATCCATATCATCCAGTACCCTTAAGTGGTTCCAATTCTTTCTCACCGATCGCTCCCAGTACGTTGTACTCTCTAATAACCCTCAATCAATGTCTCTACCTCAATCCATAGGCATCCCACAAGGTTCCTCATTATCCCCCACCCTCTTTTCCATCTATATTAATGACCTCCCTTCCTCTATTATACACTGTCAGTATCACCTCTACGCCGATGATGTCCAAATTTATCTTTCCTTCGACCCGACAGATTCCTCTAATGCTATCCTGAAACTGCAACAAGACATCAATAGAATATGAGTATGGGCAAATCTTAATAAGCTGACATTGAATACGGTGAAGACAAAAGCCATCCTGATCGGATCCCCCTCATTCCTCAAATCCATTTCAACACCTTCTAATCTTCTTCTAAACAACTCACCTATCTCCTTCCATACCACCGTTAAAAACCTAGGTGTTACCCTCGATCAAAGCCTCTCCTGGAAACCACACATCTCCCAAACCTCCCGCCGTACTATATCCACCCTGAAACAGTTTAACCATCTACGTTATCTTCTTCCGTTCAAAACCCGTCAACTCCTGGTCTCCTCTCTTGTTTTCTCCCACTTCGACTATGGCTGCATGGTATATGGTGTACTCTCGGGGGAACTCGAAGGGATCTCAAGGGATACGCATATCACCCAGTTCTACACCAAATTGAAGTGGCTTTATCCGTCCTACCGCCATCAATATTTTCTGGCTACCTTCCTATACCGAACCATTACAACACGGCGACCTGCCTATATTCTACAGATCCTACAATTCAAACGTTCCTTTCAATCCCGTCCCACCAGATCCCATGCGTCTCATTACCGACCTCTATCCTCCCCCTCACCGAACTACTGCATTTGATAAATCCTTTTTAATACAAGTTGTCTCCCTCTGGAACTCTATATATACCATCAGATATTCGACACGCAAAATCGATATCCTGTTTCAAATCTCTCCTCTTCGAACACCTACTCCATTCCCAATCCGATTGATCACGAAATGCACTTAAAAACCTAAGCTGTAAAAATCTCAAAGTACACCCAGATACTTTGATTATTTTGTAATTCATCGATATTTAGTTCACTTAATTACTTTCTCTGTATATTTTATATTTACATATATTTATATCTTTTTATCATTTATAACTTTATTGTACTCCGAATCAACCTGTAAATATTAAATTGTATTTCATGGACACACCAAAATATTGATATATATTCTGTATTTGTGACTTGTTCTAAAGGGACACTAGTCCCAGAATAATAAAATTATTTTCATTCATTCATTGATTCATTAAAGGTGGGAGTCGTAGTACTACGGTTTATCTCGACTGCTGCTTAAAGGCGGGAGTCGTAGTACTACGATTTATATCAACTAGCATACTTTCCTCAAGATCCCCCGCCTTTAATGTGTTAATATACATTTTACCAGTTTGATTTGTGTTTTTCGTTTTTAAATAAAACCTTTTCTCCACCCAGACCTACTCAAAATCAATCACATCTTAGATTTCCATGTAGGATTTTATTTCATTGTCATGAAGAAAGAATAATAACAAGGTAACCATGGTATTGTACAAAATTGTTTTAATTATTTTTATTTTTGTAAATGCTTTGAGAAAATAAATTTTTAATAATTCTTCTACAATCTGTATGTGCAGCTATTTTTTCTTGTTACTTCTAAAATTTCGTGACAATTATAAATTTTACAAATCAAAGATATATATGAAGATGAATTATAAATAAATTTATACTTAGCATCCTTTTTTTTTAAAATAAGAAAATTAGTTTCTCTTAAGACAAACATTTTCTTGGGTAATATACCCATGCATAAAGTCCAAAAAAAAAAAAAACAAAAAAAAACTGTAAATCACACTTAGGCTTAATTGGGATTTTATATGTTTGATTCAAATAGATTTTCAATAGTTAAGTATTAAAAAACATGCTCCGAAAAAATATTTATAAAAATTTTGGTTTAAATTTAAATCTTCGACTAACTAATACTTGTTATTTTTCACTTTGCAGATAATTAACGGTGCATTGTTTCACAATCCTAAAAAACCTAAAAAAGTTGTTATGAGAAAATTAGAACAAATTAATCTGCTGGAAAGTACTCATGTTACACCTGAGAACGGCATTCACCTTGGTATAACAAAAATGTTAGATATGATTCATGGTGAATATTTCTGGCGTGGTTTATATGAAGATGTTGCAAATTTTGTAAATAACTGCCCCAAGTGCCGGGATAGCGTTGATCTGGCTCAGCGTAAAGAAAAGGAATTCAGACGGCTTGGAGAAGATTTTAGTGATGATGAAATGGAATTCGCATACGCTACTACTGCTGTACAAACATCTTCTAATGTTTGGACCAGGGTATGTTTAAACTCAAACAGTTTTTTATTTGTAATTTATATTCCATAAGTTTGTATATGGTATTAAATATAATTAATATAAATTTGTGTTTATATTGTTCTTTAAAATTTTCTTTGGTAAGTTAGTATAACATCTTAATCTTCTTGTAGTGAAATTATGGGTACTTGTGTACTATGCGGTCGGGATGAACTATTATCTGTCAATGTTTATAACCTGAACACTGATAATTCTGATAAGGCACTCATAATCTCTATCTTCATATTGATATTTATGGAAATTGAAATATGCAAAAACAAATGTCTTATTTATGAAAATTGAAATAGACAAAAACAAATGTAATAATAGCAAAACACTTTTATTTTACAACATATATATATATATATATGAATGAAACAATTTCATTTTACATTTTATACAAAATACAACATAAACACTTAATGCATACAATACATATACGTTAATACTTTATAAAACCAACATATATACATAAATAAACACTTTATTTTGTGTAAGCTAATCCTTCTGTTACGTGTGAATTATTTCATTGTTTATTTTTTGTTAATTTTGTCATCTGTTCAAATGGATATTATTACACTGTGGTAATTGCCATCTTCTGAAGAAGAAGCTATCAAATATTTTCAAAAGGTCGGGATAATTCTAAAGATGAAATTTTGTGAAGAAGCTCATGAAATGAAGTTTGACAGGAAGACCAAATGGAGATGTTTTCGAAGCAGTTGTAAGAAAAGCAACATGGTTAGAGAGGTCAAAGATTGTCTTTTCAACGGCTTTAAAATTTATTTATGGGTGGTCTCACAATTTAACAACAAAAGCTATTTTGTCTGCCAAAATAAATTAAATGAAAACTATTTTTCTAATATAAACTATTACTATTTTCATTTAATTTATTTTGGTAGACAAAATAGTTTTTGTTGTTAAAATATGAGACCACCCATAAATAAATTTTAAAGCCGTTGAAAGACAATCATTGACCTCTCTAACCATGTTCCTTTTCTTATAGATATGTTTTTCTTACATCTGCTTTGAAAACATCTCCATTTGGTCTTCATGTCAAACTTCATTTCATGAGCTGCTTCACAGAATTTCATCTTTAGAATTATTCCGACCTTTTGAAAATATTTGATAGCTTCTTCTTCAGAAGACGACAATTCCCACAGTGTAATAATATCCATTTGAACTCATGACAAACTTAACAAAAAATAAACAATGGAATAATTCACACGTAACAGAAGGATAACAACAGCTTTCACGAAATAAGAAGGGAAGTTATGTGATGCGAGATAAGATTAGAAGGGAGTTTCCATCCTGACCGCATACTACACAGGTATCAAATTCTGCGATGGTTAAAAAATTTGTTGTTGTGAAGTGAGGGATTTTTGGATGAAATCACAGTAATAATTGAGCTGGTTTTGAAGATTTTTGTTTATTGTATTGTTTCGATTTTCCACACTTTTTTGTGATGATATAACTGTAAAATAACTTCAATTATGCATTAGCCAACCAAAAACCACAAATCTCCTGGCTCTGACAAAATAATTTATGAAATTTTCAAATCTTTACTCCATGCTGGTAACATTACCTTTTAAACCTTTTTAATGTAGTTATAAATAAAGAAAACTCTCTACTTCTGTGGTCCTTGTTTATACTTCATCTGTTATTCAAGAAAAAAGAATAAAAATGATTATATTAACAAGCATCCTTGCTAAAAGGATTATATTACTGACTAAGTTGGAGAGCTTTAATCCATTACTAACATCACTGTTCATACTTTGTATTTTGGTCTTTTCAGTTTCTTTTAATGGTATTGACATAATGAAAATGTGGAGTAAAACGAAACTTAAATATATTTGGGAATTTTATTTAGTTCCTCTGGTAACAGTTTTAATGGCTTCAAAAGTTTTACCCAATGTGTTGAAAATTTTTCACAAAGATAGAAATGATATTTTGGGGCAAAATTAATCTCTTGAATTCTGGGGTAACCTTTATCTTTCTTATGCTTCAAGAGTTTCGAGTCCTAGAAATAGAGAAATAAGCGAATCTGTTTATCTGATTTTTTTAAATACCTTGATTAGCCAAAGAGTACAGAGAATTATATTTTCCACATTGAAATATAATGCTATCCTATCAAGACTTTTATCCTAAAATAATTATAAACTATTGAATGAAATTGCCCTTCATGTTTGATGAGAAAAAGTACTTTGATAGGCTTATCTATCTTGATTTATTGAGAACAGAAAATCATTGGTCACATCTATGTGCTGTATTTAGCGTTTCACATACTTATCTCTGGACATATTTACATCTTGTGCTAGAGCTTGTTTTTAATAAATAAAGTTATTTATGTAGTGAATATTATATATTTTGTATCTCTAAATACTTTTTTAGTATCAACTATAAAAATCACAATAATGATTGAGCTGGTTATGAAATATCTTGTTTATTGTTTAATATTGGTTGATAGTATAATTTAAAAAATTGAATTTTCAGGTGGAAGTTCAAGTTCATGGACCATTTAAAATTACAGAAAGTCGAAATGAATATGTGATTACTATAACTGATCCTGAATCCTGCTTTGTGCATGCTGCACCTCTCCCTCACACTGACTGTGCTAAAAAGTCTACAGAATTTATTTTGAAGACGTTTTATACTTTTGGTTTTCCTCAGCCATATTTTATAAGTGACAAAAAATTGTATGAAGAAGTTTCTGTGGAATATGATGAAAGATTAAAACAAACTGCATGGAAAACCAAACTCCACTGGCTTGAGAATTCAGAATGCCCGTGGGTTTCACAATTAGCTGAACTTCTTATTGTGAGAAAAGCTGACCGTTGGGACAAAGAAATGGATAAATTCATGTTTCAGTTTAGGGCAGGATTCATCAGAGATTCTCCTTCACCTAAGGATTCCGTACCATTTTATTCAATGTTCCAGAGACTGCCTTATACTGATGATAAAGAGAATTCTGAGTTGTGGAACAGAGGAAAACATCAACTGCAGGTGAAGTGAACTATTTTTTTTATTTATTATTTCATTTTTATATTTGTACCATTAGAGTGCTGCCAGTGGGTAGTTTCTCAACAAGTGTTTTCATGTTTTTATTTTCCGTTATCATATTTACTGAATGTATTTTTTCTTGATACAGTTGTAAATATCATAAATAAAAAAATAAATATTTCCACCAAAAAATAGCTTCTTAGTGAATTTTTGGAAATGATTGCCTCAATATGAGTTGAACACTTCTTCTTCATTAGCATTACAACCCATAAATGATCCTGGCTTCCTCCACTCTGTGCCACTGCCATCCAATTTTGTATCTTCAAATATTTTCTAGCATTTTGGGCTACATAATCTGACCAACGCAGTTTTGGTCTTTTAACTCTATGAGGACTATACAGTAGACCTGGGCAGAATTTATTTGAAAAATATTTATTCCTGGAATAAATCCCTAAACAAACCTCGATAGTTATTTCCGAAATAATTTATTTCATGAAATAACCTGACCATTATTTCCGAAATGATTGTTTCGGGAATAAATTATTTCAGGAATAACGATATCTGAAATGATCATTTCAGGAATAATGTTGTGAAATAATCATTCTGATCGACTTTTCATATATAATCAATATCCGGGTCGACTGTTATGTTTTCGGGGGCGCTTATTATAAAAATAATGTCAAATTTGAGATGCGTCCCCCCCCCACCCTCTCACATCAACTTTTTATATTTTTTCTGAAATAATCGATATCAGGGTCGACTATTATGATTTCGGGGTAGCTTATTATGAAAACACGGTCGAATTTGAGATTGCGCCCCTCCCACCCTCCAGCATCGCCTTTTTGTAACTTTTTGGATTTAATCGATATCAGGGTCGACTATTATGTTTTCGGGGGCGCTTTTTATGAAAATATTGTCGAATTTGCTATTGCGCCACCCCCACCCTCTCACATCAACTTTTTGTAACTTTTCTGATATAATCGATATCAGAGTCGACTATTATGTTTTCGGGGCCGCTAATTATAAAAATAATATCAAATTTGAGATTGACACTCACTAACCGATGATGACAGCCGTCTTCTATGATTGCCGGAATGTGCGATACATGATTGAACATTTTACACAATTTTAGTTTACAAAATACCACATAATGATGTCTGCATAATCATTGTATTCATATTATTGTAAACTTTTGGAATAGAAAAAATCAAAATTTTGAATATCAGGGTAATCATTTTACGGTGATGGCAAAGAACCCTAAATACACCAAAGGGTGATTAATTTATGCATTAGATAATTATTAATTTTACAATTACACTTTTTCATAAAAGATGATCTTGGGAAAGAGACTATAATAAGTATTTGTAGGAAAAGACCTTTTCAGTCTCAATAAATAACTACCTTATTTCAAATTTATCCAAATTTTTGCCTCTTCAGGCATCTTCAGGGATTATCTGATTTTACATATAATTTAAATTTTCATCTGAAAAAACATATACAAAAATCTTTCAGAGGATTTACTATTAGATATTAGCCCATTTATAAAACCATAATAACCTTAAAATCATAATAACCTTAAAATCATAATAACCTTAAAAACCATATTCACCAGTCAACAATATATTTATATCAAAATATAAAAACTTACTCGCTTATAGCAGTGCACCCACTTGCCCACTCATTCCGGCCCTTAGTCCATCAAAGGCAGTGCAGTTGACTATGACGTTCTCAGCCATCTCCGGTACTCCGCAAGTGGAGCATAAGGGTGGTCTATGTTGGTTTTCATCTCATCCAAAATTAATTAAATATTAATGTTGTCTGGCGAACCGACTCACTCTCGTTTTCCTTTTCTGGTGGGTTACTGATCATCTGATCCTCAAGTATAGGATTAAGGGAAAGTTTCTTAGAGTGGTCATCTTTCTTGGTCCATAACTAGCAGCTTACCTTCAACGTTTCTTGAATTGTTGCTGAAAATTGAAGTTATAGTCTCGACTTCTTAAAAAAAACATCTCTTGTCTCATTATTTCTTCTTGTGTCCTCACTAGGCTTCACCTTTTCTACTAGTAATTGCTTCTTCATTTTCTTCAGCACTTTCTTTGCTTTAGTTCTAGCTTCTTTGAATCTATGGCTATTTAAATTAAAATCTAGAATAACAAATTTTTGATTGGTTGTGTTAATCGTTTAATGACACTAATGACTAGATGGTTTTTATTTATTTAAAATTATTATTTCTTAAGGAATCGCTATTCAAGAGAAATCAGATACGTATTCATAATAATCTTATTAAATTGATAAAAACAAATAAATTAATTATGAAGAATTCTATATATCAACAGAAAATATCTGTTAAATTTTTTATATTATTATGTCTTAAACACTTGAAATATAAAATCTTAATTATATGTAAATTTTATTTTGTATTACTTTTTATGTCTTATTATTTGTTTTGTTTTTTTAAAGTGTGCTGAATGTGATGACATATTTACATCTAAAGTAGCTCTCAGGCTTCACAAAAAAAAGCATCTTCTTGAAGAAGCTAGGAAAACATCTCTTCTTGAATATGCATTAGAAAAACATGAATCACAAGAAGGTATTTATAGAATTTTAAAATGGTCTGTAGTTTTTACTGTGTTGTATTAAAATATTATTACATGTGATCACATAATATATGTGAATTGTTCAAATATTACAACAGTACTCTTTTTAAAATTAAATTAGTTTATGTTATTTATTGTGATAAAGAATTACTTATAAAATAATTTTTTTTTCTTTCTTATTCCCAGTTCCATAGATGGTTTGTTTCTTATATAAGGTGTTAGATGTTCCTTGTACAGTATCTCAGATACATTTTAAACTTTTTGAGCATTCCTCAGTTCTATTTAGTCTTTATTGTTTGACTGTTAATCAGGGTGTTGAGGCTCACCTCTATCCTGATAATTTCCTTCTAAAACTAATTTAAAATCTATATTACATCTATATTTTGCCATCGCCGAGAAGTCAGTGGAAATGTAAACGTATTAAATTCACTATTGGTTAAATATTGTAAAGAATTATAAAATGTTATTATTCTTCTATTGATAAATTCATTTACTTTGATTGGTTGATACTTTCATTTATATTTACTGGTAAATGTAATGAAGCATTAAGTTTGTCTGGCATATATTTTTCAAAGAGCGTGATTTTAGCGGCTCTTGTTAAAATTCTATTCTGGAATTTCTGGTCTCTTGCTTGCATTTTCTGATATGTGGGACAGTAGTGGAACACCATAAAGAAGAAAAGATCGAATAATACTTTTGTAAATGACTAATTTTAATCTGAGGCTTAGGGTTAGGGTTGTGAAGAGGTGATTGAATTTGTAGGATTTTTGTCTAACTTTAAATAATTTTGAAGTGCTATGAGCTATAAATTTTAGATGTAAGTCAAATTTAATTCTTAGATAGACCAAATTGCTTGATATTTTGTTGTATGAATTACCAACTCGTAATTTTTTTTAAATGTAAAGATTATATAATATGTTTTTTAAAAGTTTACTTATATGCTTAATGATTGTATGATATTGTAGGTATGTTCTGCTTATTTCAATGATTTTGTAGTGTTCATATTGCTACTGTATGTAGCAATTTCGTCTGCATATGGCATTACAGATGCCTTCATATAATTTTTGCCAATTATTTCAGTGGTGTAAATGTTGAATAAAGTTGGTGAAAGAACCGCACCTTGAGGTATTCTACATGTCAAAGGTGTCATCTTTGAATAACTGTCACCAACTGTATAGTAACACTTCGGCCATTGAGAAACGATTGCAAATTAGAATACAATTGTTCTGGGCGTTGCAAACATTTCAACTTTGAATTAAAATGGAATTGGAAACGGAATCGAAGGCTTTTGAATAGTCTATCAAGATCATCACAGTTGCAATGTTACGTTATAGTTTTTGAGTAATTTGATTTTCACTTTGTTCAACTCCCGCCATTATTTCTTAGTATCATGGAGCCCTGAGCAACGTAAGCAAGCAGGAATATGGTGACAATGATTTTTAGTGTCCTCAAATTGTTTGCATCTATAACATTGAAGGATTTATTTGGAGTTTTTGTACTTCACAATGCGAACTCTATGCAAAAGAAGACACAGTTTAGGGCTTGTTATCAAAGTGTCAGCTCCCAATGTTGTGGTTATGAAAATAAGGGATAAATTGGTTTTAGTACGCTTGCATCTGTCTTTTGAAGGTGATGGACGTCTGAGATGTGTATGTGCTATAAAGCCTCTTGAACTTCATTAACATTTAATCAATATTTAGACCTAAGATTAAGAACTTTTGATACAGCTGGTTGCTACCACATGGTGTGAATGTATGAAACTGGATACCTTTTGTTACCTTGAGTTTTTTGATGTTATTGTAAGATTTGAGATTGTCGACATATATTTTATCACAAGTGAGGAACTTTTGAATGCCTTATTCCATATATGGTTTATGTCCAGCAATTGACGTATTTCTGTGATCTTAGACCACGTGTTCAGTACTATAGATGGTGGTTTTGCTATTGGGGTGTTTATATCATCTATAGGTATAATACGGGAGTTACTTCTTGGATTTGACTCAGCTATTTTCTTAGGAAAGACATACATCTGTTATTTGGCCAATCTTTCTCTTATCTGACTTGGAATCCACTTCTATATGGACTTGGACCATATGTATGGTGGGATATTGGAGGGAGGAATGCTAATTTGTGAACCTGAAAAGTGGAATGTGGCTGTTTCCTGGGAATTGACCCAACCTCCGATCAGAAGACTGATTACTACATGTCAGCTAGTGGTTAAATAGCTATGCTAAAAAAGCTTTATCAAATCAAAATGCCATGTGCACTTTTTGGGATGATCAAAATTATGACTTACTCTATCAAAATACTCTACCTACATTCTATTAAGTGATAAATACATTTTGTTACTAATACACATTGTGGGATTTCTGAAGGAAATTTGATAGATTGCATTTTCTGTTGTATGGATATTGATTTGGTTTGAGAATTGATCTTGGCGAGACTGATTGCTGCGAGTTCAAGTTTACTACTTTGGATAAGCAGAGGCCAATTATCACTAAACACCAATATTTGATACATTATAACTCAGGCATTAGTTGAATTTTTCATGAAAACTGGCTAAACATTTATCTTTACAATATGTGTATACCCATTCTGATATACAGTAACAGTTTTCAATATTAATTTGAATCACTTCAATAGACTATGAACTAAGGTCTGGATTTAAACATTGGTTATAGAATGTAGAATGAATGAATTACTAGTAAGGGCCAATTTAATTATTTATTTACCAAATTGCTTTGTCATTATTACTTTGAATAAGTATATTCTTTTTATTTCACTGACATGGTTTTTTTTTTTTTTTAGGAAATGAATTGGAAAAATCAAGAGTTGAAGTAGCAATGGGTGAAATAAAAAATTATCTTGCTAAAACTAAAGATATCCGAAGGAAAAGGGGAAAGTATCAAAGATATTCAGTTGAATTACAAGAACATATGATAGCTTATGCTAAAAATCATGGCATTAGGAAAGCAGCTACATATTTTTCTCAACTCATTGGGTCAAATGTTAGTGACAGTACAATTAGGAATCTTATGAAAGCGAGTGTTAACTTCTTACCTCGAACTAAAGAAGATATAGCTCGTTACGCCATTGAATACGGTGTTGATAAAGCTTCAAAATATTTCTCTGAAATCTTGAATAAAGAAGTTCCTGTATCATTAGTGAATAAATTTAAAATTTTATATGGAAGTAAATTTGTAAAGCAAGACAAAGAAAATTCTGAAAATCTTAAAACTAATGCTAGTAAAAAAAACATTAATAATTTAACTGATGAAGAAAAAGAAAGTATTGGTGAACACGCTTGTAACCATACTATTGAGGAAACTATTAATTTTTTTCTTAAAAATAAGAATATTAAACTTAATGAAAGTGATGTAAAAGAGCTTCAGTCACTTTATTTAGGTAAACAACAGGGAACAAATTATATTGTTATGTCAAATGAAAGTGTTAATATAGCAAATGTTACATATCAGACTTTGCCTGCTGGCAGTGTTTGTTTTTCTCCATCTGGTTCTATTGTACAAATTCAAGATAATTCATATTCTTATGAAGATGTTAGATATCATTCGCCATTACATCAGGAAAACATAAGGCAGGAAGAAAGAGTTGAAGAATGCCCGGTTGTTGACCATTTTTTGTTAGTTACTGAGGAAAATCCAACATGTGACGTAAGTATTAGAAATAAACCCGAAGATTTTAGAAAACCACCACAAGAATGGAGCAGTACTCAAGGCTTGCAAGAAAATTGTGAAGAAGAAAGTCACACTTTCCAAGTGGAAGTTTCTTCAACCCCTGAAATTGTGGAAAATGTTGAAACAAAAGATATTCCATCAGAACAAAAAAATCATCCAAAGGAGTTAAAAAAAAATTCAAAAAGGAAAGAAGGTGGTAAAAAGAGAGGTAGTTATACTACATACAGTCCAGAATTGAGAGCAAAAATAGGGAAATATGCTGCTGAGCATGGCAGTCTAAAGGCAAGTAATCATTTCAGCAAGATCATTGGACATGACTTACCTGAAAGTACTGCAAGAGGTTTAAAAGAAAGATACCTTAACAAAGTCAAACATTGCGATGTTACAAGCCTTGGTTACAGCACCAGAGGTAGGCCACTGAGGCTAGGAAAGTATGATGAAGTAGTTCAAGAATGTTTGAAAGAGCTTGTGAGGTCTGGAGAGAGAATGACATCCTTTTTAGCAATTACCACTGCCAAACAAATTCTTAATAAACTTGAACCAAGTCTTCTCCATGAAAATGGAGGTACAGTTGTTCTCAATAATACCTGGGCAAAATCAATATTGAAAAGGATCGGAGTCAGAAACAATTCTTAGTTAATGAGATTAGGACAGTAGAAGTATTATTTTTTTCTTTAATTTGTTTATTGGTATGGAATGAGTACCTATATTTTTTTCATAAAATCATTAATGGTGCATTCCTCATTTATTAAATATTGCTTAATAACTTATAGAAGTATATACTTCTTACAGTACATGTCCAGTTTATTCTCACAATTGCTATGTGTGAGATGGTGTTAGGATCTAGAAATAAAACAAAACAACAGCTTTTTTATTTTTGAGCAGTGCTAATACTATTATTAAATTAGATGAAGTGATGTAGATAAAAAGTCATGGATTCAAAGCTAGGCAAAGAAGTATAGTGAACCCTCATTATAACATGATTGATTATTCAGTGGATTCAGATCCTATACTCTGATTAGTCATCTTAAAGTAAGATGATGATGATGAGGTATATATATATTTCTTTCCTCACTATGTAGAACAAAAAATAATGGTATATGGAAGAAATCAAATATGTCGTCAATGCTCTTTTGCGATTTTGTTCTTTTTTTGTTGCATCTTTATTTTTCACCCAGTTTTCTCATCGTTAGTCAAGTTCTCTTTTATACCTGATAATTTTTGTTTAGGGACCATACACATCAATAAAAATGCTTTCTAAAATGAATTTTATGTCAAAATCTCACTGCAATTATTGGTCTCTTCTAACAAAAAGAGTCAGAGAATCATAGACAGCATCTTACATCTTTGGACAAATGTCCTCCTTAAATTGAGATAAATTGAAACATTAACATTAGTTAAATTAAAATTGGAATAGTGTAGAAAACTCTCTTTTTATACTGAAAGTGGAAATTCCAATTATGCCTTTAGTTGTAATATAGTTTTTAACATTCATATGATACATAATAAACTTTTGATGCTATTTATGCCTCTCTAAAAATGTTAAAAGCATGTTATGTCTGTGTAGAGAATAGAAGTTAATAATGATGCGTACCACTATCAAAGTTCTTTCTGCAACTAGTGTCTTTCTTCGGCATTAAATTAAAGTGGATATAAACCATCTACCTATTGTCTGTAAATTTCTACAAGTTACATCCATTAAATCTATTGAGGTCTCCATTTGATGTATTTCATTTATCAATGGTCTCCATCACAGTATTTTTGGAATCTGTTCCTTGTTTACCTGGCCTCACGCATAGCCTATCTGGGTCTCTGTTTTGACTATAGGAATAATATCTTTGTTCACTATGAGGTTGTGGAGAATCTTCACATGTACCTTATTCACAAACTTGAGAAACTCTACTGCAAGATTGTTATTTTATTTTAGTTATTTTGCTATTTAAGATCTTCGCATTTAAATGACAAGCTCTTATGCCCATTGTGCAGCTTGGTTCTTGTATGACATGAACATTCTGCTTGTGTTGGCTGCTATATAAACTTTTCTCACAGCTACTGCTTTAAACATTTTAGCTTTGTCTTGCTTTTTCTTATGGTAAGTTGATTGTAATTTTTTTTTTTTTTTTTTATTTGGAAGTGCTTTTTTTCTTGTTACTTTTTTACTTTTTGCATACTCTGTTTCAGCATTAGTGCTCTGTATACCTCCGAGGTTTCTTTTTCTTTGTTCCTAAAATATTCTCACCAAACTCTGCCACTGTTAAGAAGATTTTTTTGTCACAGGCTATCTTCTTTTTCCTCCTCGTTTTTTATAGTCATATTCCTCTAATTTTTGTGCAGTGCGGTACTGTAACTTATCCTGTTCTCATGGTACATAAATTCGTGTTGATTTTGGGTATTGAGATGTTTATTTGTAAATCAATATTAATTGTACTAGTAGTAGACATTTTGAAATAAGCTTATATTCTTTCGATTGAAGAAGTGATTTTTTTACTAACATTTTTTGAAAAGAAGAAACGGTGATCAGTTTTAGCCTGCCATTTTTAGAAAGTTAAAATAAAGCTTCTTCAAACAAAGTTGTCATTAGCTAACTTGATTTTTTTCCATGGCTTGGCTTATCCACTCCACTCATCATAAGCACCATGTTAAAGTAACAAATGTGAATTTGTCCATTGTAAACTTTTGATTATGATTATTCTATTACAACATGTACATATCTAACAAAGCTATAAATTCGTAAAAAGGACATTATTGATTCCGATCTTCCAATTGCCACTCAGATTCGATATTTTACCACTAAGCGAGTATGGAGTAGTATGGTAAATGAATGAAATTAAAAAATTTAATTTTTCACATTCGTTACTGTAACATGGTGGCGGCGATATGAACTGAGGTGTTATGGGAATGCTCCTCTCTTACTTGGAAGCTTCTTTGTTTATGGTTATTAAAATTATGAGATTTCAAGTAGTATTTACTTTGCAAGTAGTTGGTATTCTGACGCTTTCTATGTACCTTAGTCCTGTGGTGGCGCTGCCTCTTCCTATCCGGGATAGCCTGATTCATTAAAAGGATTAGTTTCTATTCTCAGTGTCTCTTCCTCAACTAATTAGACCTCTAATCCTATTTTGGAGGCATTTGTTGTTTTGTTTAGTTTGTCTTTTTTGATTGTTGATGGAAATTGTGCAATCTTTGGTCCACATTAATGTGATCTTTGTTTTTTAGTCCTAATGATCAAATGAATGAAAATTGATTCCTAATGATCCTGATTTGATGAAACATAGACTGATTAGTAATTTACTGATGTTTGAGAGACTCAAGTTTTTTTTTTTTCTTTTTGAATTTTCATTTTATTAATCAATTAAATATATTAAGGTTCTTGAAATACTCATTATAATCTTGTGAGATATCTGCTTTAAATATTTATATGTTATATACATCACATAAGCTAGGCACAGTCGTTACTGGAGTCTTCTGGGCACCAAGTACTTATAAATTTGTTTAATACAGAACAAAAAAGCTCCAGTAACTGCTTTTGTTTTATCCAGCCCAAGAGAGAATAGCTTGTTTTTAGTTAACTATTGGAGGTGGGGGTTCATGCTAATTTTAGAGTGGAAGATTTATTGTAAAAGAAGAAGACTTGATTTATTTTTTTCGGTTAGCTTTACAGACCTTGTAGATCTTAGGCTACCTAAGCCATTCTTCTCCACCTCTGCCTTATCCTCGTCGATTGCTTTCCAGCCAGTTTGCTGCATGAAACTCTGCAGCAAAGATGCTGATTGATGATTTTATCTATTCGTCAGGATTTAGCCTCTCACTTAGTTTCTTGCCAATTATTGAGCCATTCATTATTGTGTGTAGGTTTCCTGATTTACATGTTACGCCCATCTCCTTGTCTTCATATGAAATATTGATTGAGCTTGTATAAGCAGTTTTTTATTGGTCCTTCTCCTCCAAGTGTTAGGATTCTCATCCCAGATTGCTCCCATTATCATCTTGAGGATTTTCATTTCTAGGATGCTGGGTTAGTGGCAAGATCTCACAGCTGCAAAACTGACCTACATACTATACTTCATGCCTAATAGACGACTAACTTTATTCTTAAATATAAAAGAGCAAAAAGGACCATTAATGTAATCTTAAGATATAATTAGAATATTCCGATTACAAATTGACATGTTAATGTTTTATCAAATAATGCATCATCTGGATAGAAACAATATAAATCACTTATACGCAGACAAAATACAACAAATCCTCACATAAAAAAAAAAAAGACACATTAACTAGAGACATTACTCCATGACATCAAATACAATACACTTTTGAAAATTATCAATATTACTTAAGATATCGTAATGAAAAGGAACAATTTTTATTTTATAATTGTTTTAATTGTTAAATATCTTAATTTTAATTCATCAGAATCTAAAATTTTAGTATTTATATTGCTGATCACTTTTGTGAGTTCAATTAACTATTAGTTTAAAAAATATTTGTCTAAGTTAAGCCTATTCTACTAATATATTATTTGTGCAGGAAGATGAATTTTAGATTCAAAACTGAACATAATTGTGATCTTTCTGTAGAAATGGAATATATTTTGCTTTCCCACATCAATACTCAATTTCAAATTCATGTATGCTGATTAATCATTTTATTCTGACCACTCATATATTATATATATATATTTATAAATATATATATGTGTTTTATATATATATTTTATATATATATATATATATATATATATATATATATATATATATGTATATAAAATAACACCTGCAGATTTTATAAATTGATAAATACTCAATGTTAGTCCATATATCTTCTTTTATAAGGAACAGATAAATATTTAAATAATAAGTACACACACACACATATATTTTTGATTTTATGCTAATTTTATTTAGATTTGTATTAAAGTCAACTCCTGATTATCCTTGGGATCAAGTGACGTGATTGATGCAAATGATCATAATTCAAGGTTAGCACACATATTAAAAGAAATTTTAATCTTTAATCTTTTTCTTTAACTAATTCCTTTAAATCATCTTGTTGCCATTTTTACACTCAGATAAATAGACTGATTGAGAGCTGATTTTAAAACTTCTGGCTTGAAGTATGTAGCATTATTAATGACTAGCTCTATTTCAAATTTTCATTTATGTTACTACAGATTTAGATTCCGGTCACTTTAGATTATCCCTTGATGGATAATGAGGAGTTCAATAATTTTTGTTGTTATTCACTGAGTTATGTACTCGTACTTAAGAGGGAGTTATTCTCTAAATTTTTATATTTATAGCACTAAGTTAATTCTTGTTATAATTTGTAGTAAAATGTATAATATTTAAATTTTATATGAACCTAATTGATATTTCTAATTTTATTTATTGTTTATTAATTTTGGAATGGATAATTATTAGTTTTATTAATAATAAGTCTGTTATAATTTATACAATTATTTATTTATTTATTGATGAAAACATTGTAGACTTTTAAGTATTTTGATAATGTTCTGCATTTTTGAGACAAGACTGTTATTAATTTTATAATTTTTTTTTATTTAATGAGGCCATTAAATTATTTTTTAATTTTTTATTAAACGTGTTTTTTATTTTACAAAATCAATCTTTAATTTAACATCCTCAGT